AGTGTCCTACAGTACAAATCCGATTCCAGTTCGCTGCCGGTGCCATCAAAGCGATCAAAGCCACACCAGCCGACGATCAGAAATGCATTCGACAAGAGATCACAAAAGGTTTGTGCCTAAGTCAAAGCTTGCTTTGGGAAGATCTTAAATGGATAAAGATTGAGCAAAAATACATCTAAATTTGACCCCAACAAAACGGTGAAATCGGCCAGTCATTTCCCTCCAAAAGCTTTTGAGACCAAACCGATATGCCAGATTTTGAGCGATTGTGCACGCGCACAGAGAACAAAAAGCAATTTCCTTCTTTTCCTTTGTGAATGACACAAAAAGAAGAGATTCAACTAGAAATTTGTCTACTGGGGTTTTCAGGGTCGGCGAATCGATTAGAGCTATTCATTTTAGGTGTAAGTTTCATTTTTTACGACCTGGCTTCGTTTAACCGTTTTGATTAAGAGTTTTGTTATTAACTATATAAAAGAGGTGCGTCTGTCTGTTCGTTTGTCTTTCATTTATCGGTTTGTTTGAGTTCTCGGCTTCACGTGAGCCGATTTACATAATTTTTAGCTTATTAGGGTTAGACTTCGTTGTAGTTGTGCATCTCATAAATCGTTTTTTTTAAAAGATCAAAAGCCATGACACAGCCGAGAGTCGAACCCGGACCATGGGGGTTATAGAAAGGCACGCTCCCGGCTGAGCCACAGGGACATGGAAACCGGGCCGAAAAGTCCGCGGTTAACCGGATAGGCGGCTTTTCGGCTGGTCGGTTTGTTTCCTTTTGTTTTTTCTTTCCGAGCCTGACTTAACTTACTCTGGAGTCAGGAAAATCGAGTACTTTGTAGTGTAATGATTAGCACAGTTGGCCGGTAAGCGAAAGGTCGCGGGTTCGAGTCCCGGCTGTGCACAAGTTTTTGATCTTCCCTTTTTCCAACTCCTGTACTTTTCCTTTTTCCTTTTCAGCAATTGCTCGTGAAGCGAACGTCTGTTTGTCAAAGAAAATCGCGAATTTCGCCGGCGTTCCCGACATTCCCGATTTAGAAGAAGGATCTTTCGAGTTCAAAGATGACGTGTAAGTGAAAGAAATCGATAACGAGACGACATTAAATCTTAAAATCTACCTCTGCATTTCACAAACCAAAAACAGAATAGCCTTTCCAAAAAATCAATCAAATTTCATTTGTTTTATTCGATAGAAATGTTTTCTGTCTCAAAAGGGATCAAAATTTCCTCAGATTAGATGATTTCCCATATGAAACTTAAGAAAAACTTCCGAAAGCATTTTTTTAAAATACTTATTAATTAGTTTGGAAAGCAATTGCTTTTAAAAAGAGCTTTTTCTAGGATCCAATCGATTTCCGATCATATTTTGGTGCACTCACGGCTCTCGTTTTGTGGAGAGAGAAAGCCGAGCCGAGCTGAGAACAGCAAGTGAGTCAAGGAATTGGAAAATGCTCGTTGATTGAATGTTATTGAATGAATGAATTAACAAAAACATTTGTTTTTTTTTTTTGCCGTTGGCAATCTAAAGTTTTTCTCAGCACCAATGCTTCAATTTTGACTATATTAACTGTCATTTGACGCAGAATGAAATTGCGCGTCGATTGACACCAAAAGCAACTCAAAATGTAATATCCCTGCAAAATTATGGGGCAAAAGGTTAAGGGACGTTCATTGTGGGCGGGGTTAGCCTTTTTGCCTTGTAATTTTGCGTGGGTATTACATTTGGAGTTGATTTTGGTGTCATTCGACTTGCAATTTCATTCTGCATCGAATGACGGTCACTATAGTCCAAATCGAAGAGTTTGTGCTGAGAAAAACACGAAAAACTTTAAATTGCCAACGGCAAAAATGAAAAACAGATGTTTTTGTTAGAAATTTAGAATAAATTAATGTTTTACTGGTTTTATTGCGTTTAGTGGAAGCTATCGTAAGCAAATATGCTCAAAAGCTATAATTTAATTTCAGACGCTGCCTGCGAAGCCCATTTGCCGGCTACTTGGAGAACCATTGTCAAAGTTGGTGTCTGGAATCGTAGACTAGCATTAAAACTCACAAAACTAACTTTAATTGGGCTTTTAAAAGGATATTTTACACCCTAGCCACCGTAGCCTTAAAAAAATGAATTGTTTTTGGCTAAAAAACATCTAGTTCATTATACGACGCTATTTTGCGGCTCAGCTACCGTAACCCTCACTTCCAGTTATTGCCAATTGCGATTCCCGGCTCGCCGTTGGGTCGTGTGCCACCCAGATCCCAGCCACACGCAATGCCGTCTGTGGTTGCATCCATGAAACTCGAGAAGAGCTCAAGCAACGCATCGCCTCGATCTCCGAGGTTTTCAATGAGGTGAGAGGACCTTTTGAAAGATCCATAAGCGATTCTGCAAGTCACATGATAATTTCCAGCTGCTTTCCGGCTCGTCTCGTGGCCCAGTGATCGGCTCATCTTCGAAGGTCGACGTCTGTGTTGCAGCCATCAAAAAACACATGTTAGTGATTATTTTAAGATCTTCTCCGGCCTTCTGTGCGCTCCAGATCGGCCAAAAAATTTGAAATCAACTCATTTCGAAGCTGAATTTTCCTGAAAATGGATCGAATAGCTTCTGGGAACTCTAGATTGGCGTAAATCAATAGAAATCAACACAGAATCAACTAACTATTATGCCGTTAACTGTAATCTAATTGTTATTCTATTGGCTTTTGGAATAAACTTGGTTTTCATCAAGTTTACAGTCCTAATTCAACTTACTGATCACTCTAGGATCACTCCCGTGAACGACTGGGTGACAGTGATCGACTCAGCCTTGTCTACTTGTATCAGAAAGAAGCCGGCTGGTCAAAATCTTGGGATGGAAGCGTTGTTGAATGTTGGATGTAGAAAGGTTTATCTTAGTTGTTCAGCTTTTTTTCTTAAAAAAGGTAATTTAGGTAATTGCTGATACAACTGGAACGGCTTCTGGTCAGCTCAAAATCGGCTTCGATTTCGTTAACAATTTGATTGACGCCATGGTGGAAAGGTGGGAAAAGGAGAAAATTAAAGATAAAGTCAATTTTCTCTCAAGTTTCCTTACAAATCACTTCTTTTTTTCAGATCAGCTCGTTTCTGTGGCGGAGAGCATTGTCTACAGGGTTGAAAAATGATTATTTTCGATTTTCGAACAAAAAAAACCTATCATTTCTGTGCAATTTCCTATTTATTTATGTCTTAACAAACTTTATTTCAGCCACATTTTAGTATAAATCTGTCTTTTATCAGAAAATGTTTAAAAAAGAAAATGTTTCTCTGCTTGTTTTGCTTGTCTTGTCTGCTTGTCTGCTGTCTGCTTGTTTTGCGAAATCAAATGCTGACTTAACAAGTCAGTCAAATCTCACGAAAAGACCTCAAAGAGAAAAATCATTATTCGACATGATAAGGCCGCATGTTTCGAAGGTCCCTCGTTCTAAAATAAACTCATTTGAATGGGAGTAAACCCATCCAGCATACAGTGGATGGTCCATCCAGCATACAGCGCTGATCAAAATGATATAGTATTGCCTTTATACATTAAAGGGTTGACCTACTAGAAAGATTTACCAAAAAAATTTCTTTCATAATCAGCTACGACAGGTGAAAATTTCCCAGTGCTCAACGTGCACAATGCCACCCACGTTTTCTCGTCGTTTATTCACGCTGAAACGGGGCATGCCCACGGTTAAACGTGGATTTCAAAAAATAAAGGATATCGGCCGAGAATTGGATAAAACTGCGGAAAGGAAATGCGAATTAATACTGTAATAAAAAAGAAGATTTTGACTATTTATAGAAATTTACAAAAATTGAGAGTGAAAACTCTAGCTGAGAAAGCTCATAGACAAAAATGAGAATCTTTTTGGATCTTTTGCAAAAACTACTAGCAGATATTACGATAGAAATATAGAAGAAACTCAAGGTCAAAAGCTCTCAATTAATATCATTCCGATGGATCACCAATAGAGTTATCCCGGCCGCCGGAATGCCAATTGTGAAAATAATCCCCGATACCAGAAACCAAAGCCATTTCCTCCAGATTGTTTTTCCGGGTTTTGTACGCGAAATAGAGCAGGAAGAGGCCTAAAAACAAAGATTGTTTTTCAGGTTTTTGCTTTTATCGCTGGAATTCTTCCTTTTCTTGATTGAATTTCTTTTTTATGAATGAGGCAGCGAATTTTCTATCGCCGAATCGATCAGACCACGAAATTCCAACTTTCCGGTGAGGCATTTCGTCGCCGATATCACCCTACATATCAAGGATTTCTGCGTCTTGTACAATTCATGGGCCCATTCTTGTGACAAGGCTATTCAAGGACGCTTTCACTACGATTTCGAGTTTGATAAATTGTACAAGACGGAGAAATCCTTGATATGTAAAGTGATATCGGCGACGAAATAAATTTAGCGCTCAAAACTTTGTGCTGAAACGCAAAACAAGCTCTGCGGCTAAATATGACGAATGAAAAATTCTTCGCCCCGTTCAGGTTAAATACCCGTAAATCTTCGCCGCCCGCAGCTTCAACACCCCAGCGTCTTTTCAATCCTGCTGATAAACCTAACCTTATCTACGAGATGGTGCACTAAAGGTTATTTTGTGGGTGAAGCGCTAAAAAGCGCAATGGAATGGAGCTTTCTGAAATGAACCACAAAATATGGTTTTGTGTACATTCTACCGTAGGCCTTTTGATGGCGAGTCCTAAAACGCGCCCCTTTCGTGTATTTAACGAGACTTTTTGCGATAAAATTCATTCTGGTGATCCCTCTAGTGCCTCTGGTCCAATCCCTCTAGTGCCCGAATGTTAGACTTGTTTATCGATTTTATCGCTACAAGCGGCATGCTAATGTTTGAACGTTTCATTGGTGAGCTTTCATTCATTGTAATGGCTGCGGTACCATTACAATATTTACGGTAGCTAGTAGTAGTATTTTGCTCAGGGGTTTTTCGTTTTCTTATTTATAGTGTTATCTCTGCTGTAATTTTTCATTTAGGGGAGATGTCGGACAAACCGGAGAGCAGCAAGACTCAACTCGAAGAGTAAAGAAATTGACCTTAAACAATGAAATTTTCAAATTCAGGCATCTCATCCAACCATTGCTCCAAAAGGATTTCTTGTCACAGTTGCCAGTGGAGGTTTGTCTTTTGTTAAAGTTTATGGGATTAATTGTTTATTTTTAGGTTGCTTATCGCATCATCGGCTATTTGACACCGTGCGATTTGACGGTTTGTGCTGGCGTTTCGCGGACGTGGCAGCGAATTTGTGAAGATGATCGGACGTGGCGAAAGAAATGTTTGGAGAAAGGATATGTGAAATTTGATGCGCCAAGGTGTGTTACAGTTTTGAACAGATAATATAACATTTAAAAATACATATCTGATAGATTTATATTAAACTAGATCTTACACTTCTAAGGTATAGGATGATACTGTTATTAATTCCAAAGCAAATAAAGATGTAAAGCGAAAGAAAATAAATGATGATGTTTTTTTTGTCGATGAACTGGGCCACATTGAAGAATACGATTAGTAAAGGATTCGCCACGAGCTTGTCACTAACTTCTTTTTCTTCAGTTTTCGTTTTCTCGGAGGCTGGGCGGCGAATCGAGCAAATGAGGAAGCGGGAATCACAATCTCCTCACATATGACCTTTCAGGAAGCACGTCAAAATCGACGAGAACGCGAGATCGCATATGGACAGTTAGTGACGCAACTTATTGCTAAATTAAATTTTTTGCTAGGTGTTATGAGCGATCCTCATGGAAGTCGCTGTACTTGCGGAAGCAGCGAATCATTTCCAATTGGCGATCCCGACCGATTCAATCAAGCACTGTTCTAAAGGTTTGGACAAATGTTTTGGCTATAAAAATTGTTTTTAGGGTCACGATTAAAATGCGATCCATCATCTACAAGTTCAGTCGGGTCGTATCGTTACTGGTTGGTTAGATGATAATACGTTGCGGGTTTGGAATGTTGATGATGCTCAAGTTTGTTTCGTTTTACCATTATTGTACGTCTTTAATTTAGCCGGCTTTCACTCTAACTGGCCATATGGATAGTGTTGTGACGTCGCAAGTGAGCGATGATGGCAAATACATTGTCAGGTTAGTTAATAGGCTCTAGCTAGTGCAATTGATAAGTGTTGTCAAAGAAGCTAACAATTTTCTAGACAAAAGTACTTGTGATAACAAAGTCTATTGCATTATTTAAGTGGCTCGTATGATCGAACGGTGCGCGTTTGGTGTGGTCAAACCGGTGTACAGCGTCATGTTCTGCAGGGGCATACGGGTACTGTTTGGTGCATGAGTCTACATGGCACAACGTGAGTAGTCTAAATTTTGTGCCTTGGCTAAAAGCATAATGTTTTAGTCTTGTTTCTGGATCGTCCGATCAAACGCTCCAAGTCTGGGACATTGTCGACGGAAAATGTCTTCAGGTTTTGACTGGCCACATGGCGGAGGTAGGTGTATCAAAGTTATAGCCTAAACAAAGTTAAATTTCAGGTGCGTTGTGTACAATTTGATGGAAAACGGGTTGTGTCTGGTTCCTTTGATTCTACTGTAAAGGTTTGTAATGTTTTTTTTCAATTTTATAGTATTCTATAAGGTTTGGAATGTACAGACGGGTGAGTGTTTGCACACGCTGACGGGTCGACACGAATCCAGTCCTTTCACTTTTGGTGAGTTGAATTGTCAATTTTTGGCTTTAGTCAGGATTCTGTTTTAGTTTGAGCCGGAGCGCGATCTTGTCGTCTCGGGAAGTCGGGATAGAACGATGCGCGTCTGGGATGTGCGAAGAGGAAGTGGGTTTTGCTTGTTCGCTATTTTGTTGCAATGTCATCTATATTTGTTTCATTTAGCATGCATCGCAATTCTTCATTCTCATGAAATGCTTCTCGGAGCCCACTATGGCATGCAACTTCGCGGAAATATTTTGGTCTCCTGCTTTACCTACACGGACGTTGGGGTACGTTTAATCAATCCTATAAAAACTACTTCCTTTTCTTTAGGTTTGGGACATTCGTAACGGTGGTTCGTGCATTCATCGTCTGCAAGGCGTAAATAGTCACACGGGTTACATCACTTCATTCCAATTGCTCGACTCGGGATTTTTGGTAACAAGTTCTTACGATGGCTCGGTCAAGCTGTGGGATGTGGATAAAGGTATGTTGTTCTAAATTACCTGGTAATGTAGGCTATAAGCCAAGCAAATATTGTCCAGAGTTCAAGTTTTCTTCTAAAATAGAATTTATTAGCTACATGATTTGACTCGTTAACTATTCAAGTTTAAATCGATGTTCTGGGTTAGTATTCCGTTGTTAAATTTTTATCAACTATACGAGTATCCTTGTGATTTTCAGGTACCTTTGTTCGTGACCTCGTTCGTCTTCAGGCTGACATTTGGATTTGGAGACTCTTCGCGACCGAAACATTTCTCCTATGTGTAGGTCGATCTCGATCGCTAAGCGGAACCGAGGACAGAAATTTGATCTTGATTGATTTTGACGCATCATATCCATAGGTATATTCGGATTGTTGCTCTTTTGCATTATCGTGTTTTTCTGAAGAATTTTTTTCGGTTTTCAATTCTTCGAGTTTTCGTGGCTCTCTCGGTTGGCGTTTGTGATTTACTTTCAAATATTTCCGACTTTTTGCAGACTTTCTTGTATGCCAAAGTTTTCATTTTGTTACCCTTGATTTTGCCATTGGTCGGCTTTTATTTACTAAGAATTCTTCTCATAACAATAATCTTTTCTTCTTATGTCCCTTATGTGATTGTTTCCAGGGGTGTTTGTGTTACTTTCAGTTGTGTAGTTCGTTTTCGTTTCACGATTTACACATGCAAGATAAAACGGGCTAGTAAACCTTTTTTACTAGGTCTGTAAGGTTTCACAATTAATAAGTTGGCAAACAAATTGATTTGATAAGATTTACGTATCAAAATTTGCTATTGTTTTTCGGGGCTATTATAAGTTTTTTATAGTTTTTGAATATTTTAAATGCACTGATGAATGTGCATTGAAGGAATAATTATCCTAAAATACAAAATTGTCGAAATTAGTCGTTACCGTGGTTCTTAAGTTTGGTAGTGACGAGTTAAGTTTTATCAAATTTTTTTAGAGAGCTATCAAGAAAGGCAAAGCGCTGGCGGATCTAAGGAAACTTTTGATTAAAGAGCTTTTTGTTTATTTTATTTTTTCTTGCAACAAACTATAAGCAACAGTGATTTATTTTGTTTTTTCACAGGTTTCCCACATGATCATCCATCGAACAATCTAGGCAACCAGCAATTTGATCACGACACCGTGTATATATACACTCATGCAAGCGTGAAGGCACAGCATACCGGAATTGGCGCATTTTACGGATTCGGGCATCCGCTCACTTGGTAAGTGTTTTTATGCTTGGTTAATGTTTAATTAGGCCATAAAAGTTTAAAAATTGTTTTAAATTTAGCTCCACTGACATCACCAACCATAATAAGGGACTCGACACAAACTTGGCCGAGATTCTGGGTGCTACAATTGGTTTAAAACGTCTTTACGATTGGAAAAAGTTCGATAAGTAGGCACTATTCATGTGAAAAAAAATATTTGAATCATTTAGGGATGTCACAAAGGTCGTGCTATTACCGATCCCAAGCAACTCGTTCAGCAACTCGTTTGAACTATGTGGAACAATATATGAAGAAAGAATTAGGGCAACCAAAGAATCCAAAATACCAGAAATTCATAAGCAATTTTGTTTTTGCATTTATATTTCTCTATATTTTACATTTAGCCTCGAAAAATTGTTCGATCTTGCTCTTTGTTTTCCCAAAGTCGTCCGTTTTGAGTGGGTGGAGGCACATAATCAAGACGTCAGAAATAATCAAGTAATTCTTTCGAAATTGTTATTTACGAAATAATTTTAGAGCTTCATTTTTACTTAATTTCAATGATTTTGTTATTTTTAGGTCGATCTTCTAGCCAAATGGGTCCTACGGAAGCACCACCCTACTTTGAATGCTTCAAAAACGATTCCCAGTGCTCATGTTCGAGGTAGGTTTCAATTTATGTTAAAGAAAGCAATTCTGTTTCTTCTCTGAAACAATTCCTAAGTTTAGATCAAAACCCATTTCCAAAGCCCAAATTTGATCCGTGGACCCAAACGTTTCTGGAGGATGTCAAGTCTATCCTTCCCTATGACTCCTAGGATGGATTTTTGGATTACTCGTCATTTACTCGTTTAAATTACTCGCAATAAATCCTGATGCATGTGATTTGTGCTAACTACCACACCTTTATACATAAACGAATCAACTATACAGGAAATCATCAAAGAATCATCATTTTAATTAACCGGGTGATTCGAAAGAGACACCGAAAACTCCCTCGGCGGATTTCTGAAGGGATTTTTTGATGATTAAAGCTGAACACTAGAAAAAGCTACCGTAACCTCGGTGTCTTTTCTGGGTACGGTAGCTTTGTCTAATAGTAGACGCACCAGATAAATAGGCATTTTCTGATTCAAAAACATTCAAATGATTCAGAAATGATTCAAAAACATTTTATCTATGGGCTGGCCTGGCATGACTCAAAGCTCGTTTCTAGGATTAAAAACCCGGCCCAGGCCTAGGCTGCTTCTAAAGTAAGAGTTTGGCCCTGCCCTGGCTTGATCCGGATATTCTCCATTTGGAAATTTACCTGTAAAAAATTGGCGGATGCTTGCAGATTACAGGCGGGTTGTCCCGTTTTTGCTTCTTGCTCTTTTGCTTTGTCGTTAATCTGCGTCAAACGTTAAAAAAACCCTTTAGATCCCAGAATTCACCTCTTTCATTGTGTTGTCAATGACGTTTTCGAGATGTTTATTCGAGACAGGCAAAACCTGAACAAATCGTTTACGGTAGTTTAGGGGTTAAATGGAAATTCGAGGAAACTTTATGATTTGTGTTTACCTTTCCCGTTCACATAACATCCGGGAATGTCGACTTTTGTCGACAAATTTCGCCTCAAATCTCGCCTCAAATAATCCATGCCAATGGATTATTTTAAAACCTTTCTTTTTGCAGATAAGCTACACGAGAACGTTGATTTGTGTGAATGGAGAGATTTGAGAGGGATCAAGGTGGAGAAAGTGACGTTATTTTGTTGTCAAAATCGGAAGTCAATCGGGTTGCTGAGGGGAAAAAGTCCGAGCACGACATCATGCCAAATGTGCATGAGAAGGAGGTAGCAGAAAAGGGTCAAATTATTGGCGCCACGTTTGATTGTTTATTTTTATTTTTTTCTCGTTAACGTTGCTACTTTGACGCCTTCGCCGGATCTGAAAATGACGTCAAATCGATATGAAGAGTAAAAAGTCGAATCCGTGAGACAAAAATGATTGTTTTTGAGGTCTGTATGAGTATTTAAATGTGTTTTCTTATTGAAAACAGTGAGAACTAAAATTGTGAAGGGGAAAACTGAAAAAAGTTGGTTAGAAGTTGGGAAAAAGTGACTTGTTACAGTGATCTTTAGAAATTTGGTGCAAATGAAACGTGGCGCAAAGGATTTTAGCGCAAAAAAACGTGGCGCTTTTGCTAGCATCTCTTGAGAAGAAGTTTACGCTCTCGGTGCTCTGAGATTTGAAAGACTAGGAAATTTTGAATAGCAAGACAACACTTAACTAACTCAAATGCTCCGGGATGCTGACCGAAATCAAATGCTGACTTAACAAGTCTGTCAAATCTCAAGAAAAGACCTCAAAGAGAAAAATCCTTATTCGACATGATAAGGCCGCATGTTTCGAAGGCCACTCGTTCTAAACTAAACTCATTTGAATGGGAGTAGACCCATCCAGCATACAGTGGATGATCCATCCAGCATACAGCCCTGATCAAAATGATATAGTATTGCCTTTATACATTAAAGGGCTGACCTACTAGAAAGATTTACCAAAAAAATTTCTTTCATAATCAGCTACGACAGATGCAAGTTTTCAGTGCTCAACGTGCACAATGCCACCTACGTTTTCTCGTCGTTTCTTCACGCTGAAACGGGGCATGCCCACGATGACAAGTGGATTTCGAAAGATAAAGGATATCGACCGAGAATTGGATAAAACTGGGGAAAGGAAATGCGAATAAATACTGTAATAAACGTTTTGTACGCGAAATAGAGCAGGAAGAGGCCTAGAAACAAAGATTTCTTATTTTACTGCATTCAAATGCAAATATCTATTGATCTTATTCAATATAAAACATAACAGTAATAATACCAGTCACAGTATTGTTACACTATCCCATTTTCCTCAGCCTCTGGCTCCGAATTCGTGATTTTTGATAGAATTTAGTGGCTTTAGATTCTTTGTTTCTCAGGTTTTTGCTTTTATAACTTGAATTGTTTCTTTTCTTGATTTAGTTTCTTTTTTAGGAAAGAGGCAGCGAATTTTCTATCGTCGAATCGATCAGATCACGAAATTCCACCTTTCCGATGAGGCATTTCGTCGCCGATATCACTTTACATTTCAAGGATCTCTCCGTCTTGTACAATTCATGAGCCCATTCTTGTGACAAGGGTATTCGTGGACGCTTTCACTACGATTTCGAGTTGCTGTTCGAGTCGCGTATCGAAATTCTTCTTCATCTCCTCAAAATGTGATCGCTGATCTCTTGGAATCTCTCACCAGACCGTTTCACGACTTCTCCACAAAGCGACCAATGTTCTCTTGACGCCACAAATTGTCAGTCAATTCTTGAAATGCCCGTATGCAAACGGCGATTTGATTAATAATAAGATCTACACCGGGGACTCCGTATGTGGTTTATTTGGCTCGATAATCACAATACGACACACACAATACTAGGCGATATCATAACTTGACCCGCTCCCACATTCTCGGCTCCCTAATCCCTACTCTTATTGGACGCTCCTAGATAGCTTCTTCTTGCTATGAGGCCTCGATATTTGGCGAGCCATTCGTTTCAAAATGTCTGACAAGGGTATTCGAGGACGCTTCCACTACGATTTCGAGTTCGATGAATTGTACAAGACGGAGAAATCCTTGATATGTAAAGTAGGATCAGCGACGAAATAAATTTAGCGCCCAAAACTTTGTGCTGGAACGCAAAACAAGCTTTTCGGCTAAATATGACTAGTGAAAAATTCTTCGCCCCGTTCAGGTTAAATACCCGTAAATCTTCGGTGCCCGCAGCTTCAACACCCCAGCGTCTTTTCAATCCTGCTGATCAATTTAACCTTACCTACGAGATGGTGCACTAAAGGTTATTTTGTGGGTGAAGCGCTAAAAAGCGCAATGGAATGGAACTTTTTTGGAAAATTGGAAACACAAAATATGGTTTTGTGTACATTCTACCGTAGGCCTTTTGATGGCGAGTTCTAAAACGCGCCCCTTTCGTGTATTTAACGAGACTTTTTGCGATAAAATTCATTCTGGTCACCCCTCTAGTGCCTCTAGTCCCATCCCTCTAGTGCCCTAAGGGTAGGTTTGCTTATCGATTTTATCGATACAAACGACATGCTAATGTTTGAACGTTCAGATCTCTGTTTCTAGAGCAGCTATCAACTTATTTCATTGGAAAGCTTTCATTCATGGTAATGGCTGCGGTACCATTGCAATATTGACGGTAGCTAGTAGTAGTATTTTGCTCAGGAGTTTTTCGTTTTCTTGTTGATGGCGCTATCTCTGCTGTATTTTTTCATTTAGGGGAGATGTCGGACAAGCCGGAGAGCAGCAAGACTCAACTCGAAGAGTAAAGAAAATGACCTTAAACAGTGAAATTTTCAAATTCAGGGACATCATCGAACCATTGTTCCAAAAGGATTTCTTGTCACAGTTGCCAGAGGAGGTTTGTCTTTTGTTAAAGCTTGTGGAATTAATTGTTTACTTTTAGCTTGCTTATCGCATCATCGCCTATTTGACACCTTTGGATTTGACGCTTTGTGCTGGTGTTTCACGGGCGTGGCAGCGAATTTGTGAAGATGATCGGACGTGGCGACAGAAATGTTTGGAGAAAGGATATGTGAAATTTGATGCGCCAAGGTGTGTTACAGTTTTGAGCAAATGATATAAAATTTAAAAATACATGTCTGATAGATTTATATTAAACTAGATCTTACACTGCTAAGGTATAGGATGATACTGTTATTAATTCTACAGCAAACAAAGGATAATTTTTGTTTCGATGAACTGGATGACATTTAAGAACACGATTAGTAGAGGATTCGTCACAAGCTTGTCACTAGCTTCTTTTTGTTCAGTTTTCGTTTTCTCGGAGGCTGGGCGACGAATCGAGCAAATGAGGAAGCGGGAATCACAATCTTCCGACATATGGACCTTCAAGAAGCACACCAGAATCGACGAGAACGCGAGATCGCATATGGACAGTGAGTGACGGAGCTTGTTGCTGAATTAAATTTTTTCTAGGTGTTATGGGCGATCGTCATGGAAGTCACTGTACTTGCGGAAGCAGCGAATCATTTCCAATTGGCGATCCCGAGCGATTCAAGCAAGCACTGTCCAAAAGGTTTAAACAAATGTTTTGGCTATAAAAATTGTTTTAGGCTCGCGAGGATAATGCGGTCGATCATCTACAAGTTCAGTCTGGTCGTATCGTTACTGGTTCAAATGGTAGTACGTTGCGTATCTGGAATGTTGATGATGCTCAAGTTTGTTTCGTTTAATTATTATTGTATATCTTAATTTAGCCGGCTTTCACTCTAACTGGCCATATGGGTGCTGTTTATACGTCCCAAGTGAGCGATGATGGCAAATACATTGTCAGGTTAGTTAATAGGTTCTATCTAGTGCAATTGATAAGTGTTGTCAAAGAAGCTAACAATTTTCTAGACAAAAGTACTTGTGACAACAAAGGCTATTGCATTATTTAAGTGGCTCGACTGATCGAACGGTGCGCGTTTGGTGTGGTCAGACCGGTGTACAGCGTCATGTTCTCCAGGGGCATACGAGTATTGTTTACGGCATAAGTCTACATGGCACAACGTGAGTTATCTAAATTTGGTGCTTTAGCTAAAATCATAATGTTTTAGTCTTGTTTCTGGATCGTCCGATCAAACGCTCCGAGTCTGGGACATTGCCGACGGGAAATGCCTTCACATTTTGGCTGGCCACTTGGAGACGGTACGTGTATCAAAGTTATAGCCTAAGCAAAGTAAATTTCAGGTTTCGTGTGTACAATTTGATGGAAAGCGGGTTGTGTCTGGTTCCTTTGATTGTACTGTAAAGGTTTGTAATGTTTTTTTTTCAATTTTATAGTATTCTATAAGGTTTGGAATGTAGAGACGGGTGAGTGTTTGCACACGCTGACGGGTCACACGAATCCAGTCCTTTCACTTTTGGTGAGTTGAATTGTCAATTTTTGGCTTTAATCAGGATTCTGTTTTAGTTTGAGCCGGAGCGCGATCTTGTCGTCTCGGGAAGTCAGGATGGAACGATGCGCGTCTGGGATGTGCGAAGAGGAAGTGGGTTTTGCTTCGTTGCTATTTTGTTGCTATGTCATCTATATTTGTTTCATTTAGCATGCATCGCAATTCTTATCAGTCATGAAAGGCCCTACTATGGCATGCAGCTTCGCGGAAACAGTTTGGTCGCCTGCTATACCGGCTCGGACGTTGGGGTACGTTTAATCAATCGTAGGACAACTACTTCCTTTTCTTTAGGTTTGGGACATTCGTGAGGGTGGTTCATGCATTCATCGCCTGCAAGACGCAAATGGTCACACGTTCAATATCACTTCATTGCAATGGCTCGACTCGGGGCTTTTGGTGTCAAGTTCTTACGATGGTTGGGTCAAGCTGTGGGATGTGGATAAAGGTATGTTGTTCTAGATTACCGGGTAATTTAGGCTATAAGATAAGCAAATTTGTTCAGAGTTCAAGTTTTCTTCTAAGGTGGGATTTATTAACTACATAATCTGACTCGTTAACTATTCAAGTTTAAAGCTATGTTCAGGGTTAGTATTCTGTTGTTAATTTTTTATCAACTATACGAGAATTTTTGTGATTTTTAGGTATTTTTGTTCGTGACCTCGTTCGTCTTCAGGCTGGCAGTTGGTTTCGGCATCTCTTCGCAACCGAAACATTTCTCCTATGTTCAATTATATCGCGAGACCGAACCGAAAACGGAAAGCTCATCTTGATCGATTTTGACGCATCGTATCCATAGTTATATTCTGTGTATCACGTGTTCTTAAATGTCATCCAGTTCATCGAAACAAACATTATCATTTAAAATGTTATATAATCTGTTCAAAACTGTAACACACCTTGGCGCATCAAATTTCACATATCCTTTCTCCAAACATTTCTTTTGCCACGTCCGATCATCTTCACAAATTCGCTGCCACCTCCGCGAAACGCCAGCACAAACCGTCAAATCGCACGGCGTCAAATGGGCGATGATGCGATAAGCAACCTAAAATTAAACAATTAATCCCTGAAGCTTTAACAAAAGACAAACCTCCTCTGGCAACTGTGACAAAAAATCCTTTTGGACCAATGGTTGGATGATATCCCTGACTTTGAAAATTAAATGTTTAAGGTCATTCTCTTTACTCTTCGAGTTGAGTCTTGCTGCTCTCCGGTTTGTCCGACATGAAAAATGATTTTAATGATATCCACATCCCACAGCTTGACCAAGCCATCGTGAGAACTTGTCACCAAAAGTCCCGGCTCCCCTAAATGAAAAATTACAGCAGAGCTAACACCGTAAATAACAAACTGAAAAATCCCTGAGGAAAATACTACTACTACTACTAGCTACCGTAAATATTGTAATGGTACCGCAGCCATTACGATGAATGAAAGCTTTCCAATGAAATAAGTTGATAGCTGTTCTAGAAACAGAGATCTGAACGTTCAAACATTAGCATGTCGTTTGTATAAAATCGATAAGCAAATCTACCCTTAGGGCACTAGAGGGACGGGCCTAGAGGCACTCAAGGGATGACCAGAGTAAATTTTATCGCCAAAGGTTTCGTTAAATACACGAAAGGGACGCGTTTTAGAACTCGGGACTTTTGGTGACGAGTTCGGACGGTTGCTCGGTCCAGGTTTGGGATGTGGATAAAGGTATGTTGTTCTGAATTACCTAGTAATATAGGCTATAAGATAAGCAAATTTGTCCAGACCTCGAGTTTTCTTCTAAAGTAGAGTTTATTGACTACATAGCTTGACTCGTTAACTATTCAAATTTAAATCATTATTCGCGGTTAGTATTCCGTTGTTAATTTTTTGATCAACGATACGAGTATTTTTGTGATTTTCAGGTACCTTCGTTCGTGACCTCGTTCGTCTTGATCGACACAGTTGGAGATGGCATTGCCAAGCCACCGAAACATCATTGCTCGTCTGTGCAGGTGAATCACAAAACAGGGACGGTGGCACAATGCTCATCCTGATCGATTTTGACGCATCGTATCCATAGGTATATTCGGATTTTTGCTCTTTCCCAATTTTTGCTTTGTTGCCTTATTGTGATTTTCTGAAGAAGTTTTTTGGTTTTTCCAATTGTTCTGAGTTTTCATGGCTCTCTCGGTTAGCGTTTGTGATGTATTTTTGTATTTTCGGTGCTCTCCAGATAGACTAAAAAAATATTCAATGAACTTTTTTTGAAACTTTTCAAAGCTGAATACCTCTTCTCATGTACTGAAGAATAGATCAGAGAAAAACAAGAAAAATATCCAAATTTACACAATGAAATGCTTATTTGCGCTCCAGATCAGCTAAAAAGTTTGGAGCGAACAAAAAAACAAAGAAATTTCTGACTTTTTCAACGGGATTCACTTCGGTACGCTCCAGATCAGCTAAAAAATAGAAAATCTTTCTGAAAATGGATCAAATAGCTTCTATGCGCTCCAGATTGGCGAAAAAGCACTGAATTGACTTTTATAACACCTCTTTCAGTAAATAGTTCTCGGATCGGGGCTTTCGCTTTATTTCGAGAGTGTTCCTTTTGCTTTTTAGCCAGCCTCTCCCGCTAAAACCAGGTCCAAAAGGCCACTGCGAGGGCTTTACAACAGAACAGAGATTTCCTTTTCCCATTCTTTGACCAATCGCTTCCTCTTTTTCTCTTTTCACCGAAATCCTCTATCGATCTCTCTGGGCCATCACTTGGATCGACTTTTCGCTAAACTTTTTCCCTAGAAACTTCTCTGTTCCTGTTTGGAATAATTCAAGTTTAATTTTATGCCTTTTATAAAACAGCCGCTAAGTCGGGAAGTGGCGCAGTAGGGAGTGCGCTTCTCTACAGCCCACACGATTCGGGTTCGACTCCAGTTTGAGAATATTTTTCAATTTTTTTAAGTTCTGCCTAGTGATTGGGGTCCTGTGACCTCCAGTTTGGAAATTTTGTTTAAACACTTTTCCAGAACTTTCAATTCAAGCCGTTTTTCCTGTTGATCTTCTTCCATGCCTTTCAGATTGGATTTTTTTCAAGTTTTCCAAGTTCTCCCTAGTGATTGGGGTTCTGTGACTTTCAGCTTAGAAATCCTGTTCAAATATTTTCCCAGAGCTTTCAATTCCAGCTGTTTTTCTTGTTGATCTTCATCCATGCCTTCCAGATTGGATTTTTTCAGGTTTTCCAAGTTCTCCCTAGTGATTGGGGTTCTGTGACTTCCAGCTTGAAAATTCTGTTTAAATGCTTTGAATGTGCTTTAAATTAAGCAAGTGTGTGTTTTGAATTAAGCGAGCGAATACCTGTTAGAAGTGCTACAGGCATTAGTAAGACTTGTAAGTTCTGCACATGCCTCGAGTACACAATAAAGTCAATAAAGCACATAAAGATGTTGAAACCGGGAATGGTTGGAAGCATAGAAGAAAAAGAAAGACAGGGAAAGTGTTTCTGTCGAACACACTCGTCGAGAGATCATCTGGAGTGGTGCAACAAGGGGAAAGACAAGGGAAAGACAGGGGAAAGACAAGGGAAAGACAACAAGGGGACCTCACTCATATCCCCTGGATCCAGCCCTGTTCATGCCTTGTCCTCTTTTCTTGTGATTCTTCTTTTCCCTCCAATCCACTCATCATCCTCTCATACGCTTAGGACCTCAAAATTAATAGTTTCCATTCATTGTACTTTTATTTTCTGTTTCTTTTGTAATATTTAAAAGATTGTCTTTCATTTTATAGTGACTTTCTTTTCTTTTCTTTTCTTTTCTTTTCTTTTCTTTTCTTTTCTTTTCTTTTCTTTTCTTTATTCTTTTCAATTGATTTTCAGCGACAAAATTAAAAATCCGATCTTGACAAAAGTCTCTAAAGAGATTTAAGTTAATTGATACTTTTTCGTTAAGCCAAAAGATTGTTGAAACTTTAAAATATATTCCAGTAAATGCTCAGTTTTCATGCTTTTCGATTTCTAGATATGTTTGGATTGATGTTGCAAATCTAGGAACAAAATGTTGCAAATTGATGTTGCAAAGTTAGGAACAAAAGTTAGGAACAAGAGAAACCAAAAAAAACCCGAAAAAAAAGCCGAAAAAAACCCATTTCCTGTGTAAAATGGCTTAATTTTCGATAGTTTTTCTTCATTTTCATAAATTTCTTCGTCAGAAAGTCAAGTCGAAGTCAGTGTTCGTTCAAAAAGTCGAACATGCATTTTAAATTTGCATAAAACTATCAAACTCTAAAAACTCTTTCGCTAAATTTCCCCGATGACATCCAGATCGAAAGAAAATCGCAAAAATTTCGGCAATTCTTTCAGCAAATTTCAGTAAAAAGTCGAAGCTATGCACGCAACGTTGCTCAAATTTTTTAAATTGTCAAAATCGAAAAAATTCTTTACTAAATTTCCCCGATGACATCCAGATCGAAAGAAAATCGCAAAATTTTCAGCAATTCTTTAAGCAAAGTTCAGTAAAAAGTCGAAGCTATGCACGCAACGTTGCTCAAATTTTTTAAATTGTCAAAATTCAAAAAATTCTTTACTAAATTTCCTCGATGACCTCCAGATTGGCTGAAAATACTCAAAAATTGCCCAAAAAATAAGCGACTTTTGCGCAAAACTTTTCCACAAATTCGTTTTCAGTTCTTGCAATCGTTTTTACTTTAGCGCTTACTTTTTTTCGATGTTTGAACCTCCGCAAAATGTTGCAAAAACGATTTCTTGCTTATCAAATTTTTGGGGTCCATTTCGGGGTCTCAAATCGATCCGGATTTCGATTGAATTCGATTGGATTCGATTGGGGAAATCTCAAGAACAGTCTTCTTTCTTTTTCTTCTTTCTTTTTCTTCTTTCTTTTTCTTCTTTCTTTTCTTCCTCGAAATCCTCAAATTGTTTGTCTTCTTGAAGCTAAATGGCTCAAGGAAGGGTCTTTCTGTGACTTTGTCTCTTTCTTTAGCCCAATTTCTTTGACCAATTTCACATCACAGATTAGAATAGATTTGTTTTTCTTTATTGTTTTTCGAATGAAATTTTGATTGGAGTTTTGATTAGAGTTTTGATTAGAGTTTTGAGTGATTTCCTTGCCTTTCCTTCTCTTGTCATTTTGTCAATCGAATTCCTTTTGATTCTTAATTCCATACGTTAATTGGGTGATCCCAAAGTCCAATTGATTTGACAGCTCGCCAAATTTTCGCTTGTCGAAGCATGGATTTTCAGTTCCGTTTTCATTTCATTGATCGTTTTTCCGGATGTTGTTCACAATGGCGTCTAGCTCGTGGTGTAAGCTTTGGTTTTGGTCTTGGCTTTGGTCCTGGTTTTGGTCCAGGCTTTTTCTTTGGTGCAGAAATGGCTTTTGACTTGATGTAATTGCGCACGGCAGAGTCGGATAGACCCAAATCTTTGGGGTTTTCCTTATTGTGTTTGCTTCTCCGTCAATCTTCAAACGCGCATCAATCTGGCTTTTCCCATAATTCGTGAGCTTTGACGTGAGCAGCTTTACCATTTACCTGGAAATTAACAAAAATAATATTAGGTTGTCCGGAAATAAATGAGCGTTTTGTATCGTTTATTATTTGGGTACATTTTTCTCAATAAAGTATGCTCTGTACCTTGTAATGTTATATACCAATAGAAAGCTGAGTTCGCACTCTCTTTAACTATGCTTTTAAATTTTGCTGAAAATAAAATTTTTTGCCAATTTTAAGCTTCGCCGTTTTAGATGTCCAAAACTAACTTTCGCCAGATTTTCTTTTATGAGTTCAAACTTGGTCACAATGCAACTGAAGCGGCTCGTAACATTAACGAAGTTTGAGGCCAAGGCAGTGTCGGCGAGTCAACAGTGCGAACTTGGTTCCGAAAATTCCGAGGTGATGATTTGGATCTCGAAGATAAGGAAGGCCTTGGCCGTCCTGTTGAACTCGATGATGACGAAATGAAGACCCTGGTGGAAGCAAATCCACGTACGACTATTCGAAAGTTTGCGGAGGAGCTTGGCGTGGGCAAGACGACCATTTCTGACCACTTGTAACGGATTGTTCTTATTTCGATTAATAAAGTTTTGTTTGGATCAAGTTATGGTACTTTAAATATTCAACTTCAAAACGCTCATTTATTTCCGGACAACCTAATAATTTAATAGTAAAATAGACACAACAAAAGGAAACCTTTCAAACACCAACATTTTCCTTATTGAGTTTGCTTCTCCGCCAATCTACGGAGATTTCTACGCCAATGCGCATCAATCTTTGGTGCAGAAATGGCTTTTGACTTGATGTAATTGCGCACGGCACAGTCAGATCGACCTAAATCTTTGAGATTTTCTTTATTAAGCTTGTTTCTCCGCCAATCTTCAAACTTCAATCAATTGTTTTGATTAGAGTTTTGACTGATTTCCTTGCCTTTCCTTCTCTTGTCATTTTGTCAATCGAATTCCTTTCGATTCTTAATTCCATACGCTAATTGGGTGATCCCAAAGTCCAATTGATTTCTTTTTTTGATTGATTTCTGTTTTCTCTAACTTTTTGTACTTCTGCTTTTTGTACTTCTTCTTTTTGTACTTTTGTACTTCCAGAACATTCTATGGGTGAAAAAAGCGAATCGTAAAGAGGAAAAAAAAAGAAATCACAAAAGAAATCCAACAAAACAAAATTCCCAACGAAAGAAAAACAAACGAACGGATCGAACGGACGACGAAAAAGAGAAAGGGTAAAAAGTACGTTGGAAAACACTTTTTTTACATTTCAATCCGTCTTGTGACCTCCAAGATTTACGAAAATGCGAATTTGAATTCATTTATGATATTCAGCTCAACCAAAAAGCGTCAATGCCGTTTCATCGACCGCTTGGCGAACGCGAGGCGAAACAACAAACCGCACCAACGTTCATTCGGGTTAGTTCACTTTGCTGACATGCAGAATTGTTTAAAATCATTGAAAAAACCTAATGTCTTAGCCTTTGTCGGACAAACGGGCGGTGGTCGGCGAACGCGTGGTACTCGAACACTGGTGGCTCCAAGCAGTCCACATGCATCCTCATCGTTGCCCCAGCTCCAACACCAGTTCCAGGCGCTAAACCAATGTATGCGTTCCAGATTAGAAAAAACTTTCAAAATTTTGGCTTTATTTTCTTTTTTTTCTGATAATATTGTTGAGAATTTGAACGCTGATTTTAGAAATTTTTGGATTTTAGTAGAGTTGAGTGTAAAAGTGAAAAATCTATTTTGTGACCTCCAGCTTTAGCGAAACAACTCGATTTTTTGTTTAATAACGAATTTTTGGCAAGATATTCGTGTGAACTCAAAAATTGTAGACCCTACTCTTTTCAGCAACAGCCCCGCTCCACCGCAGACCCCCGTCGGGCCGAGTGCACCGATTTTTTTAAAGGTACAGTAGATTAGCATTGCCTTTTTAGCTTTTTAATAGTTTCTTACATATTTATTGTTTAGGAACTTCGTCATCAACCCTTAAAACCGGGAATCGCTGTTGTATTTGAAGCCCGAGTCGCCGGGCAACCACAACCGACGATTGAGTGGCTCAAAGATGAACGCCCCTTGCAGAATTATCGGTAAGCACTCGGACAGGACTTGGCTTTTATGGATTTGGTTCTAATCTAGATATAGAAAAGCTAAACCAGGCTAGCGACCTAGTTGAAGCCATGTTTGTAACTCTGAGACTTTTGTGAACCAGGATAGACTCTTTTCCGTGCATGCTGGATATCAGGGAATCGATTGAAAGCGGTTAGGAGATGATTAGGAGGGAAAGAGGATAGGATAAGAGAATCTGGCCTAAATGTAGCCGGGCTATGCCGGGCTAGAGCCAGAAGAGGCTAGATCAGACCCCGGCAAGGTTTCGACTGTCTTCTGATGGGCTTTCTGTCGTGAGGCTGGCCTGAACCAACCCTGATCAGACTAGAGCCTGATTAGAAACCAGATTCAGGTCCTTACCAGGTCCCTGCCAGGTCTCTACCAGGTCCTTACCAGGTCCCTGCCATGTTCCTGCCAGGTCTTTACCAGGTCTCTACCAGGTCCCTACCAGGTCCCTGCCAGTTCCCTACCAGCTTCCTGCCAGGTCCCTGACAAGCCCAAAGTCTCTTGTGGACAAGCTAGAATTTGCTCTTACCTGTCTGTAGTCAGGACAGAGCCCAGAAGCTAGACAAAGCTATTTTTGTTTCTAAAGACAAAGTTTCTAGGGCAAAAGTCGAGCATGATGTGAAATCAGGCATTATCTCATTGACGATTCCACAAATGTTCACTGATGATGTCGGCGAGTACACCTTACGGGCGACGAATCAACACGGAGTTGCTCAAACTTCGGCACATCTTCTGCCCAAAGATCAATACGATCGGTGGTTTACCGACGAACAGTCGAAGTTGACAAGAGATCGGAAACAGGTGAAAACTCTTTTTAAAAACTAATTATTTCTTAAAACACTAATTTACAGTACTAAAGTACTCTAAAGTACTTTACAGTACTCTCGACTCGATAAAATAATTTTGAAATTCTGAAACAAATTGCTTTCTACATAGCTGCTTAAAAGCAATTGTTGAGCTTAGAATTTCGGATACGTTCGATTTAGGAGCAAAGAAGGCAACAAGTAATTGTCCAAGATATCTATATAATCAAAACGATTCCGAATTGAAACCATCTTTCGAGCCACCATTCCATCAGCACCATTCAATCACAGAACCACCGCAAAAGTCCCAAACAGTCTCAAACAGTTTCGAGTCCCAAACACCATCAGATCAAGATCCCTCGAGTAGTCAACGCCATCGGAATCAATCAAATTCCATTTCTTCTCATTGGAAATGATCACCTAAATGATAAAAATGAATAGAATAGAAGTTGCTTTCTAACCTTAGACCAATCCTGGTTCATATGAGCCTTCAATCGGGCCATCTTCAATCGGGCTTTCTTTTGCAAAAGCGTTACGGTCGACGTCAAAAGCGTCAGCGTCAAAAGTGTCAGCGTCAAAAGTGTCAGCGTCAAAAGCGTCAGCTTCAAGGATTTCCTTGACGGCTTGCCAAATTGTCGAAGCATCGATTTTCAGTTCCGTTTTCCATTGATCGTTTTTCCGGATGTTGTTCACAATGGCGTCTAGCTCGTGGTGTAGGCTTTGGTTTTGGTCCGGGTTTTGGTCCTGGTTTTGGTCCTGGTTTTGGTCCTGGTTTTGGTCCTGGCTTCTTCTTTGGTGCAGAAACGGCTTTTGACTTGATTTAATTTCGCAGGGCACAGTCAGATCAACCTAAATCTTTGGAGTTTTCCTTATTGAGTTTGTTTCTCCGTCAATCTGGCTTTTCTCATAATTCGTCAGCTTTGACGTGAGCAGCTTTGCCATTTAACTGGAAATTAACAAAAATTAAAATAAATGTAATAATAAGATATGAACAACAAAAGGAAACCTTTAAAACCCACAGCATTTTCCTTATTGAGTTTGCTTCTCCGCCAATCTTCAAACACGCATTAATCTTTGGTGCAGAAACGGCTTTTGACTTGATGTAATTTCGCAGGGCACAGTCGGATCGACCCAAATCTTTGCGATTTTCTTTATTAAGTTTGCTTCTCCGCCAAACTTCAAACTTCAATCAATCTTCAAACGTCAATCTTGAATCAATCTGACTTTTCTCATAATCCGTTAGAAACTTTGCGTATGCCACCTAGAAATTAACAAAAATTATATTTAAGAATAAAAAATGCACAGCGAAAGGGAAACTTCAGCAACAGTAAACAACAACAACAACAGCAAGCTGTTTAAACAAACCGCAAATGCGCTTAAGAATTTGTGACGATTCATTTGCAAAGAGGTTTCGATTTCGAAAAATTCTATTCTATTTTATTTCGATTTCGAAAAATTCTATTCTATTTTATTTCTATTTTTAATTTTTACAGAATCTTTATTTTTTTTGTGTTTTTTAGACTTTAAGAAACGATCCTTTTAATAAAAAAAGATATAATAATTGAAGGGTTTTTTAAAAATGCAAAAATCTTTATTTTCAACGGTGCGCTGAAGAATTTGAAACGAATTTTATCGATTTAAATTCTGAATTTAAATCGAGAATACAATACGATCCAGAATTATTAAAAACTTGTGTTATTTATAAAACAAATGACGCTAGTTGCTCAATCTATGCATCGAAAATCAATACAATTTCCCAGAACATGCTCGCCCAGTCGGCAGTTCGTCCAGCCTCTGCCGCGATGCGACAAATGAGCAAGTACGGTCACCAAGCCTACTCCGACACCGAGAGCTATGGAGATGTGGTAAAAATTCAAGGATATCAGCTAAATTTCACTGTTTTTACCCTACGTGACTTTCAGAAAGAGGATTTTCCTCAAAAAAAAATAAACCTCGATTTTTAGGCCCATGTTTTGAGCGATCCGGAGGTAAATCAATGTAATCAAAAACTAAATGCTTTTAAATTTTGAGTTGCTCATGATTTAATGAAAAAAATTGGTAACGTGCCTTCCAATTTAGACCTGGGGCATCTCGGAATCGGAAACCGAGCCCGAGCTGGCCGCTCTAGAGCCCCGGGCTCCGGCGCCGGGCACTCGACCTTTGCTTCGCACGCCTTTGAGGGGATTACGGTACGGTTTTCGAGATTATTTGACGATTCTGGAACTCACAAGGCCATTTGGAGAACATAGAATGAACTTAACGCTCAATTTTTACTTTCTAGACTCACCGAGGGCACGGACGCGATCCTTCAGGCGAATATTGTTGGAAATCCGAAGCCAAAAGTTTGTTGGATTTTCTTGTACGTTCTAGGAAAGCTTTCCAGATCGCTTGGTACAAGAACGGACAAGCGTTGATCATCACAGGCACGCGGATGCAAGTCAACTACAAGGCAAGACTTAGCGGCAAGAGCACTAGGCTTTAACCAGCCAGTAACAAATTTGGTTCCCTATCTCAACAAATTTGGTTCCCTTTCGCTACAAATTTGGTTCTCTCTCTACAAATTTGGTTCCCTATCTCTACAAATTGAGTTCCCTATCTCAACAAATTGAGTTCCCTATCTCTTTGGTTCTTATCTACAAATTAGGTTCCCTTTCGCTACAAATTTGGTTCCCTATCTCTACAAATTTGGTTCTTTTTCTCTATAAATTTGGTTCCCTATCTCTACAAATTTGGGGCCCTATAGTAAAATCTACAGTAACCATAAATCTTACAAATAATCTGATAATAGTGATAAAGACAAAGAATTCAACTTTCAGGGCACGATGGCTGTTTTGAAAATCTCGATGGTTGTGCCGGAAGACACTGGCGATTACACGATCCTCGCCGAGAATCGCTTCGGAAAAGTGAGTCATCACTTTTTTAGCCTTTTCCCTTTACAATCCATCTTCACAATCTAATCCCATCTTGTGAACAAATGCCTTTTTCTTGTTGGCCTTTTTTTCGACACCCACAACAAATATTTACCCACTCTAATAATGAGCTAAAGAACGGAAGGGGCTTCCTTATTGCTTTCTTTGCATGTTCTCTGAATTATTATCTTTCGAATTTATTCTGTGATATCCAAAATGGTTCTTTTAAAGTTCGAATTAGTTTTGCAAAAAACAATAGGTTAGATTTTAGCTTGAAAAGGAATCGATTCAATTACCAAACTTTCATCTTTTCCCTCTAATCATCTCCGAATCGCCTTCAATCGATTCCCTGACATCCAGAATGGTTCTTTTAAAGTTCGAATTAGTTTTGCAAAAATCAATGGGCTAGATTTCAGCTTGAACAGGAACCGGTTCAATTACCCAATTTTTCTCTTTTCCCTCTAATCATATCCAAATTGCTTTCAATCGATTCCCTGACATCCAGAATGGTTCTTTTAAATTTTGGACAATGTTAGCGTGTCAACTAGAGCTAGATTTTAGCCTGAACAGAAATCGGTTCAATTACCCAACTATCGAACTTCTTTCTGATTTGCTTATCGCTTTCAATCGATTCCCTGACATCTAGCATGCACGGAAAAGAGCTTTCCAAGAGTCCATTCGACTTTTTCCCTCGAAAAATCCGGTGAAGAGCTCTGAACGATCTCGCCGAGACAAAACCGAGAGGCCCGGATTGTTCAAAGATTGAGGGGAAAAGGGGAAAGACGGGGGGTGAATGAATGCAATCCAAATACTGCCCCTTCAACCTTTCTGCCGGATTTGCCAGTTTTTTTTGATCCACATTTCATTGGTCTAAATTTTCAGCGATTTCAAGTAATTCCTCGTGTTTTTTTTAGAGCTTTTAAGCGTTTTTCGAAATCATTTTTTTGGATCTTAGCATTCCAATATTTCTTAGCATTCCAGTATTCCCCTTGTCCCCAGTTTGCCTCAACAATTGCTCTATTTCCTGAGCATTTTGTCGAATTCACCAATTCCTCTTTTCAAATCAAAGCGATTGATCAAATTGGCAGTTCCAGTTGGGGAAAAAGAGCCAAAACTAAAGAAAAACAAAAGAAAAGAAAAAAACGACAAAAAAAGAGAGAAAGATTGAGACAAATCACCGCTTAACTTTCTTTTTCTCAGGCTAAAAAGCAAAAAGAGTAAAATGAGCATTGTTTGAAGTGGAAGGACTTTTAGAATTTACAAAAGAAAACAAAAAAAGCCACAGCAAGTCTGATAAACTAACGAAAGACATAATTTAAAGCTTTTCAATTAACTTTCCATTCGCATTTTCCATGAATACTCTTCATTCAGAAATCAATTCTCATGCTTCCAGGTGGACTCATCGGCGCGGATCGAGGTCTATCCATTGTCGATCCCCGACGAACGACCCCTTCTCACGCCGAACACCCAACCCACGACACCAATACCGCAGGTAAATAAAGTTAATAAACTGCTGGACAGTTGACAGTTTGGTTGTCTGGTTGAGACAATTGGACAGTTTAGTTCAGAAACTAACTAAACAGTTCAGAAATTAACTTAAAAAATAGCAAGTGAACTGAATAAAAAAAAATAAAAAATAACAAGGGAACTGAATTTTCAAAATAACAAATCAATAATCAACTGAGCCTCCTGAACGCTGAATCACTTGAAAAACTCTATTCTCCATGCTTAAAATTCTATTGTTGTCGAACGAAGTTGTTAATGGGTTTTTTGATCTATCAAGTTGCAACAATGGCTTTCTTGATACGGCCGCCTACAAGCGGCCATCTAAATACGGCCATCTAAATACGGCCATCTAAATACGGCCATCTAAATACGGCCATCTAAATACGGCCATCTAAATACGGCCATCTACATACGGCCATCTACATACGGCCATCTACATACGGCCATCTACATACGGCCATCTACAAACGACCATCTACAAACGACCATCTACAAACGGCCGTCTACAAACGGCCATCTACATACGGCCATCTAAATACGGCCATCTACATACGGCCATCTACATACGGCCATCTACAAACGACCATCTACAAACGACCATCTACAAACGGACGTCTACAAACGGACGTCTACAAACGGCCATCTACATACGGCCATCTAAATACGGCCATCTAAATACGGCCATCTACATACGGCCATCTACATACGGCCATCTACATACGGCCATCTACAAACGACCATCTACAAACGGCCATCTACATACGGCCATCTACATACGGCCATCTACAAACGACCATCTACAAACGACCATCTACAAACGGCCGTCTACAAACGGCCATCTACATACGGCCATCTAAATACGGCCATCTACATACGGCCATCTACATACGGCCATCTACAAACGACCATCTACAAACGACCATCTACAAACGGACGTCTACAAACGGACGTCTACAAACGGCCATCTACATACGGCCATCTAAATACGGCCATCTAAATACGGCCATCTACATACGGCCATCTACATACGGCCATCTACATACGGCCATCTACAAACGACCATCTACAAACGGCCATCTACATACGGCCATCTACATACGGCCATCTACAAACGACCATCTACAAACGACCATCTACAAACGGCCGTCTACAAACGGCCGTCTACAAACGGCCGTCTACAAACGGCCGTCTACAAACGGCCGTCTACAAACGGCCGTCTACAAACGGCCGTCTACAAACGGCCGTCTACAAACGGCCGTCTACAAACCTTTGGCGTAAATTTTGCCAACCATGCATCCCCAAATGTTTCCTTCTGGACTTCAAATCGGGGGAATTGACCGCCCACTCTAAAAGTGCTAATAGTAAGGTAGTGCTAATTCGAGTAAATTCTCTAAAACCTTGAATTCTTGATATTTTGCAACATTGATTGAGATTGCCAACAAGATTGCCTTAGACTCGCTTGCTATGCCAATCAGAAATCTTTTTGAAACAGCATTTTGAGCAAAAATGAATTTTAAATTGATGTCAACCAATTGCTTAGAAATTCCTTTTGAATTCTCATTTTTTTCCATCTCCAGGCGACGTCCGGGGGAGCGTCTTTGCCTGTGACACAACGGCAGCAACAATCCCTTGAAAGGCCTCAACAATTGCACGAAGCACAGCCGACTCAACAACAATTGACGGCAGCTGCTGTCGCCTACGAGAGAGAGCGACAGATTCGAGAGCAGCACGCGAGAAGGCAACAACAGGTTCATTTCATTGTGTAATCCAAAATGGCAATTTTGAATGCGAACTAAGAGTTGAAGCAAATGGTTTAAGCTTTAATTTGAATGAAATCCTGATTTCGGTTTGATTTCGGTTTGATTTCTAAAACTTCTAGGAAGCCGAGGCTCAGCAACGGGAGCAACAACAACAACAACAACAACAGCGGCGACAGCAACAGGTTTTTCTTTTAAAAATTTCAAACGTCAAATTTCTGCAGGAGACCGAGGCGCGCCGCCGCTTGCAACTGGAAGAAGAGGAGAGGCGCCGACGGGAACAGGTGAAAAGTTGAAAAGTTGAAATTGAGAGGAAATTTGTGAAGAGTTAGCTGTTGTGACATCCAGAATAGCTAAAAATTAAAAAAATTTGAAATAGTAACGTAGTGGAAACGATTACAGAAGAGTGACTAGTAGCCTACCGTATCCAATCAAGTCAGTTTACTGTAAAAGTGTAGAAATTGTACAGAATTGACTACTGTGACGTCCAGGATGCACAAAAGTTTTGAAATTTTGAAATTTTCTTGTCTAGGAGCTGCGCCAGGCCGACGAACTCCGCCGACATCAGTTGGTTGAGCAACAACGCGCGCAAGAAGAGGAAAGGAGAAGGCAAAGAGCGGAAACAGAAAGAGTGCGGGAAGAGGAAAAGCAGAGACAGAGATTGGAATACGAGAGAGCGATCGAGACACAGAGGAGGCGGCAACAGGAACAGGTTCGTGGGGTACAGTACTGTCGTGGGGTACTGTCGGTACAGTACTGTCCTGGGGTACTGTCGGTACAGTACCTTTGACTCTTTGCCTGCTAAGGAAATGTACTGTAGGACATAGCTGTCCATGGTTGCATTGAGTTCCTTGTAAAGCTTAATTTGCAACAACTACAAAGTCATCGTATAGTCCTAGCCTGTTCGTCTCCAAGAAATCGTTTTCAAATAGTATTCTTAATTCGATTCTTGTGCCTTGACGCTGCCCACTTTACTCAGTAAATTTGAATTTAAAGTTTTCCACTTTATCCAGTATAATTTTCGTTTAAAAGAGGCAACTTCCATTTAGTTTTATGAGCTAACACGGGAAAACGATTTACTGGAAACGACGTTTTACCGGAAACGACGTTTTACTGGAAAGATTAAAGGTGCCTCTGTAAAGATCAGAGACACCGCCGGAACTTTTCCTGAAGCCTAACATACAGTACTGGAAAAGTACGCTCCGTGGGAAAACCATGGACGTACACTACTGGACAATGAAATATCATATTTGAAAACCGATCGTCACTTTCGCGCGTCTGTAACTACCTTGTCTTTGAGTTTTAAACTATTAGTGTTATACATTTTCTGAAAGCTCTTTTCAAGGGCTACACATTGGTAATATTAATATTTAGAAATACGGTAAAGACAAGGAAGTTACAGACGCGCGAAAGTGACAATCGTTTTTCAAATATCATATTTCATTGTCCAGTAGTGTACGTCCATGGTTTTCCCGTGGTACTTTTCCTCGGAAAGTTCCGGCTGAAAGTTTTACTGGAAAGATTAAAGGTGCCTCTGTAAAGATCAGAGACACCGCCGGAACTTTTCCTGGAGCCTAACATACGTCCATGGTTTTCCCACGGAGCGTACTTTTCCTCGGAAAGTTCCTCGGAAAGTTCCTCAAGAAGTTTCTCCGAAAGTTCCTCGAAAACTTCCTCGGAAAGTTCCGGCTGAAAGTTTTACTGGAAAGATCAAAGGTGACATCGTAAAGATCAGAGACACCGCCGGGACGGGCTGGAACGGGCTCAGTTTGTCGCGAATGTGTTAAACGAGTTTAAAGGAACTTAGGCAATCAACTTAGGCTCAGGCAATCAACTTAGGCTTACCGTAAATACTGTAACAGTACCCCACCCCCATAATGACGGTGCGGAGCTTTGCGTAGTCGAGCTTTGGACGCATTTTTCTCGACACTGGTTTATGCTACAATGCGCGCTTAGGTATCAAAAAATAGCTGAAATTCAGGGCTATTTTTTGATACCAAAGACGTATTTTTTGGAAGTATGGGTGCTTTGAAAAACAATGAAATACTAAAAAACTTTTGCGACTACGCGACTGTACGAAGGGGGTGGGGTACTATTACAGTATAGGCAATCAACTTAGGCTTAGGCAATCAACTTAGGCTTCGGCAACCTTGTTGTGAATGTGTGAAAACCTGTCTAACTATTCACAATTCTAATTTCATCGTTTTTCAGCAACGCCGTGAGATTCAACTGCTCGAGGAGCGACGTCGACAAGAAGAAGACGAGCTCCGTCGACGACAGGTAATGCCTAGAGAAATTGTAATGAACTCACTATTCAAAATATCCATTCTTTTTTTTGATTAAGTGACTTTTAAGCAATGAAAGCAAAAGCAAAACCTCAAAAGCTTAATTTTTTTCGATTTCCAGAGCAGCAAATTCGATTAAAAATGAATTTTTCTCAAGAAAAAACGACGTTATTTAGCCTAAAATTGCAAAAGAAAATTGCAATAGCTTAATAATAGCTATAGCTTAATAATTGCAAGAGAGAGAAGTTTGAAAAAAAGTCGGTGTAATAATCAAGGCTATGAATTGTTTTCACTTCCTGCGAATTTTTTGCGCTTTTCTTCATCTTACCTTACGATTTTACTTATTTCTCTCTTTCTTTTCTCGCTGTGATTGGTGTTTGTTGATATCAATGTGCTGGGGATTTCTTTCTTAAACCCTTTTCCCTAGCTAATGATCAGAAAAAAGCTTTACACTCATTTGACGGGGGATCCTGGAGGGGGGCTGGGGGGAGGAGACCCTAGGGGTGGGGGTCCAGGGGGGACGAGGTCCAGGGGGGGAGGAGGTTCAGGGAGGTGGGGGTCCATGGGGGGAGGAGGTACAGGGAGGGGGGGGTCCAGGGGGAGGAGGTCCAGGGGTGGGGGAGGTTCAGGAAGGGTGGTTCAGGGCGGTGGGGGTCCAGGGGGAGGAGGTCCAGGGGTGGAGGAGGTCCAGGAAGAAGGGGTCCAGGAAGAAGGGGTTCAGGGTGGAGGAGGTCCAGAGATGGGGGAGGTCCAGGAAGGGGGTCCAGGGATGGGGGAGGTCCAAGGGGCCCAGGAGGGGATGGGGTCCAGGGGTGGGAATCCAGGGGGTGGGGGGAGGAGGTCCAGGGAGGTGGGGGTCCAGGGCGGGGTCCAGGGAGAGATCCAGCGTGCCCCCAGCGTCCCCCCAGCCCTAGGCATAAATTCCTGTCTCTTTCGTCTCTTTATCTCACCTGATATCCAGCTAAGAGAGGTCTTCGATTTGATTGGGCAAAACTCCACCGAGAGGCGAGATCAAGCGTCAGTCCCGCTTCTCCAACTGATTCATTGGCTGTTCATCGCACATAAAACTCTCAAAGTCTCTCCCGATTTGTTTTTGATCAAGCTGGCACGCACGCTTTTGATTTTCTCATTAAAATTTGATACTTTCTTTCTGCGAAATTGATTTGGATTACTCGCCACACTGACACTTGCCTGAATCAATACCGAATTTTCTTTCGGTGTAACCCTTGGGTTTTCTTTTTCTCTTTCTCGAAGCTGGAAGTCATATTGCACAAATTTTATTCTTTTTTGGATTAAATTTGTCTTTTTTAAACCTATAAGGAAAATTCATAAGGAAAATTGGTCAAAATCACAAAAATCTCTTGAAGAAATCATCGAATTTTGTTTTTCTGACAGGAGAAAATGAGAATGGTGCTTTTTCTAGATCTTTCTTTATCTTAATCTTTGTTTTTTTCTTTAAAACCTATTGGATTACTTTAAAATTATGTCTATCAAAAAAAGAGGATTTTTTTCTGTTTTTTTGTCAGGAACCATTTGAGTATTTTCTTTCGTTTATTTTGCTATTTTTCTATTCGTTTATCTTGCCATTTTCCTTCGTTTATTTTGCCATTTTTTTATTCCTTTTTTTTGCTTCAATCATCCCTTAACCCTTAATTAGCACAAATAAAAAAAACCCAGCCAAAAATCCGACAAAAATTTAAATCGAAAACACAGGTGCTCCAATTAAGCCGTTCGAAAGTCGAAAAGGTAGAGCTCAAAGCAAACAGCTGTCCAAAGGAAAAGACGGGGGTGCTGGTCAAAAAAAAAAAGTGGACGCGGGGGAGTCGGAGGCGATGGGGTAAGGGCCAGGAGGAACAGGAGGAACGATGGGAGTGCAAGACTGAGAGAAGAGTGGAGAGAGATCAGGTGCCTGACCGGCAAAGTTGAGAGTTGGAGAGATAGCGATGTAGAGAGCGATGGAGGTGATGGAGTGAGGTCCAGGACAAACGATGGGAGTGAGAGAACGGGGCTTTGGAGAGGAGGGGGCTTGGAGGAGGAGGAGGAGGAGGAGAGACAGGAGATGGCCGGGGAAATGAGAATGGCTTAGAATGATAAGATAAATAGTAGAAAGCATAGAATGATATCCAGGATGAAAGATTCAAGTGATAGAACGGGGTTAGGAAGGAGTCGAGACGCAGAAATACGGAGTTGAGAGAACGAGGCCAAACACCGAGATACGAGAGTGACCACGTAGGGAAAACATTGGAGGTCTTAGCGTGCGCTCCAGATTGAAAGCTCCAAGTGATAGAATGGGTCGATAGAGTCAGAAAAATGGCTAGAGAGCCACGATCACAAACAAAGCCATCGTTGGGGAGATGGTTGGGGAGATTTCGGAGATTTCGGAACGCTCTCTTCAAGAATGACAAAAAAAGTGTTTGTGCAGGGAAAAGCAGAGGGAAAGAGTAGGTGGGATAAGATTTTGAGAGAAAGATTTGAGATTTTTCCCATTTTTCCCATTTTCTTCTTTCCACTCTCTCCTATCCATCATCAAAAGTTTACTCATCGAGAAAGGCTGAAAATTTTGAAATTTGTTGCGGTCTAGTGAATTTCTTCGGTAATCCTGGAGCTCAACTTAGACTTTACGCTTATTTTTAACCATCCTAGAGCTCATTTTCGAAATTCAGCTTTTGAATGACAGAGATTTTTCTTTAAACTTTTTTGAAGTTTACATTTTCCACAAAAATCTTTCATCAATGGTTATTGTGCGCTCCAGATTACCGTAATTCTTATCATACAAAAGTCTCTTGCACAATCTTTTCGATTTCAGGAGGCGTACACGTATTCCCAATTTGTACCCTATTCGCCGACCGGTGGCAGCTCGTGGGGCGGTGCACAGCCGAATCTACAATTTGGGGCACAACAGGTGACTCAATAGGCATATGAAACAAGATCCAAGGTTACTGTAGCCGGGTTACTGTAGCCGGGTTGCTGTAGTCGGGTTACTATAGCCGGGTTACTGTAGCCGGGCTACTGTAGCCGGGATTACTGTAGCTAGATTGCTGTAGCCGGGTTACTGTATCCGGATTACTGTACCTGGAATACTGTAGTCGGATTACTCTAGCCGGATTACTGTAGCCGGGTTACTGTACCTGGATTACTGTAGCCCGTAATCCGGGTTACTGTAGTCGGATTACTCTAGCCGGGTTACTGTACCCGGATTACTGTAGTCGGATTACTGTAGTCGGATTACTGTAGTCGGATTACTGTAGTCGGATTACTGTAGTCGGATTACTGTACTTCTCCTCCTCCTCCAAGCCGGGTTACTGTAGCCGGGTTACCTTAGTCGGATTACTGTAGTCGGATTACTGTAGTCGGATTACTGTAGTCGGATTACTGTACCCGGATTACTGTAGCTGTTGTCTATGCTCTTGTTGTTGTAGGGTTACTGTAGTCTACCTTGATAGTAATACGGTCCAAAGAACACTTTAAATTATCGTACAGTAAATATAGATGTACATAGTATCGCATAGTATCTCTATAATGCACTCTAGAGATCTAGCGAACTCTCTTATGCTTTTTGAAGTGGAATGAATAGCCCTGGAGTGCTTCGGCTACAGTAATCTATTAGCTACTTGCAAAAGAAACAGAGAGTCACAAAAAACCATCGTACAACGGTCTAAATTAGTGACAGATCAAGGCGGAGCATCTTTACTTACAGTCGTTTACTTGCTTTACTTACTTACAGTCGTTACTTACAGTCTGGTGACTTTTTTGACCCGTAGCTTCTTTTGCAAGTACCTAATATTCCTAGAAGACTCTGGCCGATGTTCCGAATGAAATAGAGCAAGCCAAGGATTACTGTACCCGGATTACCGTATCCGGATTACTGTAGCCGGATTACTGTAGCCGGATTACTGTAAGGATTACTGTACCATTGTTAGTAGAGCAGCAATGGAGACATACAATGAATTGACTCAAACAATTCGCGATTTCAGGTTCAATACAGTCAGCCGTCTCCTCCAAATCTCCATCAACAACATCAAAAATCCCCTCAACCTCCCGTTTACCTCGTCCAGCCGGGCACCCTTTGGCAGCAAGGAGCCTACGCTGAGCCGATTCATTCAGGAGCACAACCACAACAACCCCTTCACTACCAGGAACCCGTGCAACGAGTGGGTAGAGCTTAAATGCATCAACGGATTACTGTAATAGGACTACGGTAATGGACAGGGTTCAGTGTAGCCAGTCCTACTGGAAAAGCTGATGACAGAAGACTACTGTAGATTATTGGCTTACTTTTACTGTATAGAGCAAGCAAGGCTACTGTAAAGGAGTACACTTAAGCAGCGGTTCATAACAAGGTTACTGTAGGTCAGGTTAGTGTAGGCCAGGTTACTGTAGGCCAGGTTACCGTAGATCTCTGGAACCTGTGGGTTACTGTAATCTGACTTAAAGGTACTAAAGAGCTACAGTAATGGACAGTGCAGCCAGCTCGGATAAAGATAAATTCTAGGTAAGCGGTGGGCAGTCCGCTTACGAGGATCACATCGTTTCCCGTCGACATCAAGGCCATCCGGCGCAAAGGCAGCTCCGACTACCCGACTACTCTCCTCAACTTGGCAGCGTTGAGCAAGAGGTGCGTTTGAGTTTAGTGACATCCAGGATTTACAAAAAAGCAAGAATTTGAATAAGTGACCATTTCAAATTGGCATTTTCTCGTCAAAGTAAAAATTTGTCTCAGTGATTTTTACAAATTAGCATTTTTGGCGTAAAAACCAAACCATAGCTCCTTGTGACATCCAGGATTTACAAAAAAGCAAGAATTTGACTAAGTAACCATTTCAAATTAGCATTTTCTCGTCAAAGTAAAAATTTGTCTCAGTGATTTTTACAAATTAGCATTTTTGGCGTAAAAACCAAACCATAGACATCCAGGATGTCACATCCAGGATTGTGACATCCAGGATTTACAAAAAAGCAAGAATTTGACTAAGTAACCATTTCAAATTAGCATTTTCTCGTCAAAGTAAAAATTTGTCTCAGTGATTTTTACAAATTAGCATTTTTGGCGTAAAAACCAAACCATAGCTCCTAGTGATATCCAGAATTTTCAGTGGTACACTCGAGAACACCAAAAACCCCACTATCAGCAGCAGATTTTACCCAATCAACACCAGCAACACCACTACGATATGGCGACCAAACAGCAGCAACAGGTAAACGCTGGGAATCTGGTGCACTGAGGAATTAGCATAAAATTGTTGTTTATCCATATGTTTATGTTTATTTATGTTTTGATTGTTTTAGAAGAACCCAACGACTCATACGATGGTTGCAAGAGTCAAGGTTTTATCAGAAAAATTTCTCCAACTTTAAGCTATCACCCCCTTCTTTCCGTTACTGTACTTTCTACCTAACTATTTATTTAATACCCTGGGATTTCGGGAACTATATGGGAAACCCGGTTTGGTTTAGTGGCCTGGTAAAACCTCAATTCAACGGTTGACCTAAAGAGGAAGATTACTGTACTTTCTGCATAGTTTACTTCAGTTTTTCCCCAGTTAATTGTCACTTTCTTTCCCTCTTCTTTCCTTCTTTCCTTCTTTCCTTCTTTCCTTCTTTCCTTCTTTCCTAACTTTCATCACCTTGTTTTCCTATCAGATCTGGTGATGGGATCTTGAAAAACAAGACAAAACGATTATCGACTATCGAAAACGATGATGAAATCCGTTTTTTGTCGAATGAGCAATAGTTTTTTTATGCAAATTTTAGACCATTCTAGACCATTCTAGACTATTCTAGACCATTCTAGACTATTCTAGACTATTCTAGACTATTCTAGACCATTCTAGACCATTTAGACCATTCCAATCAGATCTGGTAGACAAGATTCATCTAAACTTTTATTTTAAGATTTCTGCCTACTTTAGAAAAACCTTCTTTATATTTCTGCTATTAAAATCCGAGCCTCAAAAAGTTTCTATTCGAAAATTCTTAGGCTCAAAATGGCTCGATGAAGGAACAGGCAGCGACCGTCATCGAGGGTTACTCGGCCCCGTCGCCTGGGCAAATCATCGGCAGGTGAGTGCTGTGTGACAGCCAGGATTAGCGAAAAGTTGAAAATCGACTCAAAATAGCCGACTTTTCACATGGAAAATCTCACAAACTTTTCACAAGCTCAAAAATTGTGTTTAGATCCGCGAAACCGCCCGTTTTCCTCGTGCATCCCCAATCGGTGGCAGCCAAGATTGGAGATCAAGTCGTTTTCAGTGCAAAGGTGGGATTTTTAGGCTAAACAGCAGCTAAAAAGCATATTATAATATTATTGATATGAAAAATATCAATAATATTATAATATGGAATATAATATAATTTAAAATGAAAATTAAAAATTGAATGGTGGTGCCGGGGGTCGAACCCTGACCCTCCTGGCTTCCAGACAAGCTTACTGCTGATTGCGCTATGATGACAGCGAAGCGGAAAAAGTCGCTCTTAACTGGCTAGGCGGCTTTTCGGCTGATAATGAAGCTCTTGAAAAACTCCTGAAAACACGTGATTTTCCAGGCAAGCGGCGATCCACTTCCCCAAATGGAATGGCTAATGGGCGATGGCTCAGTCGTTCCCCAAACCGGCCAAATCCGTGCCGAGAGTTTCGCCGATGGCAGCGGCCGACTCTGCATTGATAAGGTGAATCTTTAAGATCCAAAAAAGATCCAGAAAGCTGGCGACTCGAATCCAGAAAGCTGGCGAAATCCTGCCTTTCTGGGGCACGCATTTCGTTGCCAAACGAGTTTCCGAGAGCACAAACAGCAAAACCTCTTTTCCAGGTTGAAGCCGAACAAGCGGGCACTTTCCTGTGCGTTGTGCGAAATGCAGGTGGCAGTATGCAATCGCGCTTCCAGCTACAAGTGCTCCGTAAGTGTTTGAATCGCTTTTTCTGAAATCTAAAGAACTTTTGAAAGGTTTTCTGAGAAATTTAACCAATCTGGAAGTCACAAAAGATAATGAGCGATTTCATTTCGTAATTTCATGTAATTTCAAAGAATTTTTGCCGAAATTTAACCAATCTGGAACGGAATGAGCCATTTTATCTGAAATTTCTGAGGTTTCAAAGAGTCTTCTGAGAAATTTAACCAATCTGGAAGTCACAAAAGATAATGAGCTATTTCCTTTCGTAATTTCATGTAATTTCAAAGAATTTTTTCCGAGATTTAACCAATCTGGAACGGAATGAGCCATTTTATCAGAAATTTCTGAAGTTTCAAAGAAATTTCTAAGAAATTTAACCAATCTGGAGCGCACAGCGGATGATCAGCGATTTTTTTCGTAATTAGATCAAATTTGAAAGAATTTTTGTGAAATCCGGAATACACGAGAGTTTTTGAGCGATTTCTTCGGAAATTTCAGAAGTTTTAAAAAAATTTGACCAATCTGGAGCACACAAAAGCTGATAAAGCATTTCATTTTCAGAAACCCGATCCCCAGATGCGCCCCGTTTCACAGGCACTTTCCAATCGACAACAATTAACGAAGGAGACACGATCAAATTATATTGCAAAGTAAATTTTTTGAAATCCTGGAACGCATGCTTTCTGAATCTTTCAAATAGACAAAAAATAGACAAATTTTTCAAGTTTTAAACTTTTTAGGCTCATGGTGACTCACTGAAATTCGAATGGTCAAAAGACGGTGATGCGATCACGTCAGGAGGACATTACAAGTGAAATTTGAATCCTGAACTCTTTCCTGTTTTCCAGAATTAAGAAAAATCCCTTTAGAGTCTCAAATTCGGCTAACGAAACGACTCTCATCGTTGAGCAGGCCACTCTGGAGGAAGGCGGATGGTACACATGTGTGGCCAGCAATCAATTTGGCTCCACACCGCTAAAGGTTTGATTCCGGTTTAAAGGACTAGCTTAAATTTCGTAATTTTAGCTGTAAATTAGGTAAAATTGGCCAAAGTTTGACTACACTATCGAGCAGAAATAGAGCTTTGCAAGAGTTTGCGATTATTCCAAAAAATTGACAACAGCTATTTTCTTTAAATTGCGTTTTTTTCTTCTATCTGGATGTCACACTAGAATTGTAAAGATTCGGATTTTTGATTTCCAAGCAAAAACTTTTTGCCTTATTGTGTATCCGATGTGGGTCAGAGTAAGCAGCTGATCCAGCGGCCTAACCAGCTCTCCGTTCAAGTACTTAATCAGTTTTGAACTGGTAGAGTACAGTAGAGTAGTCTAAGGATGAATTAGGGTTAAGAGTACAGCTAGGGAGCCAGACAGGGTAGGGAGCCAGACTGGCCAGCTCCAGCTAAGGACGAGATTCAGCTTCAGCTTCAGCTAAGGACCAGATTCAGCTTCAGCTAAGGACCAGGTTCGGCTCCAGCTAATGACCAGGTTCAGCTCCAGCTAAGGAGCAGGTTCGGCTCCAGCTAATGACCAGGTTCAGCTCCAGCTAAGGACCAGGTTCAGCTTCAGCTAAGGACCAGGTTCGGCTCCAGCTAATGACCAGGTTCAGCTCCAGCTAAGGACCAGGTTCAGCTCCAGCTGATAGGCATGCTAGTGTCAGGTTCAGAGTCAAGCTAGTCAAGCTGGATAAAGGATATGAGGACAAGAAATTTTTGAATCCAACTTTAGCTTTGAACAATTTCGAAAACAAGCTTTTTTCACTAGATATGAGCACTATAAACTACAAAAATGACGATCTTTCACATTTTAAACGTAGTTTAGCCAATGACTTTGCATGAATATTATATTTTGAGTTGATTTTTGTATTATTTGCTGAGCAATTTCATTCTGCGTCGATTGATACTAAAATCAACTTAAAAATATAATATCCATGCAAAGTTATGAGGCAAAAGGTGAAGCCCCGCCGATAATGGGCAGGAGTTTAACTTTTTGCCGTTGGCAATTTAGGGTTTTTCGTGTTTTTCTCAGCACTAACCCTTCTATTTTGACTATATTGACTATCATTCGATACGGAATAAAATTGCGCATCAAATGATACAAAAATCAACTCAAAATATAAAATGGCTGGCTAACTTGTTGGCTAACTTGTTGGCTAACTTGTTGGCTGACTTTCTTTAGGATTGATATGTTTCAGTGTGCTCATTCGAAAGCTCTTGAAATTCTCTATTTTTCAAGCTATAGATTACCTCGATCCGACAGATTTGAACCAAGTTAGAAGCGTTTGTAGTCCACGCTTGTAGTTTACATTGTAGTTTACATTTGTAGTTTGTAGCGACCATGTCTATTTCTTTCTACTTCTCAACTTTTTTTACCTTTCCTGTTCCAGGGTCGCATTGTTGTGCAATCGCGTCGCAAGCTTGCCCCGCATCAGCGCGAGTTGATCACGCTGAGGAAAGTCGAGCACAAACGCGCGAGGACTCCAGTGAATCAATTGGAAATCGCCTCGTCTACCCCACCACAATTCCAGGTTTGGCTTTTCAACCAGTTTCTGAATGATCCACAATTTTAGGGTTCACTGCAACCACTTTCTCTTGTTGAGGGTCAAAGTGCTCGCTTAGAGGTCAACTACACCCCAGCTGAAGATCCGAATTTAAAAATTGCTTGGATTAAGGTCAGTCTTTGGTATCAAAAGCTAGTATTAACAAAAATCTAATTTAAATTAGATACTTTAACCATAAGTGACCCAATTGGCTATCACTAGGTTGTTTTGCACTTAATTGGGTGTCAGTTGAGCTTTTAGAATCGTTATTGTAAGATTAGTGGCTTAATTAGATGTCAGTAGAGTTTTTAGAATCGTTATTGTAACTGTAAAAGCTCAACTGACATCCAATTAAGCCACTAATGTTACAATGATGATTAAAACCGGTGTAAAACAACCTAGTGATAGCCAATTTGGTCACTTATGGTTAAAGTTTCTAATTTGAATTAGATTTTTGCATTATTGGTTTAATTAGGTGTCAGTTGAGCTTTTAAGCTTTTAAAGTTGAGCTTTTAGAATTGTTATTGTAACATTAGTGGCTTAATTGGATGTCAGTTGAGCTTTTAGAATTGTTATTGTAACATTAATGGCTTAATTGGATGTCAGTAGAGCTTTTACAATCGTTGTTGTAACATTAGTGGCTTAATTGGATGTTATTTAAGCTTTTAGAATCATCATTCTAACATTAGTGGCTTAATTGGATGTCAGTTAAGCTTTTCCATTAGTCAGAGTAAACTCTTATCAAATTTTGCGGTTCTTGAAAAAAGATCGTTGTTATATGCTTAATGTTATCATATTCTTAAGCAAATTATCGTAAAAGAATGTTTTCTAGGACGGTCGTGCTCTTCTCGCATCATCTCGTGTCGCCACATTGAGCGAATTCGGCGTTGCTGTCTTAGAAATCAATCCGATCAACGTTTTTGACCAAGGCGAGTACACGATTGTCGCTGTGAACACGGCTGGAGAAGCGCGATTGTCGACGACACTGCAGGTAAGCCCTGGTGAAGGCCATAATAGGCTAAAGCCTAGCCTATTGTAAACACTGTGATAGTACATTTGCGTAGGCGCAAGTTTTTTTAGTATTCAAAGCAAGCGCAAAAAAAAATAGTGCTGAATTTCAGCTATTTTTTGATCCCTAAGTGGACATCGTAGCTTAAATCAGTGTCTAGAAAAACGCGTTCAAAGCTAGACTACGCAACACTCCTCACCATCATTATGGCTATTACAGGATTTACGATAGCCTTCACCTTCATGTTTACCTAGTTAACTATCTAGTAAACACTCTAATAGAACGCCATAATGATGAGCGTACAGTCGCGTAGTCGCGTAGTCGCGTCTAACTTTAAACGTCCCGTTCTCCGCGCTGCTTTAAGCTATAGTATGCGCTTTGGTGTCAAATGATAGCCCTTGAAATCTAGTATATTTTTTGATATCAAAAGTTTAGTTAAGAAAATCTAGGGCTGAGAAAAAATTAAAAAGAAGTCAGACTAGATGTGGCGTTCTATTAGGTTTGGTATATCAATTTTAACCTCAATTTTAACCTTTTAGCTTCATTTCTCGAAATTCTAGGTGCTCGGTCACGCTCAAGTCGCTCCTTCACCGCGTACGGTTGGCCAAGAAATGGGTGGGCAAATGTATGGCTCGATGACAGCGTCGATGATCGGTGGTGGTGCTGGCGGAGTGCCCGAGGTGCCCAACTTTCACTCGGATTTGCGAAGTCACGAGGTTTTCGAAGGGCATCCGATTCATTTGGAGTGCAAGGTTTGTATCAGATTTAACTTTGTAGAGATTTAACTAACTCAGATTTAACATTTTCAAGATCTTAAATAGTCAATTAGCGCAGGATAATGGAATCTAATAACGAAATTTTCTTTAGATCACCCCGATCAACGATCCAAATCTCTACGTGCAGTGGTTTCTCAACGGACAACCGTTGCCAGAAAGTCGGTTTTCTTGGGGAGAAATTCGGAAGCTAGAGCTGCGGCTACGGTAGCTAAAAGTGCACTTTAGAAGGTTCAGGGAAATTTCAGAGATACGGCTATGGAACTAGGGAAACCGAAAAAAAAGCACCAAAGTTTTGTGCACCGGAAGTTGCGATGCTAGCTACCGTAGCCACTGCTAGCTAGGATAATGATTATCGGAGATTTGAGACAAGCCCGGCCCCTTTTCCCATTGGCAATCTAAGTTTGAGCTCAAATATCTTTGTGTTGAGCTGTCTAATTTTAATATTCTTGGTATCACTGGATGCGCCAAGTCTTTCTCTATCGATTGGTACAAAAACTATTGAAATTGGATGGGCCAAAGCCAAGAAATTTGAGCTCAAAGTTGGATAGCCGATGGGAAAAGGGGCGGGGCGGTAAAAGATCCCAAAACTCGGCCCCTTTTGCCATTGGCAATCTAAGTTTGGGTTGAAATTTCTTGGGATTGAGCTGTCTAATTTCAATATTCTTGGTTTCACTGGATGCGCCAAGTCTTTCTCCATCGATTGATACAAAAACTATTGGCCAGAAAGACCTTTTATACCCGCCCCGACCCCTTTGCTATTGGCAATCTAACTTTAAACTCAAATATCCTCGTGTTGGGTGGTCCAATTTCAATAGTTTTTGTACCAATCGATAGAGAAAGCCTAGACGCATCTAATGATATCAAAAAGATTTAAATTCGACAGCTCAACACAAAGATATCTGAGCTCAAAGTTGGATTGTCGATGGGAGAAGGGGCGGGCGCGTATCAAATCTCACACAAACTACAATATACATATTTCTTCAGCTGCTCGTCATCGCACCTCATCCGCTTACGGTTTCGTCTGTTTGGACATCGCTGACGCACAGTCGGGCGATGCCGGTTTCTACACGGTGGTCGCCTCGAATGATCTCGGAAGCGCTGATCAAAGCTGTGATATCCTTATTCATCGTAAGTTCTTTTAAGCAAATTTTAAGCTCTACATACGCTAGGCATAAAGTACAAAAAGATTACGGTTTTTTGTAAGCCAGAGAACAGTAGGCCACTGAGAGAATATTGTAGTTGAGCACCGGCTTACAGTAGTTGTCGAAAGTACTGCAGCTAAGAGCTTTCGGCTAAAATTTCAGCCAAATCCACCTGTAACTATCTTGGCTTCGTTTCAACGACTACGATAGCTTTATCCGCTTTTAAGAAAACTAGAAAAGTAGCTCAGTTGCCTATTGAACTGATCAAATATCAAACTCATTTAAATGGCTATAAATTTTTCAGCAAAGTCGACTTTGTTGCAATATCAAGCGAATCTGGATGTGGATGATGTTCGAGAGTTGACACATCGTGGGGGAAACGATGGAGAAGCCCCGAAATTCATTCGCTCACCGATCAACTACCATTGTGAGCAAGAGCTAGGACGATCGTATTTTGAGGCAACCATCACTCCCGTCAACGATCCGAGTTTAAGGGTAAGGGTTGAGCTTTTAAATGAATAGAGATTGCTGCTGCTTAAGCTCATTGAACTTGCAACTATAGCAGATAAACTGGCAATTCATTTCCTAGTCCTGGACAGGAAATGTTCTAAAGAATTTTTTCGATCTAGCAGAGCCAGAACTTGCTTGAGCTAATCTAGCTTCAATGCAGGAGTCAGGTTTAGAGTTATTGCCTGGCTCTGGCTTAGTCTAGCCAAGCTTAGCCTAGCCTAGTATAGCCTAGTCTAGCCAAGCTTAGCCTAGCCTAGCCTAGCCTGACCTAGCTCTACCTGGCCTAGCCTAGCCTAGCCTAGCCTATCCTAGCCTAGCCCTACCTGGCCTTTCTTATAGATTCGGCCATTCTTAGACCTGTACAAATGGGCATAGGGATCATTTTCCAGATCCTAAAAAAGAATGATAGCAGATTTTGATAGCTAAACTACTACTCTAGATCTTATAACAGCTCAAATATCGCAAATTTCTAGGTCTCGTGGCTGAAAAACGGGCAAGCGATGCCGAACGCGAATCGCATTCAAACGGGGGTTCATTTTGGTCATGTCTCGCTCACCATTCATCCAACGTACCCCGAGGATGCTGGCGTGTACACTTGCGTACTCCATAATGTCATGGGTACAGCGCAAGCGAATGCCGAGTTGACCACGTATCAGGTAAAGATCCGATAGTCAAAAATTCAACTATTCAGCTAAAATCGTTATGGTAAACTAGGAGAACGGTAGAATTAATGCTGTGGATTTTTTAAGGGCTTAGAAATGCTAGGATTTTTTTTTCTTTATTAAAGCTAGGATCACTGACAAAGGCAAACTTTAACCACTTTCAAATCTTTCAATCTTTCAATCTTTCAATTCTAGACTGAGGTGCTTAAACTCGAGTCTCAGCACGGAGAGAGTCTGCCGATCATTGGCTACCTTGATTCTCATCAAATCCACATTGGACCGATGCCCGTTGTCCGTCCCGAAGAAGAGCACTCTTTGGAAACCCCAAGATTCGCGAGAACATTGCAGGATAAAATTGAGGTGAGTCGGCGAAGAGTAGCGAAATTTGAAAACTAAAATTATTCAATTGTAGTTATTTTAAAACTAGAGCCATGTAGCTTTTCTAAAGTCTAAAAAGGACTTCCAGAGCTGAATCTGCCTTTCTAACCTTGCTTACAGCCTTTCTACAATGGTTTACTTTCTAGGTTACTGAAAACGAGCCGGTTCACTTTGAGGCGCGAATCCAGCCGGCGAGCGATGTGAAGATGCGAGTCGAGTGGTGAGTTAGAATGAGCGAATATCGTATTTTCTCTAATAGTAGTGCATCCAGAGCGTCGCCTAAATTGCTCGAAATCTCGAAATCTCGAGAACCACTTATCAGAACCTATCGATGTGGGATCGGAAAATGTAGCTGACGACCAGATCTAGTGGGGGATTTGAGTGTTGAGCTTTTGTGAAAGCTTTGAAAGTGTACCATTAGTGCAATGCTATTAGAGAAAATACGGCAAAAGCGAAAGACGCACAATTTGCCGTCCGACAGGGCAAAATACCAAAGTTGAAGCAGACGTTGGAGACGTTCAAAGTTGGAGCATCGAACGGAACTAGTGGAGCACCTAGGTCACCAATCAATTTTAATCCACGAATACTGCCGGAAGGAGAAGAAATTAACCTAATAAAATCGGCAAAATGAAAGACGTTTTTTAATTTTCTTTTGTTTATTAAAAACTATGAAAGTTATCAGTATTGTCTACAATAATTCCTTCAGTCAATAGGTCTGAAATTGAATTGCATTTCATTGTAATTATTGCAATAATAAGCACACATTTTTGAATGTTTACGTTTCCAGCAATAGCAAATCAAGCTCTTTTTCTTGCAAACTCAAATTCTTCTCAAAATAAGTGATGAAAAAATTTTCGGATAATCCCTTAAAAGACAATAAGTTTTGTATTGAGTTGTGAAAATTGGGAAAATTGTGAAAATTGTGTAAACTTTCATTTTATTTGAGAAATTCAGGTTCCACAACGGTCACCCATTGGCCGCAGCACATCGTTTCCGTCCAATGTTCGACTTTGGCTACGCCGCCTTGGACATTCTCTACGCGTATCCGGAAGACTCTGGCACATATACATTGGTTTGTCTCAATCTTTTATTAGCATCTAGCTCTTCAACATTGCTCTTCAAATTAACCTAAAGAAAAAGAGCAAAATGCTGTTTTCCTTGCAGTGAATCAAAGGAAAAACTCATTTTTAGGTGGCGCGTAATGAATTGGGCGAATGTCAATGCAATCTTGAGTTGTCTGTGCTTTCGGAGAAATCCCTCTACCTGGATCCCCATCATCCAGAAGGCTTAGCTCGAATTGAACAACTTGAGCACTCAAGGATTGGACAATTAGAAGAGGTGAGTTGTTTTTATTGAAAGTTAAGTGAAAGTTAAGTGAAAGGCTTCAAAGTCAAGTGTTGAAAGGTTGACTTGTAGTATTGTATTGTATCTGCGTTTTGTAGCGTAGTGGATTATTGTCGTATGGTTTAGGATGAAGAACGAGGGTGCAGCGGTGCACCACAATTCCTCGGTGATCTCCAGAATATGCAAATCAATGAGCACGACGATATTCATTTAGATGTTCGGGTGAGTGTTTTATCGGATTCGGGATTTATCTTGTCAGATTTACGCCAAAATTACGCCAAAATTACGCCAAATTTACGCTAAAATCAATAGCTTTCAAGTGAAGCGGCTTTTTTTGAAACTAAAGTAACTCCGAAAACTTCAATTTTCTCTTTCCAGGTGACTCCCGTAAATGATCCAACGATGGTGATTGAATGGTTTGTGAATGGACATCCATTGTTGACCGGAAGTCGTGTGAAAGCCATGTATGAGTTTGGTTTCGTTGCCCTGGATGTTAAAGGAGCTATTGCTGAAGACTCGGGCACGTACACCCTAGTGGCGAGGAATGCGCTGGGAGAGGCGAAACGCGAGTGCACCGTTATCGTCCTTCGTGAGTGTCATTTTTTCAAGAAAATCTAGAAAATTCTAGCCCTGGGCACGATTCTGGACAACACACAACACGAGGAATCGCTTGGAAAGATCAACTATTTGGAGAATTTGAACAAGTATGCGAGGGGTGAGATTGAAGAAGTTGCACCCGAAGGACCACCCGTCTTCATCCTGCAATTGCCACAAGATCTCGGAGAGGTGAGTCGAATGACCCTGAGCTTTTAATGTTCTGGAGTTCTGGAGAGGAGTTCTTCCGGCTAGAGTATTCCGGCTAGAGTTCTACCGGCTAGAGTTCTGCCGACTAGAGTTCTGCCGGTTAGAGTTCTGCCGGCGAGAGTTCTACCGGCTAGAGTTCTACCGGCTAGAGTTCTTCCGGCTTCCGGCTAGGTCAGCTCTTGATCTGATTTGTAGCTCTGTTTGATGTGAATTGCAATTAACCATTGTTTTTTTAGGTCGAAGAATCCGAGCCCCTCCATTTGGAGTGTCAAGTTCGACCGTATAACGACAACTCGTTGAAGATCACGTGGATGAGAGATGGTCGACCGATTCCACACGGTTCGTTTAAGCGTTTTGTCGTTTAGCTAGCCAGTTTAAGCAAATATAGAAGATGCGAGAGATAGAAAATTCGAGAGAAAAACGGAATTTAAACATCTTTGAACTTGAAATTTGAACTTTTGCTCATTTTGATCAGATGATCTTTCCTCATTTTGTAAAGTTTCCTGTGAGTTCCATGGTTCCAATATGGTTCCAATATGATTCGGATACGGTTCCAATCTGGTTCCAATATGGTTCGGATACGGTTCCTATATGGTTCCAATATGGTTCGGATACGGTTCCTATAAGGTTCCAATATGGTTCGGATACGGTTCCTATATGGTTCCAATATGGTTCCAATACGGTTCCAATACGGTTCCAATACGGTTCAAATACGGTTCCAATCTGGTTCCAATATGGTTCGGATACGGTTCCTATATGGTTCCGGTATGGTTCCAATATGGTTCCAATACGGTTCCAATATGGTTCCAATATGGTTCCAATATGGTTCCTATATGGTTCCAATATGGTTCCGGTATGGTTCCAATATGGTTCGGATATATAAGTTAACTCAAAAATAGATAAACAAGTCAAATTTGCAATTCTTTTAGATCAAACTGTGCCTATGTTTTTAAAAACTATGAATTAACCTTTATTTCCTTAAGAAAATGTCGGCCAAACATCGAAAATTCGATAAACAAATTTTGGTGAACAAGTCGAGCGCAAAAAAAAACGAGAGCTCTAGAGAAAAGAGAATTGTAGAGTGAACCAAAAGTGAACCAAAAGGCGTGCGTTTCGGAGCACAAAGCACAAAGTACATCACGATTTTTATGAAATTCTCTTTAGTCTAGAGGCAAACAGCTAGAGAAAATAATCTTTTTTTTTTCATTTCATTTCATTTCAGGTCACCGTTTCCGCACTTTCTACGATTTTGGCTACGTTTCATTGGACATTCTTGGCGTCTATGCTCAGGATTCGGGCGAATACTCGTGTGTCGCTGAGAACTCTCTTGGGCAGGCAACAACAGCAACGAGATTCATTTGTCGAGGTCATTTTTTCATCATATTCAATATTGAAAATGATCAATCCGGAGATCAATAGGATAACTTGGCTGCCAAGTTTGCGAAAATCTTTTTTTTGTTGGTTGTTTGATAGTTGATCTGCCAAGTTTGATAGTTTGTTTGTGAAAATCTTCTAGTTTAATCGATTTTGAATTGATTGAATTGATTAAAGACTCGAGTTTGGGGTGGCTCTAAATCTTGAGCCATTTCAAAAGTCAAGGTTTCAGAATTCATTCAAAATATGAACAACTCTAATGTTTACGTAGCCGATTGTGAATGAGTGGGTCTAGGAGCGTCCAACCATCAAGTATTTGGTATCATTCAACGCAGAATCATTAATAATTATGTTAAATTTTTTAAATTAGAAAGATTGGATAAAAAGAAAAAAAATTATGGGGCTTCAAAGTTTTCTCTTGAACAAACAGTTTTTTTGCTCAAATCACGGTATTTACTCTAACTAACTAGCTAACTACGGAAAGTACGGAAAGCTAACTACGGAAAGTACGGAAAGCTAACTACGGAAAGTACGGAAAGCTACGGAAAGCTACGGAAAGCTACGGAAAGTACGGAAAGCTAACTACGGAAAGTACGGAAAGCTAACTACGGAAAGCTACGGAAAGCTGCGGAAAGTACGGAAAGCTAACTACGGAAAGTACGGAAAGTACGGAAAGCTAACTACGGAAAGCTACGGAAAGCTACGGAAAGCTAACTGCTTTTGCAATGAAACCCAGCAGAAAATAAAAATGAAAATGCTCTGTTTGGCTTTTTTATGTTCCAAATATTCTCAAACAGCCATAAAAATTCGATTTCGATCAATAACTATTTCTAGTTCCAACGCACTGATCCTTTCAGTCGATCGATCGATTATAAAAGCTACAAAAAAGTTCTTAGTTCTTCCAGTTGACTACAGCCTGCAAAAAGAAATTGCAAACAATCAACGCAGTCTCAAATTTCTCGGTCTCTTGCTTGGACAAAAGTCTTTGATTCTTTGAGTCACCGAGTCAGCGAGGCAGCGATTCAGCGAGTCATGCATTCTCGGGAATACCTGCGTCCCCCTCCACGCCCAATTCTCTGTTTTCCCCCAGGCTTAGCACCCGTGCTTGAAGGGGAAAAGTTGGAAAAAGACAAGAAATGGCCTCCTTTTTCCCTCTTTTCCCCTTTTCTGCAACTTTTCCCTCTTTCCACCGCAACTGCAGGCTTGAAACACTCTTCCAACAGTATCGTCCTAAATTCTTCGGCTAATTGGAAATAAATTCCATTTCTTTTTTATTGATTTAACCATTCTGGAACACAATTTAGAAGATTACAAGGAGAAATTGGGAAAATTTTCGATTTTGGCCTTAACTGGTTCAAAGCTTGATTTCAACCCGTTTCTAGCTCGATTACTACTCAAATCAAAATTTTATTCAACTAATTGACCATCCTGGAACGCATTCTATTGAACTACGGTAATTGGAGCACGAAGTAGCGACTTTCGTCAGTCACCGACTCCGGGCTGCTACGCACAAACCAAAAATCGGTGTCTTTCAGTGCTAAAAGGTCAAATTCGACAAAAAAAACGTAGATTTCAAGAAGTTCCGAATTTCTAGTGCGCATCCATTTCCACCATTCTACTATTTTTTCGATCTAGAATTGCCTGATTCATAAAAACAATCGATGGCCGACCAATTCACCTATTCGACCCGATCCCAGCCGTCTCCGACTCAGAAATCCCCGAATGGCTACACTTATCACAATCCTGGAAGTCATGTTCCTCAAAAATCGCCTAACTATGTGGATCGGAGCCAGGCATCACCGTATGCTCTAGTCTATGGACCGTCTACCGTACCCCCGAGGGCCCACTCGCCTAAAGTGTGCTCCCCGGCTACCGTATCCCCGAGAAATGTGGGGAATATCGTGACACCAGGAGACGCCGATTTACATAAAGTGCCGATTACCGTATCCCCAAGAGGCTACTACCCGGCCACCGTAACCCATGGGAGCTCGTGGGCTTCCCCAAGACCGTACAATGTACCGATCACCGTGATTCAACCAGCTTTATCGCCTCAACAAAATCCTGGAGCGCACACTTTGCCAATCGCGATAAATCCTGGCCAAAGCGCGCAATTCGATAAACTGCACCCGGCTACCGTACGCTACAGTACCCAGAACGAGTCAAAACTACTCGATTTGCCCATTACAGTACGCCGTGATAGCCAAAATGTAAGATCCCCGAGCCTGATCTCTCCAAGAATGCAAATCTCGCCAAAAGCTTCGGCTTCGACAAGAATGGCTATTCTTGGAGTGAAAATTCCGAAAGTCGGCGAGAAAAAGGGAAACTCGCCAAAAAGCTTTGATGACATCCAGGATTCGCAAAGATTGATGAAAAATCCGGTTCATGGTGCTTATTCGTTTCATTCATCGATGCAACCGAATAATGATGAGCTAGCACATCGAAATCCGTACTTGAAACTCGCCGGAGTGCTTCCATCCGAGGACAGGGGTACTACTGGACCCACAATGCCCCATTTAAGTCCATTTAGGAGAGTGGAAAATGGTAAGGATTACTGTAAATGATAGCATCTGTTAGATTCTTTTCTAAATCGTGCCCCCCCCCTTTTCCCCCATTTCTACCGTAATCTTGTCTCAAATTCTCATCAAATCTAACCACTTTTTGACTCGAATTCTGTTCTTTTTTTGTAGCTTTTGAGACAAAACCAAAAAGTCGAGAGATTCGAGAAAAAAATAAAGACAAGAATACGGTAGAAAGAGGTCATTGTTTAGAAAAAAAATAGCCGAGAAATTGAGAGCAGATTTTCACGCGTTTTTTTTTTAACTTAAATAAGGATTTTTGTCTGGGTTAAAGTACTCTAAAAATGTTTAAATTTATGAATATTGTTCTAATCTTTTCCCTTTTCAGCGAAAGATGGAATCCTCGGCCAAACGCAGCACCCAGTCTCCTATCAGAAAATTCAGGAAATGGAATTGCCGAAACCGATCGAAGAGGAGCAACCCGAGGCTCAAAAAGAAGTATTTTGCTATTTAGCTATTTAACAGACTCTGGAACTCTAATCTATTCTAGCATTCTAGCAATCTAGCATTCTAGCATTCGAGCATTCTAGCATTCTAGCATTCTAGCATTCTAGTATTCTAGCATTCTAGCATTCTAGCATTCTAGCATTCTAGCATTCTAGCATTCTAGCATTCTAGCATTCTAGTATTCTAGCATTCTAGCATTCTAGCATTCTAGTATTCTAGCATTCTAGCATTCTAGCATTCTAGCATTCTAGCATTCTAGCATTCTAGCATTCTAGCATTCTAGTATTCTAGCATTCTAGCATTCAAGCAAATAGTTCATTAATTCAATTTTGAGGCTCCGGCTTTCGTGAAACCGATTGGACCAGACGCCGAGCTGGAAGAAGGTGACAACATCTATATCGAGGCTCAAGTCACTCCCACTGATGACAACACGTTGACGGTGAGTGGATTTCAAATTATTGAACTAAGCAAGGGTAAAGCAAAGCAAAGCTATCGCTTCTGTGACCTAAATAAGTACATAAATCGGTGACTCTGTTTAGGAGATAGTCGACTGGGTAACTAGTACTGGAGCTAGGGACTATGGTAATCGATTGCTAGACTTTAAGGCATACTGAATGGATTAGATGGGTAACTTGAAAGTTTGGACACTTTTTCGTCTTTTTCCATGACACAGACGCCAATTTAATACGCCAATTGAATTAGTCTCAACTAAATAAAAGTTTTATATTATCTAATTTAAGAAATGATTTAGAAATGTTTAGGAATCTTTCAAATACTAAATATATCTCTTAAACGCTTAAATGCTTAGAAAGCTCTTAAGAAACTCTTAAAAAGATTGAAAACTCTTAACTTCTTGAAAACTTCTTTCTTTTTTTTTCTTGTTTCTCAACTTCTTTCCCCTCTAGAAACCTATAAAACTGAAGCTTTTCGAAGTTTTTCAAAAACTTTGAGAATAAATGGACCTTTTTAGTTGATTGGGTTGATTTTAGTTGATAAAAATTGTAGTTGATTGGATGTAAATTGTAAATTGGTGCATTTCTAGGTGTTAAATAACTATTAGGTGTGTGAAAAAGTAATCCACGTTTTTAACATTTATGCGGTATCCATTTGTCCAACTTTTTGATAAAATTCATGGCATTCAAGCGTTTCCTTACGGTTGACCCATCACAATTTAATGTAAGGCCTATTTCTGAAGAGGTTGAACGAGGGTTTTCGAGAAGACAGCGTCTTATTTGGTCATCCGAACAGGTCTCAGGGCGACCGCCACGTGGTTCATCTTCTAGGCTTTCATTACCACCTTTGAATCGTTGAAACCAAAACCTAGCGGTATCATCAGTAACGGCGTCTTCGCCAAACGCATTCCGAATTCGACGTGCAGCCTCCGCAGCTTTCAACCCATTTTTGAACTCATAAAGCAAATTTGACCGAATAGCGATACTTGTGTATACCATTTTCAAACTAAAATGAAAGTAGTTTATTGTCGTCCTTTTAACAAAATGAATATATCATTCGAAAGAGGAAAAAAATAAGCTTTTAAACGATATATAGGATATCGTTATCGTATCGTAATATCGTTAGCAAAAAATTAAAAATTGTTTAGATATATTTGTTTAAACAAAATAAAAATAAAAAACGTGGATTACTTTTTCACGCACCTAATATTTCTAGAAATTTCAATGAATAAAGTGTACAAACTTTCAAGTTGTAAATCTAATATTTTAAAAAAAAAAAACCAAAAAAAACAATACAATTGCTTGAGGAATTGATTTTAGAATTGTAGAATTGATTTTGGAATTGTAGAATTGATTTTAGAATTGTAGAATTTATTTTAAAATACCCAATTTTAGTATGAATGGCTTTTGAATGGGAATCCGCTGATGAAAGCGCATCGCTATGTGCTTAGTCAAGATTTTGGCTATGCTGCTTTGAACATTTTGTACGTTTATCCCGAGGATTCTGGGGAATACACACTTGTCGGTGGGTTTTTTTTTGAATAGTAAAGTTCGTTTTTAGACGTTTTATCTGAACTATCGTATTAAATCTGAATTAAAGAACTTATTGTATTGTTTTTTTAGTCCGAAATGCAGCTGGTGAAGCTCGTAGCTCGATGAACATCCGTTGTGGACCAAAGGGATCTTTGGTAAGTGATTTTGAGGCTCTAATGAACGTAAACTAGGGAAATTTTCCATTTAAAACAATAAGCTGGAGTGCACACTGGCTTAATCACGAAAAATCTTTGCTCATTTACCCAATTTGATAAAGCCTTGCTACAGCGCGGCTACAGTATTCAATTGTCGAAACAATCAAAGACTATTCAATGTACTGTAATAAATAGACTAAACAATAAACTGGAGTGCACACTGGCCGAATCACGAAAAATCTTGGCTCATTTCCTTTAGGATTCTTGTTAGCTATTAGTTCATTTATGATTTTTCCAGATGACCGACTCACTTCATCCGTCATCGCTAGCGCGGATCACTGAGCTTGAAACACCCCAACAGAGAGCTGAACCAGCCGCTGATCGACCTCGTGAAGCCCCGCAATTGTTGAAGGGATTGCCAGGAGAAGCACAAATCGTCCATGAGAGTCAATGCCTGCATTTAGAAGCACAGGTTCGTGAAAATATGTAGTAAGAAAGATCAGTGAATGGGAATGACCTTATTAGTTAATCGTCAGCTTTGAGAGTTCAGAAATTCCTAGAGAAATACGATTTTATGAACTTTTTACACAGTTTTATCGAGTTTCAGGCTTTTTGAATGATACAAGAGCTTGATTGGCAAATCCAGCGATACTACAAACAATCCGGCAATATTGGGGAACGGTCAGATTTCGCAATCCGAACTAAAACTAGATGACTTTGTTTGAAAGGGTCGCTTGCGATTCGCGCTTACGAAATCTGATTGTTCCCTAGTTTTTTTAGCTGCTATTAGCTACTGTTTTCTCAGGATTTATTAGTTCAATCAAGCTCTCCTTTTGATCATTCTAAAGCCTCATGTCTCCTCTATAAAACTATAGAAAAAGATGACGCCAATATTATCGCTAGGTAAAGTTATGGCAAAGTTATGACAAAGTTATGACAAAGTTATGACAAAGTTATGACAAAGTTATGGCCAAGTTGGGACGAAGTTATGGCAAAGTTATAACAAAGTTATAACAAAGTTATGAGCTTTCAAAGCGTGACTAACTTATTCAAAAACTCGGATACATTGAATATTAAATATTCAATAATGAAAAAACCTAAATAAACAAAAAGCAAGATTTGGCTGCAAAAGGAATTGAACCCGAGCAAAAGGGAGCACAGTTTGCTCTTGAAACAAGCCCCTTATCCAGTACACCATTAAGGGATCTGTTACACGCGTCAAATAGACATTTTTAGCTTAAATTTTTGCATTTTCACTTTGCTCAAATAGCATTTTTTTTGCTAAATGTTAGGTGTTAAGGATAAAAACTAAAAATGGATTATTTGTATCGGATTCTCGGTGGAATTCTCTACAAGATGGAGATTAGAAGTGGCAGTTTTCTGTTTTAAAAGCCATCTTACTAGTAGTACATTAGAAAGAATGCGTTTACGAGAGTCTGAGCGAATTTTAGCTTACCAGAACAGCGTCCCGTTGTAGTGTGGCTACCAAAAAGTGTAACACTAAACTTTTATGAGTTTTAAGGCAAAGGAAAACACTGGGAAATTTGTAGCTTAACGGAAATGATCAAAAGTTTTCAAAATTCCCATTTTCAGGTTTCTCCAATCGATGATAATTCGATGCGATACGAATGGTTTTTCAATGGTTTCCCGTTAAAGGTTTGTGTTTCTCTTTTCTTCAATCAATCAATTTCTCTTTCTTTTTAGCATAGCTCTCGTTACCGTATGTCTAATGATTTCGGGTTCATCTTTTTGGATATCGATTACATTATTGGAGATGATGAGGGAGAGTACACGTTGAGAGTGACAAATGACGCGGGACAAGTCGAAACGGGAACAAGGATTCAGGTAAAGGGATTCGCATTTGTTAATGCTGGATGTCACGGACTAGGTTGCAGCATTGAAATTGGAGTTTTAATGAATCAGGCAATCCGTAGAGTAACGGCTAAAGCTATTGGAGAAATTTCATGAATTGAGACACTTAGGCACTTTTATAAGTAGCCAAAGTTGGGTAATTGAACCGGAATAGTCTGGGTATTCAGTCTGGGTATTTGCAGATATAATTTCAGCTCTTTGTAATACATATAGTCTTTAAGCCTAAGCCTAAGCCTGAGCCTACGCCTACGTCTAAGCCTATGCCTAAGCCTAAGCCTAAGTCTAAGTCTAAGTCTAAGCCTAAGCTTAAACCCAAGGGGGCGCATGGGCATCGCCAAGCGCTTGTTCCTTAGCTCTGAGAACTGGCCGAGATCCAGAAAATGGGGGTTTAGCCAAACCCAAATAGACTTAGTGCGGGGCGCTAGCCGCTAGCCTTCGCACTAAGTCCAAGACTGAGCCCAAGCTCTCTTTTCTACCATAGCCTCTCTAACACTCATTCAGGTGGAACGCTTGCACTCGATCCTCACCGATACCGCTCATCCTGAGTCATATCGACGAATTCAGGAACTGGAGGCGTTACAAGTGATTTTAAACAAATTTAATTAACCATTTTTCTTTTAGCCAGCTCGTCCCAGTGACGAAGATGCTCCAGTGGAGATTCCCAGCTTCACCCAGCAATTGCAAGGACCAACGGAGGTAATTGAGAAGTAAATATTGATGGGTGATGGTGATGGGAATGAAACCAGCGCTCACATATCTTTCCAAAAAATCAAAAGTTTTCAAGCCTCAGTCAATAAGGGTTATATACTGTTCAAAAGCGTCGAATCTTCTCTACAAAATAGTGCAAAAAGATTTTGAATTGAATTGATTATTTGGGAGTTGGGTGATTTTTAAATTGAAAGCTCAAAAATGATTATTTTTTTGGAAAATGTGTTTCTGATAATTTTCTGGTAGCCATGCTCGGACATAAAAGAACGTGTGAAATCAATTTGAAAGACAAAAACGGGTAAGTCAAATTACAGAAAATTGTCAATTTTTTGTATGTACAGTACTGGACAATGAAATATCATATTTAAAAAAAACGATCGTCACTTTCGCGCGTCTGTAACTCCGTTGTCTTTGAGTTTAAACTATTAGTGTTATACATTTTCTGAAAGCTCTTTTCAAGGGCTACACATTGGTAATATTAATATTTAGAAATACGGTAAAGACAAGGGAGTTACAGAAGCGCGAAAGTGACGATCTTTTTTCAAATATCATATTTCATTGTCCAGTACTGTATAACTCGGTTCGTTTACTTTCACAAGCTCTGTTATGTCAAAATTTCAATTCTACGCCCTCAAATCCCCCGAGAAAAGGAACTTTTGAAATAGAAATTGGTTAATATTAAGCTTTTTAGAGCTTTTTTTTTAGCTAAAGCGTGAAAAAAGGGCTGCGCTAATGGGCTAGGTGCGCAAAAAAGGGCTACGCTAATGGACTAGGTGCGCAAAAAAAGTGCGCAAATGTTTGGGTGCGCAAAAAAAAGGTAGCATTTGTCCTACTCTCCCGTTAGACTTTTGTTTCTTTAAACGTTTACGTCTATAGTCGATTTTTGTACACATTACTCATTTTTGCAGGTACTGAAAGAGGGTCAATCCGTTCATATGGACTGTGTCGTGCAGCCGATCAACGATCCATCATTGCGAATTGAGTGGTGAGGCGGTTTAAATGAAGATTAGCGTAAACGTAAACTCTCAATCATTCTCAATCATTTTCCAGGTACCACAACGATCATCCACTCCAATTTGGGAGTCGAATTCGCACCATTCATGACTTTGGCTATGTTGGGCTTGAGTTCTTGCACGTGCATCCGGAAGACTCGGGCATTTACACGTGTCGAGCGGTGAACAATGCCGGAGAAGCAAACTCGCAAATCACGTACGGATTTAAGAGGAGATTTTTTTGCAGTTTTTGGGTTAGCTCTTGACTTTAGCTTCGCTCTAGAACTTGAGTCTAGCTTCGCAAAAAGGCTTTAGAGAAGCTTTGCAGTGTTTGGGTTAGCTCTTGAATCTAGCTTTGCTCTAGATCTTGACTCTAGCTTCAAAGAAGAGAAAAAGCATTGGAAAATCTGTTCATGAAAAGTTGCACATTGAGTTGCGGGTAAAGGATTGTTTTGAGACCATTTTTCAAGTTTTTCAAGTTTTAAATTGAAAACCTTCAACTATCCTGCAAATTTTATAAAGAAAATCAACGTGATTTTCATTTTTTAAAAAGGAATTAAACCGATTCGCGAAGCTAGAGTCAAAAGAAAGCTCAAGAGAAAGCTCAAAAATTGTTTGGCGATAATTTACGATCACTCTAGAAAGTAGTATTCTTGTAGTTTATCGGGTAAACGTCTGCAAAAAAGGTACACAATTTTTCGATGACAAAACGAACGATCGTAATGCCTGTAATACCTGTAATACCTGTAATACCAAAGTTCCTTTAGTCTCGAATGCCGCCCGAAAAAGAACATCTACCTTGACACTCAACACGAGCAATCATGGGTCAAGATTCAGGAGATGGAGAATCGACCGGATTTGAGGTACCAAATTGCTAGTGTGACAGCCAGATTTCCCGATTTCTAGAGAACCATCACCGGAGCTCTCGTTCCCTGCGCCGCAATTCACCGAACAGCTTCAAGATGTCGGAAATCCACCTGAAGGAGCCGCGATTCGACTCGACTGCAAACTCGTTCCGATCAACGATCCGACTTTAAAGGTAAGAAATTTTCCTAAACGTTTTACCGTATTTTGAACCTTTCCAGATCTTCTGGACGTTGAATGGAGCTCCGCTAGAGAACGCTTCCCGTTTCATGCCTCAACGTCACCTCGATCTCGTTCATTTGGATATTCTCGGCATCTCGGCTAGAGACTCTGGAGAATATGTGTGCAAAGTAAGGACAGATTTGATAGAACGTTTGATAAAAAGACAAAAGCCAATTTAAAACCCCAGGGCTTGCAAGATTTGACTATGATTTGGTGATCAATATAAAACCAGCAAAGTAGTCGTTTACCAGCTACGGTACAATACCTAAACCCGGCACCGCATCTAAAGCCGTAAGACGTAAGACGTAAGACGTAAGACGTAAGACGTAAGCCGTAAGCCGTAAAGCCGTAAAGCCGTAAAGCCGTAAAGCCATAAAGCCATAAAGCCATAAAGCCATAAAGCCATAAAGCCATAAAGCCGTAAAGCCGTAAAGCCGTAAAGCCGTAAGCCGTAAGCCGTAAGCCGTAAGCCCATAAAGTCGTACAAAGAACACTGGTTAATTCTTGAAAAAAGCAAAAGAAGATCCGAAGTGGGGATCGAACCCGTGAGGTCGAAACGAAAGCTATACCATTCGGCCATGCCTGCAGTGAAACAGGACTGCAAAGAGGCCGCCAAAGAAGCAAGCGCAAGCAAAGGTCGGCGAAAACATGAGAAGTCTTAAATTGACAGAGAAGCTCAACTTGCTGAGCCTGTCAGCACTTCTTGAAAAAAGCAAAACAAAGGCCCAAGGCCGGGATCGAACTCGTGCGGTGTAGCTCTTGAAAGCAACGCTCTACCACTCGGCTACGGCTACACACGAACCGGACCGTTAAGAAGACCGTTAAGACGCCGCTAAGACCCAAATGATCAGCTTTTCAGAGAAAACTTTAGACGCTTGTAACTCTTTGCAGATTTTCATTTAGCAAAAACGAAATATAGATTTGAAATGAGAATAAAAATTGGGGTTTCCGCGTTGAATTTCCGCAATTTTTCGCAATTCCGCGTTGAATCGGAGAGGAATGAAAGGCCCGGCTCAACCAGGCTCGTATAAACCAAGATTCACTGTCAATTTAATGCATCAAACTAAAATGCCTGAAGAATTGCCTGAAGAATTTGCTAGTTTAAGCGTAACTTGAGTAAAAAGGTAAAGGTAAAGGCGAAAAGTAGCAATTGTCAATGTCAATGTCAATTTCAATGTCAATGTCAATGCAAATGTCAATTTTTCAATTTTCAGGCGATTTCTCAATTCGGTGAGGCGGAAACGCGTTGCCAAGTCACGTGTGATCCAACGGCATCCCTCTTGCTCGATCCACATCATGAAACGAGTTGGCAGAAAGTTCAAGAGATCGAGAATCGACAACTCCCACAACCGATCGAAGAGGACGCGCAACAGGTTTCGAAAATTTACAATTCGCGAGCCTAAGCTAGTCTAAGCGAGTTTAAACGAGTCTAAGCGAAGTCTAAGCTAGCTTAAACGAGTCTAAGCGAGCTTAAACGAGTCTAAGCGAGCTTAAACGAGTCTAAGCGAGCTTAAACGAGTCTAAGCGAGCCTAAGCGAGTCTAAGCGAGCTTAAACGAGCTTAAAACCATAAAATTCACCAAACTACCGAATTTATGACATTTTTTACCCTCAAATTCAAGTCTTACTCTCGTCAAACTCTCCTTCAGAGTACAGTAATCGTTTTTTCAAGCAATAGCGACTTGTAGTTTACTTGTAGGGCCAGTTTACGATATAGTACGATATAGTACGATCTAGTACGATGTAGTACGATATAGTACGATCAAGTTACAGGTTGCCCCACGCTTCGTCGTTCCATTGGCTGGCTCGATGGGTGAATTGGTCGAAGGAGTGCCGATTCATCTCGAGTGTCAAGTTGAGCCAACAAACGATAATACTTTACACGTGCAATGGTTTCACGATGGAGCACCGCTCGCGAATGGTCATCGTTTCCGAGCCACACACGATTTTGGATACGTTGCACTCGATATTTTATACGCTTTCACTCAAGACACTGGCGAATGGTCGGCGGTGGCGAGAAATGCTTTGGGAGAGGATACGGTAAGTGAATTGCTTAAATTGTAGCTTTCCTAATGCTGCCCACGATCGTAACTTCAATTAGAAAAGGTCGAATGCTTTCGAATTTGAATTTCAATTGAAATTTGGCCTAATGAAATGAGCCTAATGAACTTGGCCTAATGAAATTAACCTAAAGAACTTTCAAGTTTTCTTAGGTAATAACTTCAGAATTAGGCTGCTTTTTAAGTCTAGACTCTGTTAAAATTAAAACTGTTAAAATCGTTTCCAGAAAGATCATTTATAATCGAAATGTAATTCCTCAATTCTAGACGCTCACTTCTTTCACAATTACTGCGCGGAACTCGTTGTTTTTGGACACACAACATCCAGAGAGTTGGAAGAAGATTCAAGAGATCGAGGCACCAAAAGCTGGAGCTGCTGAGGCGCCTGACGTTGAGCACGACGCACCGCAATTCATTGAACCAATGGAGAATCTGGAGCGCATTGAGTTTCAATCAGCGCATTTCCAGGTGAGCAGAAAAGCTTGAAACAAGCAGCATATAGGTCTTGTCGTACGGTTAAAATGTAGGCTGATAGGGACTGTGAGTAACTAGGTCGATAGTACGATAGATACGTACACTTGACATGCTAAGTACTAGATATGCTAAGTACTAGCTATGCTAAGTACTAGATATGCTAAGTACTAGATATGCTAAGTGCGCTTGATGCTAAGTACGCTTTGTGCTAAGTACTAGATATGCTAAGTACGTTTGATGCTAAGTACGCTTGACTCTAGATTCTGTAGGCCTGATAACTACTGTAGTTACCCACTTAGACTCTGTAGATTGGGTAGGCTTTACTTCAGTAGATACTAGACATGGGAAAATTCCAACCCGAACCTAATTCCACCTTCGTTTTCTCGGCCGTTTCTTGGCCGATTGCTCTGAAATTTTGTCTAAAAGCTGGAAATATCGATTTCGATCTGTAGACAAAATTTCAGAGCAATTGGCCAAGAAACGGCCGAGAAAACGAAGGTGGAATTGGGTTTGGATTGGAATTTTCCTATGTCTAGTTGTCTAGTTGTCTAGTTGTCTGTCTGCCTATGTCTGTCTAGTAGATACTCAGCTAGCTGCTAACATTTAAATCCATCGATTTCTAGACTCGTGTCACGCCGATGACCGATCCGCGGATGCGAATTGAGTGGCTGAAGGACGGAGCGCCGCTCGGGAATAGCAACCGAATGAAGTTGACTGCTGATTTTGGATACATTGCTTTGGATATTGCTCATGTTGTGTCAGAGGTGAGATTTTGGAAAGCTAACATTTTGTTGCAAACGTTACGATCGCTAGCGCATTTTATAAAAGATTGTAGGGCATTTGTAGAGCTCGCCCATTTATGACTACGTGGACAGCTCTGTTCTGTGTATTGGATTTTAAAGAATTTCTCTAATTCCGACCTTTTGACTGCTATTCTACTACCGTATTTCCTCTAATAAACGCCCGCCCCCCTTGACCAACTTTGGACGCTTCGTTCTCAGCTCCATTTGGAGATATTTTTATGTTTAATATATCAAAAGATAGAAGACATTAAGGGCTATCTTTTGATATATTAAACATAAAAATACCTCAAAATGGGGCTGAGAACGAAGCGTCCAAAGTTGGTCAAGGGGGGGGGGCGTTTATTAGAGGAAATACGGTAGTAGAATAGCAGTCAAAAGGTCGGAATTAGAGAAATTCTTTAAAATCCAATACACAGAACAGAGCTGTCCACGTAGTCATAAATTACTCTCGCTACCGTACCTTAAAACGCGTTCCCGTAAAAAAATGTTATGTTATGAGAGGTAAAACTATTATTTTATGAAAGGTAAAGCTGTTCTGGGAGTCACGCTAACGCATACGATTCTTAAAAGCTCAAAATACTGTATACCGTAGTCACCGTACTTTTTTGTACGACTCTCTGATCGCTATTTTCCCAAATTTAACGTAAATCTCAACTTTTCTCTAGCAAAAGCTCAACTATGGAAGTCAGGCTGACTTATAAAATTGTTAAAATCGTCATTTCTCAACTTTCAGGACACCGGCACGTACACGGTGATCGCCAAGAATGAAAAGGGTGAAGCTCGAGTGGAAGCACAACTCGCAGTGACTGGAAATGCGGCGATTCTTGGAGACGCTCAAAATGAAGCATCTTGGCAAAGAATTCAAGCATTGGAGGCACCAAAAGAGGCACCGCAAGAACAACAAGAGCAACAACATGGACCACCGAAATTCATTCGACAATTGAACAGCCCTTCCGGAGTCATCGAGGGACAACCCGCGCACTTTGAGGCTCAGGTTTGTTTGGGGGGAAAAGAGAATTCCTTAGGTCGAATGCAAGGAGAAGTCTAATAGCCCTAGGAGAAGTCTAATAGCCCTAAGAGAAATCTTCGCCGCATTGGCTGAGAGTTCGTGATGATTCCAAAAAATTGGTAAAAGCAATTTGATTTTAATTGCTTTTTTTCTTCGATCTGGATGTCACACTAGAATTTTTGAGATTTGGATTTTTGATTTTTAACAAAAATTTTTTTTTTTGTTTTATTGTTATCATAGCTCCAGATTACCTGAATTCTTTTGGAGATTCTGATAATGTGCTTTTGATACTGTACTTTTGATACTGTGACATCCAGAATACTTGCTACTAAGGTTGTATTGGAACTGAGGCTCATCTAGTTCTCTTTTTTTTTCAGTTCGTTCCGTTCGCCGACCCAGCCACCACGGTGCAATGGTTCTTGAATGGAGCCCCGTTGGCCGCCTCGAACCGAAGGATTTTAAGGTACGATAGCTTTAGTAGATGGTAGTAAAGCAGATAAAGCTTATTGTGAGACCTTTTATACGCGAGGCCCCGCCCCCTTTTCTCATTGGCAATCCGACTTTGAACTCAAATTTCTCGGGATTGGTCCATCCAATTTCAATAGTTTTTCAACCAATCGATAGAGAAAGACTTTACGCATCTAATGAAATGAAAAAGATTTTGATTGGAAAGCTCAACGCCAAGAAATTTGAGCTCAAAGTAAGAGGGAAAAGGGGCGGACGAAGGACTATTTATTGGAGGCACGTATCGAATTTCCGATAATCAGTTTTTCGTTTTTAAAATCTCCGTTTTTAGAAACGACTTCGGCTTGGTCACTCTCGATTTACAGTATGTACTTTCCGAGGACAATGGAGAGTACAAATGCGTCGCTAAGAATCGAGTAAGCAAGATTTTTAAGGTTTATATCGTACTGATGAGGAAATGCTCAAGGAAATAGAGCGCGATTTCGATTTAAGATTGAGTGGATCTTATCGAGTGTTTTCTTCCTTTCTCTTCTTCCCTTTTATCTCCTCTTCCTTCCTCTTCTTCCCTTTTACCTCCTCTTTCTCCTCTTCCTTCCTCTTCCTTCCTCTTCTTCCCCTCTTATTTCCTCTTCCTTCTCTTCCTTCCTCTTCTTCCCTTTTATCTCCTCTTTCTCCTCTTCCTTCCTCTTCTTCCCTTTTATCTCCTCTTTCTCCTCTTCCTTCCTCTTCTTCCCTTTTATCTCCTCTTTCTCCTCTTCCTTCCTCTACTTCCCTTTTATTTCCTCTTCCTTCTCTTCCTTCCTCTTCTTCCCTTTTATCTCCCTTTCTCCCTTCCTCCTCTTCTCCCCTTATTTCTCTTTCTTCTCTTCCTTCCTCTTCTTCCCTTTTATCTCCTCTTTCTCCTCTTCCTTCCTCTACTTCCCCTTTTATTTCCTCTTCCTTCTCTTCCTTCCTCTTCTTCCCTTTTATCTCCTCTTTCTCCTCTTCCTTCCTCTTCTTCCCTCTTATTTGCTCTTTCTTCTCTAGCAAGAAGATATCGCATAAAAAAAAACAGAATTCTATAAGATGAACTCGATCTGAAAGCTCAAAGCTATAGAAATTCGTGTTTGAGACGAAGTACTATGTGAGTACTGTATTGTATTATTGTACCTGAGTGAGTACTGTAAATTTTATACCAATTTTGCAGGCCGGTGAGGACGAAACGACTGGCAGTCTCTCTTGCGAGGCTCGACCATCGATCTACGGAGACACTCAGCATGAGCAGTCCTGGCAAAGGATTCAACAGGTTTTTTTAAGCAATCAATTACCCGTTGTGCGTTCCAGATAATCGATTTCTATTTAAAAATCGATTCTTTAATTCAGCTGGAAGCTCCTAGAGCCGCGGCGGAGGAAGCACCCTCGCCAGTCTACCAAAAGCCGACCTTCACCCAACCATTGCAGGTGCTTTCAATAGTAAACCTTTGTGCGCTCCAGATCACCCATTTCTTGATGAGATTTTCAAAAATTTTCAATTCAGAGCGTGGACAATTTGCCCGAGGGTGGGGTGGCGCTTTTGGAGGCGAAAGTGATCCCGGTGAATGATCCGTCGCTGAGAATTGAGTGGTTCTGGAATGATGCGCCGTTAATGGGTGAGTTTTTTGCGTTGGGGCACTTGGTTGAATTGGGTTGGGTACAGGTTTGCCTTTTTATGTAGCCTTTTTGATTTTCCAGAATCCAACTCGATTGCGACGACAAACGATTTTGGGTGCGTATCGTTGCGAATCGCTGGAGCAAACTCGCGTCACTCGGGCGTTTATTCGTGTCGAGCCACAAATGGACAAGGTGCCGCGGTCACCTCTGCACAAGTGACTGTCAGGAATGAGGAAGAGTAAGTGAAAAAAGAAAAGTGTCAAAAAGACGGGTTTATACCGCTTAAAAGCATTAGAAAATGAGGATTTTCAATAAAATAGCATTAGTTTGGGGTGCGACCCGCTTTAACCTTATCATCGAGGATGATTTTTGCTTCAGAATAGCCGAATTGCACAAAGAAGGTTAAAAAGGGTTTCCCCAAAGCGCTTACAACATAACAAGAACGCGCAGCATCCAACACAAGATTAATACTCGTGGGTGGCGACACAAATGTTAGTAAGCTCTCTCTACAATGTTAAACCAGTTATCTAAACACGATTTAAAACCTGAAGGGTAGCAGAAAGTAAGTTGAATTTATAATTTTACTGTTTATTAGTACAAAACCAAAATGCAACAATACCCATTACAACAACCGCATGCGCATCAAAAGAAACAACCAAGTCCCCCCAGAAAGAAGGCAAAAGCAACCCGCAGACCAAAAAAAAAACAATTTCGGGAAGGGAGAAAAGGGCGAAAAATTCGACGCGAATAATTGCAAAATAGCAACGCAAATAGGAAGGAAACGGACGCGACCCATTAATGACATTACATTAATGACATTGACGTAACAAGAACACGTAGTATCCAACAATTGATTAATACCCTTTGAGAAGAGTACGGATCGGATTGATACTACGTCGATGGTGACACAAATTGTTAGTAAAACCAGTTATCTAAGCAGAATTTAAAACCTGAAGGGGTAGCATAAAGCAAAGTGAATTTATAACGTTACTGTTTAAACCGAAAAAGAACTGCTTAAACGTTACTGTTTAAACCAGAGCCGAAATGCAACAATACCCATTACAAAAACAGCATTCGCATCAAAAATGAAACAACAAAGTTCCCCAAGAAAGAAGGCAAAAAAAAACCCAAAAAAAATCATTTCGGGAAGGGAGAAAAAAGACGAAAATGCGACGCGAATAATTGCGACGCAAAAAAGGAACGCAAATAGGAAGGAAACGGACGCGACCATTTTACTTTAATAAAAGAATGAATAACTTACAGTATTACATTGAAATATTTAGTTTATTAATGGATACATCCCATCCGGAGTCACTGCGAAAGATTCAAGAGATGGAAGCTTTAGATAAATATGCAAAAGTAAGTTTTGAAGGGAAATTCCTTGCTTTGATCAAAGATCAACGATCAAAGTCCTCGTTTGATCCGAGGATCAGACGAGGACTTTGATCAGACTCTAATGAACAAGAGAATAGAATTGATAGCCGATACTGTTAACGTTACAGATCAAATGATACCGTTTTTACTTTCATTGAGGTAATTGAAGGGCTTCTTTTGTTTACTGGAATACTTCTACGGTACCTAGACCGGAAATAGAATTGTTATTGTAATGTGCATCGAATTTTGATCGAATTTTATTGGACCTTACCGGCTACTGAGTTGAAATATTAGAAGAAATACGGGATTTGAGCTTGGCGCACTTTCTTTTTCCAGATCGAGGCCCCGGAACGCGAGTTCTCGAAGCCACAATTCGTGCAGGGTTTCGAGAATTTCGATGACGTGAAAGAGGGAGAAGTGATCGAGTTGCACGGGCTGGTTGAACCGTCCGGTGATCCCCAATTGAGAGTCGAATGGCTGCTGAATGGGCAGCCGCTGATGAATTCGAATCGGTTGGTCAGCTGGACAGCTAGCTCTAGGTTTAAGTCAGAACAGATCAGGGCTATTTCAAGGCCGAACTAGCCAGAGTCAAGCCTAAGCCTAAGCCTGAGTCTAAGCCCAGGCCTAAGCCTAAGCCTGAGTCTAAGCCCAGGCCTAAGCCTGAGCCTAAGCCTGAGCAGGCTAGTTCCAGACCGAGCCAAGGCCTGTCCAGGTTCAGATCTGGGCCAGGTCTGGTATTTAACCAGATCTGGTCCAGAGCAGGGCTAGATCTAACACTTACTATTAGTGCTAAGCCTAGAGTCGGGTCCTGGCCACTATTGAGCCTAAGCCTGAGCATAAGCCTGGGCCTAAGCCCAGGCCTAAGCCTAAGCCTAATCCTTACCTGCTAACGTCAGTATATTCCCAAAATCGATTTAATTTCCAGATTCCGTAAAGAGTACGAGTTCGGCAACGTGATTCTGACAATTGTGCACGTGTTGCCGCATGATTCTGGCGTTTACACGTGTCGCGTTTGGAACGCACAAGGAGAAGCGATCACATCGGCCACCGTTAAGGTAAGAGAACAGGGTTTAGATGGAAGAAGAACGGGAAAATGTTTCTCGAAAGCGCAGAACTTTCCTTTAGCAGAATACTTTTAGCAATTTTACTTCCTTTCCAATTTCTTTTTTAGCCGGTCGACTGGTTTTAAAAAAACATCAAAAAGCATGATATCGATGGTCACCAAATTGTTCAATAAATTTTCTTTAAGGTTGCCGGCTACGAGCGTATCATTTCGGAGAGTCAACACCCAGCATCGTGGCAAAAAATTCAAGAGATCGAGGCGCCAAAAGTCGTCGAAATTGTCGAGGAAGAGATGGTCAAAGAGAAACCGCATTTCTTGCAACAACTCCAATCGGTCGAAGGTGTACAAGAAGGATCACCTGTTCATCTCGAAGCCACTTTCCAACCGGCTAGAGATTCCCAATTGCAGGTGCGTCATTTGTTTTATTACGTATTCTATGTAGCTCTATGTAGCTCTATTTAGCTCTATTTTTGGAGTTCGGTAACTCGATTATATCGATTATCTCGATTTTCAAGCTATCCTTTCTAAAAAGTGCACTTAGAGAAAGCTTTTTTGCGTTTTGTCGACTCTAAAGAAATGATCTAAAGATCTAAAGATCTAAAGATCTAAAGAGCTAAATATCTAAAGAGCTAAAGAGCTAATGATCTAAAGATCTAAAGAGCTAAAGATCTAAAGAGCTAAAGAGCTAAAGAGCTAAAGATCTAAAGATCTAAAAATCTAAAGCTATCAAAAAATCCAATTCATTCAGGTGAGCTGGGAGCGAAACGGTCATCCATTACCCGCTTCACAATTGGTGCAAACCAGACACGAACTTGGTTGGGCTACGCTTGACATCTTAAGGTAAACGAATGAGCTCTCTAACTAGTGTGCACTCCAGAATGAGTTCTCTAACTAGTGTGCACTCCAGAATGAGCTCTCTAACTAGTGTGCACTCCAGAATGAGCTCTCTAACTAGTGTGCACTCCAGAATGAGCTCTCTAACTAGTGTGCACTCCAGAATGAGCTCTCTAACTAGTGTGCACTCCAGAATGAGCTCTCTAACTAGTGTGCACTCCAGAATGAGCCCTCTAACTAGTGTGCACTCCAGAATGAGCTCTCTAACTAGTGTGCACTCCAGAATGAGTTCTCTAACTAGTGTGCACTCCAGATCACTGGGATATCATCTTAAAAACGAATTCTACAAGAAAAGAGTCTTTCTTTTTTAGTGTAAACCCGGATCATGAGGGGATCTACACGGTGAAACTGTCGAATTCGGAAGGAGAAGCGGCCAGCAGTGCAGCGGTGAGAGTCGACGGAACATCGGCTATTATTGGGGAAACGAGACACGAAGAGAGTTGGAAGAGGATTCAAGAATTGGAAGCACCCAAGGCACCGGCGCCTGATGAGGTAAGGGAAATTGAAGTCAGCAGTTCTAAACGAGCGCCGCCACTCTACCATTTTCAGGGCTGGTTAAACTGTTCAAGTACTAGAGAAAGAGAAATCAAACTGGCTTTTTGCTTGGTCAAACTGGTTCATAGAGTCGTTCATGGATCGAATCTGTTTTTTAGTTTTTTTGCAGAATCTGAGATGAAATTTTAGATTCTTTAAGAAGCCATATATCAGAAAACAGTTTTTTTTTAAAGAAGTTAATTTTTCAAAAAAAAAGTTTGACGAGAGTTTGACTCGAACTTCAGGGGAAAGCATGTGAAAGATTTTCTAGCCAAGCAGACTATCCACTAGACCACAGAAGCAATTGTTACAAGCAATTGTTACAAGCAGTTGTTACAACCAGTTGTTACAAGAAGTTGTTACAAGAAGTTGTTACGAGCAGTTGTTACGAGCAGTTGTGACAAGCAATTGTTACGAGCAATTGTTACAAGCAGTTGTTACAACCAGTTGTTACGAGCAGTTGTTACAAGAAGTTGTTACAAGCAATTGTTACGAGCAGTTGTTACAACCAGTTGTTACGAGCAGTTGTTACAAGCAGTTGTTACAAGCAGTTGTTACAACCAGTTGTTACAAGAAGTTGTTACAAGAAGTTGTTACGAGCAGTTGTTACGAGCAGTTGTGACAAGCAGTTGTTACAAGCAGTTGTGACAAGCAATTGTTACGAGCAGTTGTTACAAGCAGTTGTTACAAGCAGTTGTTACAACCAGTTGTTACGAGCAGTTGTGACCGGCTTCTTAAAGAGCTCTTAAGCGTTATAATGTGCTTTAGTGGACGATAAAAGTGTACCCAAGGAAATAAGACTTTTCTAGGCGCCAGCCGTTTACGATCATCCGCAAATCTTGACCCCATTGGGTGACATTGAATGCGAAGAAGGTGATCACATTCATTTGGAAGCATCAATCACTCCACTAAATGATCCGAATCTCAAAGTGCAATGGATCAGAAATGGAAACCCATTGACGCAAGGAAGCAAATACGCGATCAGTCACGATTTCGGCATCTGCATGCTGGATATTGGGTAAGGATACAAAGTACATAGTACATAGTGCATAGTACGTAGTGCATAGTACGTAGTGCATAGTACGTAGTGCATAGTACATAGTACGAAGTGCATAGTGCATAGTACGTAGTGCATAGTACATAGTACATAGTACGCAATACATAGTGCATAGTACGTAGTACATAGTAAATAGTACGTAGTACATAGTACGCAGTACATAGTACGTAGTACATAGTACATAGTTCATAGTACATAGTACATAGTGCATAGTACATAGTGCATAGTACATAGTACATAGTGCATAGTGCTGGTGCATAGTACATAGTACATAGTACGTAGTACGAAGTAGTACAAAGCTAGAGTTACGATTTGGAAAACAGAAACCTCGAAAAGCCTAGTTATCACCTACGGAAATCCTAAGATCTTAAAATCTTTTTATTAAGCAAAACTTGATCTAAAATAGCCTCAATGCCTTCCAGATTACAGAAATCCGCCAAAAAATTCTCTCTTTTCAGGTACACGTTCCCAGAGGATGCCGGTGTATACCAATTGAAGATTTGGAACGATCAAGGAGAGGCCGTCTCATCGTGTACGATCAAGTGCACTGGAAAAAATGCGATCCTCGACAGCACACAGCATGAAGAGTCGTGGAAAAGAATTCAGGAGATGGAAACAATGAAGCCCGAAGCCGCTGAGCCTGAACCCGCTCCCAAGTCCGCGCCAAAGTTCATCACGCAGATCACATCGCCTGGTGGGTACAGTAAATCGTCGGATGGTATGCCAGAAAGCAATTTTCATCTATTTCCAAACAATTCCTGCAATGTCAATGTCAACAATCAATGTCTTTTCGAGGTTAACAAGAGATTTTTCTTTAGGAGAACTCGTCGAGGGACAACCTGCTCACTTTGAGGCGACCGTTGAGCCGATTGACGATCCGACAATGCGAATCGATTGGTATGCCTAAATTTTTTGAACAATAGAAGCCTGAATTTTTTTTTGAAATGTTTGAAATGCGGCTTGGGAAGCTTCCTGGCGATTATTTCCTGGCGGATTATTTCCTGGCGTTAGCAGGCTATTTTTAAGAAAGCTAATAAGGGAATGATATGAGCTTGAAGTTTAGGATTGTTTCGTAAATCTCATAGAATCGGCGATCAATTGGTTTCTCATTTAGAATTGAATTCGGAATCTATAAAAGTTTTCTTTAAAAACTCACGAAATCACAAAAAGAATCTGACATAGAAAATCCTTTTCGGACTCTTTATAAGGCCGAAATAAAGCGACCTCCCAACGGGCTCGATGGTCTAGGGGATAGTGCGCTGGACTACAAAACTATTTGGGGTCCGATGGCTTGGGTTCGAATCCACTCTAGCGACTTTTTTTGTTTTTAATACGTTTACATTAAATATTTACATTTATGGTACTGTAGAAAATGTACGGTAATGTACGGTAATAGAAAATGTACTTCTACAGTACTGGTACTGTGTTTTTCTGCACTACGTTTTCATAAAACTTTCAATGCGAACTCCGAGCTAGTGTCTTGTAAGCTGTTCCTTTGTAAGCTGATCCAATGCCAAGCCAGATTTGTCTGATTCTGACTTGTCAAGCTAGTATCCAGCACCAGGATTCTGGCTAATTGTCAATCTAGAGTTAGGCAACGAATTTAGACCAGGATTTGACTTTGTCTAGAGCTAGGCAACGAATTTAGACTGGGATTTGCCTTAGATCTAGAGTTAGGCAACGAATTTAGACTAGGATTTGGCTTTGTCTAGAGTTGAGCAACCAGTTTTGGACTAGGATTTGACTTTGTCTAGAGCTAGGCAACGAATTTAGACTGGGATTTGCCTTAGATCTAGAGTTAGGCAACGAATTTAGACTAGGATTTGGCTTTGTCTAGAGTTGAGCAACCAGTTTTGGACTAGGATTTGACTTTGTCTAGAGATAGGCAACGAATTTAGACCAGGATTTGGCTTTGTCTAGAGCTAAGGCAACCAGTTTAGATCAGGATTTGACTTTATCTAGAGTTAGGCAACGAATTTAGACTAGGATTTGGCTTTGTCTAGAGTTAGGCAACGAATTTAGACTAGGATTTTACTTTACCAGCGTCAGGCCAGAGTCAGAAACAGATGAGGTAGATTTTCGAATAGAACTAAAGACATGCCTGATCTGGACTTGGATGGGAACAGCTTTGAATAAGCTTGGGGCTAGATTGGCAGAGTTGTAGGAGAGATGCTTAGAACAATTTCTCTTGCAGGTACCTAAACGGAGCGCTGGTTGGGGCGACGTCTCGCGTAAAGACGATTCAAGATTTTGGCTGGGTCATTCTCGATATCAATCACACGGAGACGAGGGATACGGGAGAGTGGAGAGTGGTGGCCAGCAATCAAGCCGGACAAGCTGAATCCACTTGTCAATTAAGTGTACAGGGACGAGAGGGAATCCTCCAAGATCCCCTACAACCACAAAGCTTGCAAAGGATCTCTGAGGTACTGGAGAAGAGTTGGTTTGTAAGCACGAGTTTTTAGATCGAGGCTCCCCGCCTGGCGCCCGAAGCGGCCCCAGACGCGCCAGCTGACGCACCGACAATCACCACGCAATTGGAGTACACCGGTGAACCAGAAGAGGGCACAGCAATTCATCTACAAGTGAGGCGAACAATTTGAAACAATTTCTATTAGTGAAGCTGGAACGCAGTACACTGTTTTGGCTAGTTTTCAGAGATTTTCGCTTATCGGAAATTTTTCGGTACTCTGGAATCAGTTGGCTGTTAAAATTCGGCCAGATTTCAATGCTTTTAGAATTTTAGCGCTTTCATAGTTCATTCTGGAAGGCAGTACACCCATTGATAGGCTTTTAGCGAATTTCGACACGTTTTTGATTTTCCCAGATTTCACGTCGATCATTCGGAAGCGCATTGCGTCGCTTTTTAAAGCAATTTTCTCGAAAAGACGATTCTTTTCTCAAATTTTGGATGTCACAGAATGTATTGCGCAAGAAAGAATTGAAAATAGATCATTTTTTTGAAATTTAATCTCGATTTGGAATGGATTGCGTTACGATTACGTCTGACAACGTTGAGATCCTTAAGCATACTGTAGCCATCCCTATACTTAGCGTACTGTAACCATCCCTATACTTAGCATACTGTAGCCATCCCTATTCTTAGCATACTGTAGCCATCCCTATACTTAGCATACTGTAGCTTAAAGCAAGCAGCTCGAATCCTGGATATCACAGGTCATTTTCATCATTCGATATTTCAGGCAATGTTCACTCCGAAAAATGACCCACGAATCCGAGTCGAATGGCTCCATAACGGGCACCCGATTGGCCACTCAAATCGTCACAAAATGCTTTCGGACTTCGGGTTTGCCGTTCTGGATATCACGCATCTGTTTACGCATGATTCTGGTAAGTCTTGATGATTTCTAAGATATTTCTAAGTGAATCCATTTTATTAAAGGTGAATACACTCTACGAGTTTACAACGAAAGCGGCGAAGCAAAATCGAGTGTTTCTTTCAACGTTGAACCCAAAAGTGGACTCCTTCTCGAGCCACAAAGTGAACAGAAAGCTCAAGCTGTGCATCAATTAGAGGAAAGACTCAATCAGAAAGTCGATGCCGTTATTGATGAGACGAAAGAGGTTTGTAATTCGAGTTTCTTTCTGGGGAAAACGATTGTCCATCAACAAAAATCGATTTTTCGGTGAAAATCTCGTTTTACTATTTTACGAGTTTCTTAGTTGGATATCACGTTAACTTTTCTGTAAATTAGATTTGAAAAAGCTAGCACTGAGACTTTTAAGTTTCTAGCGCTTACCCTGACGCTTACCCTGACGATCGACTCTTGCATGACCTTAAATCTAAGTCATTTTCAAGTTTCACTCATTTCAGGTGATGCCTGTCTTCGTCGAGCCACTTTCCGCCCCGCAACACTTGGACGAGGGCGATCGAGCGCATTTCAACGCTAGATACGAGCCAACAAATGATAATCATTTACAGGTGAAAGATCTCATTGTGCTATTTTGCGAGTTTCTTAGTTGGCGAGCACGCTAGGATTTCAGTGGATCAGATTTGATATTAGCCGATTTTTTGAAACCTGATCTGATCGGTCAGAAAATTACCGTATTTGGCTTAAAGAGAGCTAGTTGGCCTTCCAGCTAGTTGGCCTTCCAGCTAGTTGGCCTTCCAGCTAGTTGGCCTTCCAGCTAGTTGGCCTTCCAGCTAGTTGGCCTTCCAGCTAGTTGGCCTTCCAGCTAGTTGGCCTTCCAGCCAGTTGGCCTTCCAGCTAGTTGGCCTTCCAGCTAGTTGGCCTTCCAGCTAGTTGGCCTTCCAGCTAGTTGGCCTTCCAGCTAGTTGGCCTTCCAGCTAGTTGGCCTTCCAGCCAGTTGGGATTGGGGTTTCGAATTGCACAACTATTGCACAACTATGAACAAGAGATGTTTTGATCAGGGTTTTAGGCTCAAAAGTTAAACTAGGCTAAGCCAGGCTTCTGGTAATCCAAATCAAGCCAAGCCAGGCTTCCAAATCAAGCCAAACAAGGCCAAAAGTCGTATCACATATCGTACTCAACAATGTCATTTTGAAGCTTTCTGAGTTTCCAGACTTTTCCCCATTTTCTAGGTACAATGGTATCACAATGGTCGTCCGCTTCTCAAGGGCTCTAGGGTGAAAACGATTCACGATTTCGGCTACTGTGTACTCGAGATATCGCCTGTTTATCCGGAAGGTAGATTTGATTTGCATTTGATTTGACTTTAGTCGAATTATCGAATTAAGATTCGGGCGACTACACGTGCAGAGCCGTGAACCGTGTCGGCGAGGCGGTCACCTCCACTTCACTCCAATGTACACCGAAAGAGGGAATCATCTCGAGATCCCAATTGCCTGAGAGAATGTCTGGTAAGTAATTGCTGTTTAGGATTCATTTAGGAGTAAAGAGTTCTAAAACAAAAAAGCTAGGATTTTAGTTTTAAACCTGGCTCAATTTCGGCTCTAGAAAGGTCGCACATCGAATACAAATTTTTGCGTGAAAATCAAAATCCGAATCCGAAAAACTCTAGGGTGACATCCAGATCGAAGAAAAAAAGCAATTGAAATCAAATTGCTTTTACCATTTTTTTGGAATAAGCGCGAACTCCCAGCTAGTGCACATCGAGTACAATTTTTTCGTGAAAATCAAAAAACTGAATCCTTAAAAATCTAGCGTGACATCCAGATCGAAGAAAAAAACGCAATTGAAATCAAATTGCTTTTACCATTTTTTTGGAATAAGCGCGAACTCCCAGCTAGTGCACATCGAATACAATTTTTTCATGAAAATCAAAAAATCGAAACCGGAAAATTCTAATGTGACATCCAGATCGAAGAAAAAACGCAATTAAAATCAAATTGCTTTTACCATTTTTTTGGAATCTGCACGAACTCTCGGCAGAACTAATTTCTCGCTCAACTTAAGCCTAAATAACAAAATTTTCTCGAATAATCAAAATGAAAAGCAAAAACGAAATTGAAACAAAAGCAAAACCAATATCGAACAAAAAATCAACTTGACAACTTTCCCGCGAGACTTGTGCGAAATTTGTGCGAAAAATTAGCTCTGTCGAGCACTGTCGGGAGTTCGCGATGATTCCGAAAAATTGGTAAAAGTAATTTGATTTCAATTGCGTTTTTTTCTTCGAGCTGGATGTCACGCTAGATTTTTAAGGATTCGGTTTTTTGATTTTCATGAAAAAATTGTACTCGATGTGCGCTGGCTGAGAGTTCGCGCTTATTCCGAAAAAATGGTAAAAGCAATTTGATTTCAATTGCTTTTTTTCTTCGATCTGGATGTCACCCTAGCATTGTCATGGTTCGGTTTTTTGATTTTCACGAAAAAATTGTACTTGATGTGCACTGGCTGAGGGTTCGCGCTTATTCCGAAAAATTGGTAAAAGCAATTTGATTTCAATTGCATTTTTTCTTCGATCTGGATGTCATGCTAGATTTTTGAGGATTCGGATTTTTGATTTTCAACAAAATTTACAAAAAAAAGTTTTCCTTATCGTGATTCGATTTGGCTTCAGAAAATCAGTGCGTGCCTTTCCAAATGAGTTCTAAACTAATAAATGCGTTCAATTCAATCAAATTAAATGATATTCAATCAAAAGATATTCAATTGTTCTTTTCCAAAATTCCTCATCAGGTGCTCAAGCGCGAATCGATGAGATCGAAGCTCCACGCCCGTTGGCTGAAGACGCGCCCGATGTCGAGCATGGACCGCCACGATTTACCACGCAACTTGTGGTTTGTTTTGAATTGGAAATGTCTAGGCTAGTCTCGAACTACGGTAGCTTTCGTAAAGTGTCGTAGCCTAATGTAATGCAGGTCATTAGGTCATTAAAGCAGTCGACTTGACTAACCAGTGAAGTCAAGTCAAGTTTTCTTTCCTTTAAAATTATAAATCAAGTCAATCACAGGGTCAGTAAACAATGCTTTTAATGTAAAATTTCATTTTTTGTCATTTCTTAACTTCAAAACCTCAAAAAAAACCTGAAAAAGCTCAAAATTCGAAGTTGGACAAATGAGCTGGTGAGATTTAGAGAAAACGAAAGCAATTCGAGTGCTTTTAAAAAATTCTAGACTCAAGCTGGAGCGCACAGAAATGATTAGAGCAAAAATTTTGCAATTTTGACAAACTCTCCACTTTTCGTTCGGTTCAATTACCCAAGTGGCGAAGTTGAAAGAATTTTTCGAACAAAAACCTCTAAAACGTTTTTTTTCTGGCCTTGTGACATCCATGTTGCTCAAAGTTACAAAAAAAAGTCCAAATTTTTCCATTAATTTTCGACCTTTAGCTTCCATCGAAGAAAAAGTGTAGAAAGTGATGGGTTTTAGCTTTATAGCAGGGAAAGCTTATAGATTATGGAGATTATTGAAATTATCCCGTCTCTAGTCACCGCCCGAGCTTCTGGAAGGAGAGATTGCGCACCTCGAGGCTCAAGTGGTCCCTGTTGCTGATCCCCGCCTCCGAATCGAGTGGTTCCACGATGGGCAACCGATTCGAAACTCGAATCGCATGCGAATGGTTTCCGATTTTGGATTTGTCGTCTTGGACATTCATCCCGGCGAGCCACAGGACAGCGGCACGTGGAAATGCGTGGCCACAAATGATTGGGGAAGTGCTGAATGCGAGGCGCAGTTGAAGGTGAGAGTCTAAAAATATTTTCAGAAATTTATGGGTTTCTTTATTTTGCTATCAAGTGTGACATCCAGAATCAGTGAAAAGCTTGATAATTTTTTCACTAGACCACCCTGAAGCCTGTGGGGGTCGGGGTACGGTAGCGGCTAAGTACAACCACTCTTAGCTTACTGTATTTGAAGTTGCAAATATTTTCAATAAGTCACGTGACTTCCAGAACTAATAGAAATTTAACTAAATTCAGGATTGAACCACTATGTAGTCCGGTATAGGCCAGGGTACGGTAGCGGTTACAGTACCACCATTGTTCAACTTGCTCTAATCAAGTTTTTAAACATTTCAATAAGTCACGTGACTTCCAGAACTACTAGAAATTTAACTAGAAATTTAACTAATTAAACCACTATGTAGTCCGGTATAGGCCAGGGTACGGTAGCGGTTACAGTACCACCACTATTAGCTTACTGTAATTAAAAGATTAAATCGTTTCAATACGTCACGTGACTTCCAGAACTACTAGAAATTTATCTAGATGCAGGATTGAATCACTCTAGAGTCCGGTATAGGCCAGGGTACGGTAGCGGCAACAGTACCACCACTGTTCAACTTGCTGTAATCAAGTTTTTAAGCATTTGAATAAGTAACGTGACTTCCAGAACTACGAGAAATTCTGTTAAATTCAAAATTCAATCATCCAAAAACCCCAAAATGCTTTCCAGATCGTGGCCACGGGCGGCGTTTTCTACGAATGGCAATCGCCGGCCGAGCGGAAAGAGCGAATTGAGCAGCTGGAGGAATGGATCCATCGACCGAAAGAGGAGTTGGCCCAGCCGGCACAAGACTTCGACGCGCCACACTTTACCCAAGAGCTCATCGATTTGGGAATGGTGAGTGGCCAAGCAGGGTTCTCATCAGTTGACCGTCAAATGTTGCTTATAATTTCGAAATTTGAAATTTTGGTTTTTTAATTAGTCAAGCTGGAACGCAGTACACCGTTTCAGTTATTTTTGAGAGATTTTCGCTTATCGGAAAAAAGTCAGAAATTTTTGGATACCCTGGAATCAGTTGGCTGTTAAAATTCGGCCAGATTTCAATGCTTTTAGAATTTTAGCGCTTTCATAGTTCATTCTGGAGGGCAGTACACCCATTGATAGGCTTTTAGCGAATTTCGACACGTTTTTAATTTTCCCAGATTTCACGTCGATCATTCGGAAGCGCAATGCGTTGCTTTTTTAAGAACGTTTCTCGAAAAGACGATTTTTTTCTTAAATTCTGGATGTCACAGAAGGCATTGCACAAGAAAAAAAAATTGAAAATAGATCATTTTTTGAAAAACCTTTCCTCAACCTTTCCCCTGGAGTGCACTCTGAAAATCGGTTTTACCGAAATCCCAAAATTTCCCCATTTCCCCATTTCCCGAAATTCTTTCCATTTCTCTCTTTCTCTATTTACTTTGTGCTCCAGGATTCCCAATGCTCGTTGTTTCTAAAAGAAAAAACGATAAAAAAACGAAAATCTTTCATTTTAACTGATAATAACTTTTTTACCTCCAAGAATTTACCTCCAAGAATCAAAAATTTTAAAAAACAATTTTGAAAAGAATTTAAGGCGAAAAATTGCTGCAATGACTTCCAGAATGATTAAAAAAAATTTAAGAAAAGCGAAAATTTGCGAAAAATTTGTGAAATTCCTTCCTCAAAGGCTATGGATAAAAAAGGAAAAAGTTAAAATTTTGAAATTTTTGAAATTTTTGAAATTTGATTGATATTAGGCAATCAAGTGATATCCAGATCGGCCAATACTTTCAGAGTTTCAGGGGATTTTCTTCTGAAAATCTCTAAAAAGTCTTCGTGGTATCGAAAAAGTTCAAAATTTAACTAAAAACCCTTGAAAGAGAAGCAGTTTTTTTTTCAGTTGAACGAGGCCGAAGCCACGGCTTTTGTTTGCGTGTTGGAGCCGATTGGAGATCCGACGATGAGAGTCGAGTGGCGACATAACCAACACCCAATCCCATACTCGAACAGGTAAAGGAGAGGAAGAGAAAGAGAAAGAGAAAGAGAAAGAGGAAGAGAAAGAGGAAGAGAAAGAGAAAGAGAAAGAGAAAGAGGAAGAGGAAGAGAAAGAGGAAGAGAAAGAGGAAGAGAAAGAGAGAGAGAAAGAGAAATGTGGAAAAAGAGACTTTTCGGATCACTAAACTAACTCAAAGTTTCTTCTAGAAACATTGAAAGCTATTGATTTACAAGCTTTTTTTTGAATTTCAATTAGTCTATTCTATTTTATGCAAAATTTTACCGGAAACTAGCCGATGACATAATCTAGCAAATCTAGCCAATCTAACCAATCTAACCAATCTACTCAATCTACCCAATCTACCCAATCTGCCCAATCTACCCATTCTACCCATTCTACCCAATCTAACCAATCTAGCCAATCCACCCAATCTAGCCAATCTACCCAATCTAGCCAATCCACCCAATCTAGCCAATCTACCCAATCTATCCAAACCAATCTGTTTTCCCTTTTTTCTAAACCATATCTACTTTCCGAAAAGTTTGTAAAGTGGAAAGTTTTGTAAAACAAAACTTTTAACCCTAAACCAGACCAAAAACTGTTCAGTTATTGGTTTTTGAATTGAATCCTTATCTTTACTCGGCTAGTCAAAGCTTTTTCGTAGTTCTGGAAATCACGTGACTTATTGAAATGCTTAAAATCTTGATTACAGCAAGTTGAACAGTGGTTGTACTGTAACCGCTACCGTACCCTGACCTATACCGGACTCTAGAGTGGTTCAATCCTGAATTTAGTTAAATTTCTAGTAGTTCTGGAAGTCACGTGACTCCTTGAAATGATTTAACCTTTCAATTACAGCAAGCTGAATAGTGGTGGTACTGTAACCGCTACCGTACCCTGGCCTATACCGGACTTCATAGTGATTCAATCCTGAATTTAGTTAAATTTCTAGTAGTTCTGGAAGTCACGTGACTTATTGAAAATATTTGAAACTTCAAATACAGTAGGCTAAGGTTGGTTAAGGTTTGCTACCGTACCCCGACCCCCACAGGTTTCAGGGTGGTCCAGCGAAAAAATTATCAAGCTTTTCAGTGATTCTGGATGTCACACTTGATAGCAAAATAAAGAACCCCAGAAATTTCTGAAAATATTTTTAAACCCTTGTCTAACTATTTGATCAATTCTATAGCTTGAGCTTTCTTTGATGCCACTCAAATCTTTCCACTAAACTAAACGAAACTCTTTCCAGAATCTCAACAACGAACGAGTTTGGTGTGGCCACACTGCTCATCAAGCATCTCATCGCGCAGGATTCCGGTGATTACGAGTGAGTTTTGAGAGAGAGAGGCTCAGGCTTAGGCTTAGGCTTAGGCTCAGGCTCAGGCTCAGGCTCAGGCTTAGGCTTAGGCTTAGGCTTAGGCTTAGGCTCAGGCTCAGGCTCAGGCTCAGGCTTAGGCTTAGGCTTAGGCTAGGCTTAGGCTTAGGCTGAGGCTCAGGCTTAGGGCTTGGGCTGAGCCGAGGCTGAGAGAGAGATGCTATTTTCGAGCCAAAGAACAAAGCGATTTTTGAAAGCAAATTGAGCTAGTTGAACTGGATGAGGAATACGATAGATCGACCTTAATGAAAATGCTTTGGATTAAAGATTTCAATTGAAGACAATTGAGATTTCAATAGTATAGCCGGTTAAACTGCCGGGCATTCATTTTAATATTTTCTTTTTTTGATTTTTCAAGAGCTGAAATTTTCTAAGCTAAAAAACAATGCGTAAATTTTTTTATAGAATGGAAAAGCGTATCAAGCGTATCATTTTTTCTTGTAGGTGCATTGCGACAAACTCGAAAGGGCAAGCAATCACGGCGGGTCGCGTACAAGTCGCCTCACCGGACGCCATCGATGCGCCGCAGGTAAAATGAATGAGAAAAATTCGGGGGAAAAGAAGAAAGTGTTTGCCTTCAACGTTTACCTTCAGCGTTTACCCTCAGCGTTTACCTGTTGTTCCCGAAACTTGTTAGAAAGCTAAATTAAACTCGACTTTACCATCTTAGAGACCGAGTGATTGATTGATTCAAATTCATTCATTGATTCATTGATTCATTGGTTTATTCATTGATTCAAGTTCACGAGAACAAAGTTAGGGCTCAAGCTGGAACGCACACTACACACTGAATTCATTTTCAGCAGGAAAACTCGTGTTTAAAAATTTTTTGAAATTTTCGACTACGGTAGTTTAGGTGCTTTTTCGAAAACGATCAAAAATTGTTGTATAACCTAGCCAACTTTGAGAGTGACATCCAATTTGAAAATCTTATTTCAAGAAAAGATCTTCGAGTAATACAAAACGCGTTTAGGTGGTGCAAGCGCTCGTTTCATCGATCGATGGTGTCGCTGAGGGAGATTCGGTGCATTTAGAGTGCCGTGTCACACCCACAAACGATCCGAATTTGCGAGTGCGCTGGCTGAGGAATGGAAATCTGTTGCCTGAGGCGTCGCGATTCCGAGTAGGTTTTAAGAAGAATAGTTTCGGTTTCAGACCCGTTTAAGCATCAGTATGCCTTTCAGGATTCAAGCTTTCGAAAATCTACTTTATATAAAGGGACTAAGACGTCTGTCCGTCTGTCTGTCCGTCTGTCTGTCTGTCTGTCCGTCTGACTGTCTGTCTGTCTGTCTGTCTGTCTGCCTGTCTGTCTGCCTGTCTACCTGCCTTCTACCTTCTGTCTGCCGCTGACTGTCTGTCTGTCTGTCTGTCTGCCTGTCTGTCTGCCTGTCTGTCTGCCTGTCTGTCTGCCTGTCTGTCTGCCTGTCTGTCTGCCTGTCTACCTGCCTGTCTACCTGTCTGTCTACCTGTCTGTCTACCTGTCTGTCTACCTGTCTGTCTACCTGTCTGTCTACCTGGCTGTCCGTCTGTCTACCTGTCTGTCTGCCCGTCTGTCCGTCTGCCCGTCTGTCTTTGCGCGCTAGCCCCCAGAAGACCCAGAGGACCCAGAGCCCCCCAGAAGACCAATGATTTTTGCACCGTTGAATAGGGAATTATTTGTAGTTGTGCAACGTGCTTTTCGAATTTTTTAAAAAGCCCAATTCACGTCGCACGTGGAGGTCGAACCCGGGTCGTATGGGCGATAGACCGGCGCACATAGGTTACAAAAATAATCGTCTTTAAATCAAAAATCCGAACACTACAAATTTTAAGTTAGGCCCAAAAATGAACGGAAAAAATAAAATGATCCGAAAAGCATCATCCAAAATTTCAGAATTAAAGGCGGCGACTTTGATGTTAGTGAAATTTCATATTTCATCGAACCATAAAGTGTTATATGTCATTCAATAGCTCTTTTCACGCTCTTTCAAAATGCTGAATTGAGTTTTTGTGGAATTCTATTTTTCCATGAAATTTTTCCCATATTCGGCGCCGAAAAGTCAAAATAATTTTTTTCACAAAAATCTAGCTGATAAACTAGGCTCAAAAAGCAAATTTCTGAATTCTACGCAAAAAGTTGGTCGGGAATTGTTTTTTAATTTTGTTTTTTGGTCATTGGAAACGCGAGCTCCGAAACCTAGGTTTTTTAGAAGTGCGCGGTTATATGGCCCGCGCGCACCTTTGATGTTGGTTAAATTTTTCTTTTGTGTCAAATCATCAAGTGTTATATATCATTCGAAAGCATTTTTATGTGTTTAAACATGGCGGAAAGAATTTCCCAAAAAATTCGACTTTTTATTAGTTTTCTCCGATTTTATAATCTGGAATGCAGTTTTTTTCTGGTTCTGCGGTACTTGCAGATCTGGTATAGTCTAGAAAAAATTTATTCTAAAAAAAGTGAAAAACGCAATTTTTTTTGAAGAAAGAGTTACAATTCCAGGAAAGTTGAAATTGAGAGTATTTGTAAATCTCGGGTAGGCAACCCAGGTGCACAGACAAATACAGCCTTGACAATTACTCGATAAATTACTATGCCAAAGGCATGACAGATGATAAAGTTATAAATGTCAATCGCAGGAGAAAATCATTTAGTTGCAGACAATTTTGCTTCCCGATTATTTATTTTTGATTATTAGCTTATTATTATTTTTCTTATTACATACATTCGTATTTCCTACACTTTCAAAACAAAAGTTATAATTTGCAGATGGGACGAACATCAGAAGCCAAAAAGTCTAGAAGTGGCAACTTGGAACATGGACGCCAAACGAATCAAAACAAAATGCACGGATTACGAAGTGGGAAAGTGCCTTCAAATCCTGTGCAATCAAAAGAAGAAAGCTCATCACGATCCGCAGACAATCAACAAAAAGAAAAAGAATTCGACAGGAAAGCACATTTGAAAGGAGCACTGGAGGCAAGGATTCTGGCAAAACGCCGTCTATGTGGCAAAAGCAAAGCAAAACGATGATGATTTTGTTGCTTCAACCTCACATATTCAAACCAAATCACCGACTCCTCCAACTCCAGAAGCTCTGCTCGGTATGAAAAAAAGTGCCAATCTATCAAATAAAGGACTATTATCTGTAAACCATTTTCTTCAATCAAACCAAGGAGTAACCATTGGCTCACAACGAACTATCGAAAAGGCCAAGAAGACTCTGGACCAGTTTGTCAGATATGAAATAGTTCTCAATGAAGGAGTAAGATTGGAAGCTGTGTTGAAAGCTGTTGAAGAGCGGCGAAGAAGATTGGATCTGCTCGATGAGCGAGGAAAACGGCTGATTTTTTCCCTCGATAAAGGACACGGTTGAGTTATTTCAACTATTTCATTCCTGAGCTGCGAAAAACCGTGCTCGTCTCGAAATTGTCTTCCATTACAAGCTTGAGAAGGTTCAGATTTTTACGACTCGCTGAAGGAAAAGGGAATTTGCAAAGACTTTGAGACTTTGGTGCAAGCCGGATATATGGTTTTTCTCGGTGGAGATCTATCTTTCTTGAACACCAATTTTGGTCTTTCCTGTGCGATGATGTTTGGATGTTTATGGTGCAACAAGAGGTTTGACAAAAAACCATCCGCTGATAAGGATTCAATTGATTTTCAACAATATGCTGATCGGAGTGACCCTTCGGTGGAAGCGATGACCAAAAGTAAAAGGCTCAGGCAAAAAAGAAAATCTATTAAATGTTTCTCGAAGTTTGGTAATTCCCCCAATACTTCATGCAAAAATCAAGATTGGAAACCAACTTTTTGAACAATTGATGAAACTCAAAGGGTCCTCTCAGACTTTCCAAGATGTTTGTCGAAAATGGAAGTTGGATGTGAATCGGAAGAGTGATGGGATTATCTATGCTCGTTTCAACGGAAACGATATAAAGAATCTCTGTCGATCCTCAGTGATTTCGGATTTAGCAGTCGTTTCTTCCTCCCGTTCCTATCAAGTAGTCATTTCTGCATTACGTGAGTTCAACAAATGGTCTCAAATGGTTTCAACCACTAAAAGTGTTCTTTCGGATAAAGAAATAAAAGATTTGGCTTGCAAAGGCAAACATTCAAAAGCCAGAAACTGCTGCCAAACAGCGATTCTTTGCGATGAACTAGAAAAAGTTGGTGGTTTTGGACAAAGTGTACTGGTCCATGCTCTACTCTTACATCTTGGCCCATTTGTCCATGAGCATAAATTCATCGGAAAGCATCCGAAGAGGGGCATTGAGGCAGTTCACAGCAGGCTAGAATCTGAATTTGCTCGAAACAAGACAGGACCACCAGAAGAGCGACTAATGAACTCGCTCAAGTGGCTCGGTTATGTTGTTCTCCTCAATGATGATGGAAATATGACATCTTAATTTCCTCCTTTTTGCTTAATGTTCAATTGTGATTCTTTTTTTGTCTAATTCATGCTTATAAGTAGAATAAATTTTTCTAGACTATACCAGATCTGCAAGTACCGCAGAACCAGAAAAAACTGCATTCAGATTATAAAACGGAGAAAACTAATAAAAAGTCGAATTTTTTGGGAAATTCTTTCCGCCATGTTTAAACACATAAAAATGCTTTCGAATGATATATAACACTTGATGATTTGACACAAAAGAAAAATTTAACCAACATCAAAGGTGCGCGGGGCCATATAACCGCGCACTTCTAAAAACCTAGGTTTCGGAGCTCGCGTTTCCAATGACCAAAAAACAAAATTAAAAAACAATTCCCGACCAACTTTTGCGAGAATTCAGAAATTTGCTTTTGAGCCTAGTTTATCAGCTAGATTTTTGTGAAAAAAATTATTTTGACTTTTCGGCGCCGAATATGGGAAAAATTTCATGGAAAAATAGAATTCCACAAAAACTCAATTCAGCATTTTGAAAGAGCGTGAAAAGAGCTATTGAATGACATATAACACTTTATGGTTCGATGAAATATGAAATTTCACTAACATCAAAGTCGCCGCCTTTAATTCTGAAATTTTGGATGATGCTTTTCGGATCATTTTAATTTTTCCGTTCATTTTTGGGCCTAACTTAAAATTTGTAGTGTTCGGATTTTTGATTTAAAGAAAAAAAAAATTTACACAGGGGTGTAATCGATGTGCGGCGCGCTATCCACTGCGCTACGGCGACAAACCCGTCGATCCCCAAAACATCCGAAAAAACCCGCCGTTAGCCAAGTTTCTCGGCTGGTATCTACATAAAAGTATCTGTCTGCATTTTCTCGGCCATGTTTTACCCAATAAAGCTCTAACTTGTTTAGAAAACTTTAGAATATATTGTAGTTATGTTATTTTAAAAAAACTTTGAAAAACGAAAGTTCGATGGAAGGCCCGGGAGTCGAACCCAGACCGTACGAGTTGTAGACGAGCGCTCTGCTGACTGCGCTACGGTGAAAGGTTGTCCGGCCAGCGAAAAATCGCGATTAGATTTCTTTGGTCCTCCAATAAAAGCTCGATTCGATAACTTTTTGAATCGTTTTTTTTATTTAACTCTTTCTGGAGCGTGGGTTTTAAAGTGCATTGTGGTGTAGTGGTTAGCAAATTTGGCTGGCGAGCGGAAGGTGATGGGTTCGAGTCCCGGCGGTGGAAAATTTTTTTGTTTTTCAGATTTTTCAGATTTTTCAATCACATTTCAAATTTTAGCCATCATTCGAGTTCGGTTTTGCGTCGCTCGATATTCTCTACGGATATCCGGAAGACTCGGGCGAGTATGTGTTGGAGGTGAAAAACGACAAAGGAGAGGTCAGTTTGAAAGGTTTAAGTTGAAGGATAAACGAGATTTGATAAAAACGAGCATTCTCAAAAAGGGGAAAAATTGCAAATCGAGATCTGAAGTCGAGAAAAAAAAAGCATAACTTTTTTTGCAACTAATTTCAAGAGCTCTAGGCCACGACGAAATCGCTGGTGACGATTCTGCCGGGAAAAACCCTCGACTACGCCCCGCAAGCGCACGGCAGTCGACAAGACAATTTGGAGTCACATTTTAGACAACATTCAACGAAAGAATTGCAGGTTTGTCATGGAAAAAAGGGTTATAAACTGTTATAGCAATGAATGGTCAAGTCCGATCGCTTTTTTTTCTTTTTTTGACTGTTGGCTCAATGATTTAAGCTTTATAGGGATAAAATGGTTTAACGGGATTTAGAATTTATGGAATTATTTCGAATTTCAATATCGAATTTCAAAAGGGAACCTTCTATACTAGATTGGGTATGCCAGATGGAAAGCGATTACGCACAGAGAGCACAGAGAGCACATTCCCTTCTTTTACTTTGGCACAAAAAGATATTTAGCTGTGAATTTGTGTCCAGGGGTTTTCGGGGTCGCTGAATTGATTGAAGCTATTGATTTTTGGTTGGCTAGTAACGTAATCTGTTGCCTTCGTAACTCAGTGAGTGAAGCTAGAGTTGTACTTTGTTAACTTTGTACGACACAGCCTAGTGATGGGAGAATTCCGACCCGAACCTAATATTCCAGGTTTGTCATGCCAAAAAAGCTTTATAAACTGTCACTTTATTAGTTTAAACTATTCATAAACGTTGTTTTTTTTAAACAATATAATCCCCAACACGAGTCACTTAGAATTTTCCTTTGGAAAGTGCTCTTTTCAAAGAAACTTTTTCAAAGAAACTTGTTCATCGTAAAGCAGAAAAAACCTTTCCTATAGGAGAATGAGATTTGCTTAAAACTAACAACCTGTTCGGTTCACCATTTTCTTGGCTTTCCAAGAAAATGCTGGCCATTTACTCCTATCAATTCCCTTATCGTCATCATTCCTTCTTTATAGAAATGAATGATCAAGTCCGATCGCATTGTTTTCTTGTTTTGACTCCTGGCTCAATGATTTAAGCTTTATAGGGATAAAATGGTTTAACGGGATTTAGAATTTATCGAATTATTTCGAATTTCAATATCGAATTTCAAAAGGGAACCTTCTATACTAGATTGGGTATGCCAGATGGAAAGCGATTACGCACAGAGAGCACAAAGGGATTCCCTTCTTTTGCTTTGGCACAAAAATTAGCTGTGAATTTGTGTCCAGGGGTTTTCGGGGTCGCTGAATCGATTGAAGCTATTGATTTTTGGTTGGCTGGTGACGTAATCTGTTGCCTTTCCAGCTCACCGTCGACGACAACTATGACGAGGCTCAGGGCAGGGCACCGGAGTTCAAAGTGGGATTGGAGAATATTGGCGTTGCCGAGGGAGAGTTCTGCCGCTTTGAGACTCAGGTTTGGTTTGAGATTCAGATTTTCTTTGAGACTCACGACTATGAGTCAAGTCAAAATCTTCCAGCTGGCTGTCACGGCAGCTATTAAAGAATAGAAAAATTCGGAATCTTACATGACGATGGAATCTTGATTTTAGGTGGCCCCGATTAATGATCCATACATGCGGTTGGAGTGGTTCAAGGACCGGCGACCGGTTTTGATGGGACATCGCTTCCGATCAACTCTCGATTTCGGTTTCGCCGCTCTGGACCTACTCTACGCGTTGCCCGATGACACTGGCGAGTACCATTGTGTGGCGACGAATCGTTTCGGTGAGTGCGGGGGAAGAGCTGTGGTCTGTGCATTGGCCTTTGGCAGCTGCGGCCTCTAAAAATGGTCTTCAAAAGTCAACTCTGTACCTCAGTTTAGATCTAGGTTGAATTCCTTTGGGTTTAGCTTAAACTGGACCCTCAGGCTTACAGTTTGAAGCTTGCAGGCTTACAGGTTGGATTAAACGTCGGATCGGGTCTAGTACATCATGATCCTAAGCCTGGGCCTGAGCCTGAGCCTAAGCCTGGGCCTGAGCCTGGGCCTAAGCCTGGGCCTGAGCCTGAGCCTAAGCCGCACTTCAGCGAGCCTAGAATTGGTGAAGCTGGAGCTTAGAGCTAGAGCTTGGAGCTGGATCTTGCCAATCCGTTAGCCAACAATGAGACGTTTCTAGGCCAAGCCATGCTCTCTGCATCACTCGCTTGTCAGGGTGGCTCCCACGTAGTGACGACAAGCCAAATGCCACAAGGACTCTCGGTGACATCCGTCAAGAAAGATCAACAGAAATTGTACTGGTCTGAGACGCAACCGGTTTGTCATTTTCGATCAGCCATTTCAAAATTCAAGTTCAGGCTCAACCGCGCGTCAAGCAAACACCGCAATTCTCGATAAAACCGCGAAACACGCAAGTCTCCGAGAATTCGCCAGCCCGTTTCGAGTGTGCCGTTGTCGGGAATCCGAAACCGAAAGTCACCTGGTACATCAATGGAAATCAAGCATTGCACGGCCATCGCTACAAGTTGAACTACGACGGGCTCTACTATTTAACGATCGCCAACACTAGGTGGGTTTTAAGGAGTTGAAACCAGTTGAAACCAAATAAAAATAAAAAAAAAAAAAAAAAAAAAAAAAAAAAAAAAAAAAAAAAAGAAAAAAAAAAAGAAAAAAGAAAAAAAAAAAAAAAAAAAAGCTGGTAATCTACTATATAAAAGAGCTGTGTCTGTTCGTTTGTCTGTCTGTCTGTACGGGCATTTCCTTGCCAATAAAGCTAAAACAACTTTAGAAAACCTTAGAATATCTTGTCGTTATAGCATTTAAAGTTATAGTAAAGTTTAAAGTCAAAATTCAAAACTCAAAAACACTGCCGGGGATCGAACCCGGCACTATGAGGGGCGGCCAATTGATTGATAGACAAGCGCGCTACCGATTGCGCCACGGCAACCCAATGGACCAGGCCAAAAAAACCAGCTATTACGCGGATTTTTCTCGTTTTTCTACTTTTTCTGGCCGTTTTTCGGGTTCATTTTCAGAATTTCAGCTATTTAATTTCATTTTCAGAATTTCAGCTATTTAATTTCATTTTCAGAATTTCAGCTATTTAATTTCATTTTCAGAATTTCAGCTATTTAATTTCATTTTCAGAGTCTCGGACGCCGGAGAAGTGGTAGCGATTGCTCGGAATTCGGAGGGTGAAGTGCTCTCCTCTTGCTCGCTGGACATCTTCCAGAATGATGACTTCAGAAAGCTCAAACTCCGCCCAGCCTCCCACAAAACCGCTGAAGAGTTGCAGGTGGAGAAAAATTTTTAAAAAATCCCTGTAATCCGTTGAAACACCATGATTTTACGATTTTCTAGGAACGCGAGCGTCGCTGGCAGCGCGAGACTCTCGGCAAGCTGGGCGAGGCGTTCGAGACGGCGCCCAAAGCCGACGCCCAAAAGTTAATGCATGTGGAAAGGGCCCGGTCGCCGATCGAGCCCCTAGAAAGCGAGGAGTTGATTCAAAAGTTCACCAGATCAAAGGTAAGCTCAAGCTGGAACGCACACTAAACGCTGAACTCATTTTCAGCAAGAAAACTCGAGTTTAAAAATTTTCGACTACGGTAGTTTAGGTGTTTTTTCGAAAACGATAAAAAATTGTTTTATAACCTAGCCAGCTGCTAGCATGACATCCAATTTGAAAATCCTATTTCAGGAGGAGATGTTCGAGAAGCTCGGCTACGTTGAAACCGAGAAGAAACAATTTGAGGGGATGACATTAGAATCAGTGCCATTGAAAGCCGGTCGAACGAATCGTTTCGAGCCGAAAAGGGAGCGACTCCCATCAGTGGAATTGCGGCCATTTGCTGGAAAGAAGGTTAGAAATGAGTTTTTGTTTTGTCGTTTTGTAAGGAAATCGTTTGGTTCTAGTTGCTTGTCCATTTTTATACTCTTTTCTATAGTCCATAGTGTACAGGACAGGACTTGCATTGACGCAAAATTTCACGCTGATTCCAAATCTGCTTTCCGTTTCTGCTACGGAGCACTCTGTCAAAAGTTATACGTGTTTAAAGTTTTGTAAGGAGTTTTAAGCCGCGACCTTAGAGACCCTTTTTTCGCTGGCTAGCAAGTTGCAGCCATGGCCGAGTGGCAGTGGTTTAGGATACGAGGCGAGCGGGTCTTTAGTCTCCCGGGTTCGAGTCCGGTAGCGGTTTTTTTCGTTCTTTTTTCTAGATTTTAATGCTTTGTATGCTTTAATACAAAAATTGGACAAAAAAGAAAAAGATTGAATAAAAATTAGCTAATCAGCAATCAGAAAAAAAGCCAATCAGCTGCCGGACAACAGAAATTTTCGAGTTGAGCATGAACAACGATTTGAGCAGCAAGTTTCATTAAACACTTCAACATTCAGGACCAACGCGAGCAGAGTCCCCGTCCCGATTGGGCGCTGGACGGCGGGGCGCCGATGAAGCTCCCAGGCGCCGACGAGGCTCGCTACAAGAGGGTCGAAGCCGAGCCCAAGGAGATCAACATCCCAGCCAGGGATCAAGTCTCGTTGCAGGTATCGTCAGTGATATCCAGATCGTACTGTGGGTATGAAAACTTTCCCATAATTTGCACTATTTGCGCTTAAAAAGCGAGCATCACAATTCGCGGAGTGTCAACCAACCGTAATCCAACATTGACTTTAAAAAAACAATCATATTCACTAGAGTGACACCCAGAAAGCACAAAAAACACCGTAATTCCCTAAAAAGTGGATGCTTTGGCTTTTAAAGCAACCAGCTACAGTAATACAGTAATCCTACACAGTGATACAGTAACCCAGCCACGAAGGGTGAGCTGCACTTTAGGATTCCTATTTCTAACATCTAATCTAACATTTTTCAGTCCACTAAACCAACGCGGGCTGAAAAAGTCGACGGTGGCGAGCACGTGAAAATCGCTGAAGACAAAGCGAAGATAAAGCAACCCGCCCAGGGTCCACAAAAAGAAAAGGTTTATTTTAACAATTTTAATATCCCAAATGCTAATGTGCCACCCAGAAATCAGTTCTAAAATCTTAACTTTTTAAAATCCAAATCCAAACACCTCAATTCTTCGAGCTCAAGAAATCAACAAAACTCGAAAATTTCAAAAATTTACATTCACGTCGGAAAATCCAAAAATTAGCATTTATGCCTTCCAGATTACAAAAAAAAAACGAAATCTCTCGAAGAATTGAATTTTTTGAGCACTTTTTAGCTTTAAAGTCGTTCAGCACTTTCTAAATGACACCCACCCAATTACCGTAACCCTTTCTTATAGGAAATCGTCGTCCCGCACAAATCCCAAGTGAAAATGAAGAGTCAAGGAGCACCGAAAGTGACGAAAGATGTGGAACACGTGACTTTAGAAGAGAAACAGCTCAAAGAAGCGCAAGTGAACGCGAAACCCGAAATCCCGGAAGCGAGGATTTCGAATAAAGTTCGTCGGCAAGATCTGTACTGACATCCAACTAACACTTTTAGACTAACCGAGTTTGACTAACCCGTCTCGTTGGCAAGATTTTGGTGTGCAGATGTTCAGGCATGTTTCGACAAAATTCCAAAGTGTGAATTTCGAATCAAATCCGTTGGGAATACCTGTCGTGCCTTCCAACTAACACTTTTAGTCTAACCGAGTTTGACTAACGCTTGTCGCTGACAAGGTTTTGGTGTGCAGGCGTTCAGGCATGTTTCGGCAAAATCCCAGAGTGTGAATTTCGAATAAAATCCGTTGCGAATTCCTGTCGTGCCTTCCAACTAACACTTTTGGACAAAATTTGCATAAATTTTTTAGATTAAAGTCTACTTTAACCCAGAGAATACAGTAGCTCAAGGCTCACCGTTAACTCTAAAGTGTGCCCCACTACGAGGCTTACTTTCTGGAACAACCTTTCAGTCGGAGTCACCGTAATCTAGCTTACTGTATTGTAGCATGTTTTATCTAGCATGTGTTTTACTGTAGCGTTTCAGCCGGACCCACCGGAGCCCACCGATTTCTCCCAGCAACACACTCTCCTCGTCCAGTCCTACCGTGAGCACTCCGAATCGCAGCAATTCTCCACGAGGCACCGTTTCGACAGTGAGCTTTCGGTGGAAACCGACTCGTACACGAAAATCCATTACGACTACTCGCCGCGACCTCGCGATCGCACCGTCGGTTTTCACATGATACGGGTATGCATGAAATTGAAATTTAGAGATATTTTGAAGTTCTGGAAGGCACAGGACACTTTGAGCATGAGTTTTTGTGAAAATCTTCGTTTTTGAAATTTCGAACTCAAGCCTGTTTCTGTAAGTCTCCAAATCTTGATGTTAGACTAAGCATGAAATCAAAATTTGCAAAAATTTCAAGGATCTGGAGCGCACAGTACATTTTGAGCATGAGTTTTTGTCAAAATCTTCATTTCTGAAATTTTGAACTCGAGGTTGTTATTGTAAGCCCCCTAAACTTGATGTTAAGCTAAGTAAGAAATCGAAATTTACAAAAATTTCGTAGTCCTGGAAGGCACAGGACACTTTGCGCATGAGTTTTCATTAAAATCTTTATTTCTGAAATTTCGAACTCGAGCCTGTTATTGTAAGCTCCCAATTCTTGATGTTAGGTTAATCAAGAAATGAAAATTCATAAATATTTCATAGTTCTGGAATGCACAGAACACTTCAAGCAAGAGTTTTTGTCAAAATCTTCATTTTTGAAATTTTGAACTCAAGCCTGTTCCCGTAGGACTCCAAATCATGATGTTAGGCTGAGCAGGGAATGAAAGTTTATAAATATTTCAAGGATCTGGAGTGCACAGCAAATTTTGCGCATGAGTTTTCATTAAAATCTTTATTTCTGAAATTTTGATCTCGAGCCTGTTATTGTAAGCCCCCTAGAGTTGATGTTAGGCTGCGCAGGAAATGAAAATTTATAGATATTTCATAGTTCTGGAGTGCACAGGACACTTTGAGCATGAGTTTTCATTAAAATCTTTATTTCTGAAATTTCGAACTCGAGCCTCTTCTTGTAAGCCCCCTAGAGTTGATGTTAGGCTGCGCAGGAAATGAAAATTTATAGATATTTCATAGTTCTGGAGTGCACAGCACATTTTGAGCATGAGTTTTTGTCAAAATCTTTATTTCTGAAATTTCGAACTCGAGCCTCTTCCTGTAAGCCCCCTAGAGTTGATGTTAGGCTGCGCAGGAAATGAAAATTTATAGATATTTCATAGTTCTGGAGTGCACAGCACATTTTGCGCATGAGTTTTTGTTAAAATCTTCGCTTTTGAAACATTGATACTTGTCTCGTTTTGAACTCAAGCATGTAAATCTTCGAAAATTTCCAAAATCGCATGCAAAAGAAAATTTTCGTGCATTATGGATGTCATGTTTGCGTAAATTAACATGAAAATTGTCGTATTTTGCAAAAAAAAACTTTGATCAACTCTTGTAACTTTTTCTCTTTAGCCACAGCCGACAAAAATCTCGGCAAGTCAAAAGGTGGCGCCGCAACTCTCGCAGCAACTCATCCCAATTCAAGGAGAGTTAGGGAAAGTCGGGAAATTTCAAGTTTTATTCTCCGGAGATGCGCCGATCAAGGTGAGAATTTTTGACTTTCAAAACTGAGACTTTGAAAAAGTGAAAACTCGGTGAAATCTTTCGTTTTTCTCTTGTTGCTCAATATTTTTCAACTCTTGAATAACAAAATCGAAGGCTTACTAGCATTTTAAAGTGTTTTAAAGTGTTTTAAAGGGTTTTTAACCGGTTTTAAAGAGTTTTAAACGCTTTTAAACAGTTTTAAACGCTTTTAACCGATTTTAAACCGTTTTAAACCGTTTTAAACAGTTTTAACCGGTTTTAAATGGTTTTAACCGGTTTTAACCGGTTTTAAACAGTTTTAACCGGTTTTAACCGGTTTTAACCGGTTTTAAACAGTTTTAACCGGTTTTAACCGCTTTTAACCGGTTTTAAACAGTTTTAACCGGTTTCAAACCGTTTTAAACAGTTTTAACCGGTTTTAACCGGTTTTAAATGGTTTTAACCGGTTTTAAACGGGTTTAACCGGTTTTAAACAGTTTTGACCGGTTTCAAACCGTTTTAAACAGTTTTAACCGGTTTTAACCGGTTTTAAATGGTTTTAACCGGCTTCAACCGGCTTCAACCGGTTTTAAACAGTTTTGACCGGTTTTAACCGGCTTTAACCGGCTTTAACCGGCTTTAACCGGCTTTAACCGGTTTTAACCGGTTTTAACCGGTTTTAACCGGTTTTAACCGGTTTTAAACAAGTATTTGAAAGATTTAAGGACGATTTTAGCCACCGAATTAAACGGAGCTTTGTTTGAAAAGTTAGAATAACAAAAACTTTCTCTTCAGGTGACTTGGTTTAAAGACGGAAAAGAGTTGAAGAGCACTTTCCGGCATCAAATCACCACGAATAATGCGGGCAGCACGCTGACAATCGGACGATTGGAGAACACCCATGGAGGAGAGTACATGGTGAGTGAGCGTATCGCAATACTTTTGTCAGTGACATCCAAAAACCTCAGCAATCCCTTCCCTGACATCCAGATTGGCCAATTGCACGATCCTGAAAAAATCCCAGCTCTAAAACCCCCATTTTTACGACGCAACACAAATAAACCCTTTCTCGTTTTCAGGTCCGCCTTGAAAATGCCGCTGGTATGGTCGAGTCTTCGGCTTCGCTGACTGTTGGCGTCGGCTTGGAGAAGGGTAAAGCACCCGACTTTAAAGCAAAGGTTTACAAGAAATGATTGCATCAAACGCTTTTGTGACTTCCAGGTGGCTGATATTCGCGCTCAGCAAAATGGGAAAGCCGAGTTTTCGTGTGAAATTGTTGGCGAACCCCGTCCGACTGTGAACTGGTTCAAGGTTTGCTTCAAAAGAAATCAATTTGTTTTCAATTAATTGTGTGAGTTCCAGGATTTAAGGAAATCATGGTATTTCTAGTTTTTTTTTATTTTAAAAGCATTTTTCTTGAGCGGGAAGATTCTGAGGAAATTTTTTGATAAATTTTTGGAAATTTTTGATAAATTTGCTTAAGCAAACTCCAGAATTTGATAAAATCTCATTTTTCCATTTCAGGACGGTCAACCGATTCCATTTGATGGCCGATTCGTCGCCTCTGAAGAGGGAACGGCTTTCCGGTTGACGTGCGACTCTGTCTTGGCTCAGGACAGCGGAGTGTACGAGTGCGTCGCAAAGAACACGGCTGGTGAGGCGAGGTGGGCGATTTTTTGATGAATTCAATCGAACTGGATGTCACACGATTTATTTAGCCAAAAAAAAGTGACACCAGAAGCATTTTAGATGTAAAGCTCGACTCAACGTGAACCTATCGAAGACTGGAAAGGGTGCTGAGGAGGGGCCACGACTCGAAGCACCACGGTAAATCGTTAAGCTGGATGTCACGACGTCTATTGAAAATCAAATTTCAACAATTTTTTCAATTTTCAGCTTCACCACTCAAATCCAGCCAATTGTGGCGAACGAGGGTCAGAGCGCCGCGTTCACCGCCAAGTTCTCCGGTTTCCCCGGTAAGTTAGGGGAAAATTTCCGTCAATTTCCTCCAATCTGGAGATCACACTGTCTAAAATGTTAAAAATTTAGACTCAAACTCTATTAGAGATAATCTTGTAATATCTGGTTCTCTTGGCAAAGTACAGTAGCCCGTAGAGTCATAATAGTCCAAATTTTCCTTCAAATTCCTTCAATCTGGAACGCACACTAGTGAAATTCACCGTGGATTTCCGATTTTGATTCAAATCTAGTACCAAAGTATCTTCGGACTATTTCTACAGCATTACAGTACTCTAGAGTCAAAGTAGCCCAAAGCTTTCCTTAATTTCCTTGAATCTGGAACGCACACTAGTGAAATTCATTGTGGATTTCTGTTTTTGATTGAAATCTAGTACCAAATTATCCCTGTACTACTTCTACAGCATTACAGTACTCTAGAGTCATAGTAGCCCAAAGTTTTCCCTAATTTCCTTCAATCTGGAACGCACACTGTTCAAAATGTTAGAAATTTAGACTCAAACACTCTATTAGAGATGATCTTCCCTACTCTGGCTCTTCTGGTACAGTACAAAAGCCCGTAAAGTCAAAATAAGCCAAAGTTTCCCTTAATTTCCTTCAATCTGGAACGCACACTAGTGAAATTCACTGTGGATTTCCGGTTTCTTCAATGAGATGAAAAGTTCAGAAAAAAAAATCTAAGGTTTTCCCCAAAAATCTCTCTTTTCTCTCCTTTGATTCAAAAAAAAACGCCCCCACTCGAGCTCTTTTTCCCCAAAAAGAAATCGTCAAGTGGCTATAGAGGCATAAAAAAAGCTAAAGACAAATTGACAAAAGAAAGGATCAGCCAATCATTTCCAACGATTCATCAAATCGATCAAATCTTGAAGATTTTTTTTTAGTCTATTTTTAAACTGCAATAAACCAAAAGAGTAATATACAAATTCCTTAAGTTTTACAAATTCCTTGAGATTCCCATCGAACTTTACGCTTGCTTTTAATGGCATTCGAGAGCAACTGTAATTCACAGCCATTAAAAGCCATTAAAAGCCATTAAAAGCAAGCGTAAAGTTCGATGGGAATCTCTTGTAAAACTTAAGGAATTTGTATATTACTCTTTTGGTTTTCTTAAAGTACCATCTCTGGTTCTCTTTAAGTTCTCTTTAAGTTCTCTGTAAGCTCTCTTTAAGCCCTCTAGAAGCCCTCTTGAAGCCCTCTAGAAGCCCTCTTGAAGCCCTCTTGTAGCCCTCTAGTAGCCCTCTAGAAGCCCTCTAGTAGCCCTCTAGAAGCCCTCTAGTAGCCCTCTAGAAGCCCTCTAGAAGCCCTCTAGTAGCCCTCTAGAAGCCCTCTAGTAGCCCTCTAGAAGCCCTCTAGAAGCCCTCTAGTAGCCCTCTAGAAGCCCTCTAGTAGCCCTCTAGAAGCCCTCTAGAAGCCCTCTTAAAGCCCTCTAGTAGACCTCTAGTAGCCCTCTTAAAGCCCTCTAGAAGCCCTCTTGAAGCCCTCTTGAAGCCCTCTAGAAGCTCTCTTGAAGCCCTCTTGAAGCCCTCTAGAAGCCCTCTAGAAGCCCTCTAGAAGCCCTCTAGAAGCCCTCTTAAAGCTCTCTTGAAGCCCTCTAGTAGCCCTCTAGAAGCCCTCTAGAAGCTCTCTTGAAGCCCTCTAGAAGCCCTCTAGAAGCCCGCTTGAAGCCCTCTTGAAACCCTTTTGAACTCTTACATATCGCTATAATCCTACATCACCCTGTACCCTATAGAAGCGTACTTTAAAGCACTGAAACGACTTAAAACACCTTTTCCTCAGCTCTCATTGTTTTTTACGGAAGTTACGCCTAAAATTAGCCCAGAAAAACGGTTTTTAAAACGGTTTTTAATCGTTTTTTAAAACGATTTTCCAGAGCCAACCATTCGCTGGTATCGAAACAACGAGCCGATCAAGAAACCCGGCTATTCAGTCTCGCAAAAAGACGGACAAGTGAGTGATCATCGAAGCTGGAACGCACTTTTCATAAAACAAAAAAGCAAAAACCTAAAAAACACTTTTCAGGCCACTCTCACCATCCAATCGCCGAAACAGGAGGACGTCGCTGAATACAAGGTTCGAAATAAACCCCAAGATAGGCAAATGGACTTCAAATTAGCTTCTGTGCCTTCCAGCTTGCTCAAATAAAAAATCGAAATTCAGGTCGAAGCGTCGAATCCAGCAGGAAAGGCGACATCAGTGGCCAACCTTGTTCTAGCTCGTAAGTTGACAAAATCAACACCAACATCAGGGTTTAATCGATTTTTCTCCAATCCTGGATGTCACCACGTACAGTAAACTGGTTTTTTTAGCTCGTTCCGGTCGAATAGGCAAAGTCACGACACACAGTGGAAGCTCCGTCTCCGAGGCAGCTGGACCGCATTTCGTGTCCAAGGTGCTTTAACTGGTTTTTTAAAATTCTAAGTTGACATCCAGATCTCCCGGAAAGACAAGAATTTTAGCTATCCGACATAAACGCGAGACAGGGGCACACTGTGAAGTTTTCGGTGGAGATTGGCGGTGATCCCTTGCCAACCGTGCAGTGGTATCACAACGGACGACAACTGATGACAGGACGAGATGTCAAGGTACTAGACTTTTTATGTTTATAGCTAGTTTTTGTCTACATCTACGAAAGGCAACTAATTACGCAACGATTCTGAGCTGAAATCACCCGGAAACGCACCTTTTCTAGCAAAGAAAAAGGAAAACTAGATCTAAAAAGCTAGATCTAGAAAACTAGATCAAAACTCTATTCCCTAGATCACGATCGACGGCCTTCACGCCACTCTTGAGTTGGCTCGAGTCACCCATTCAAATGGAGGCGCCTACGAGTGTGTCCTCAAGAATCCAAAGGGTGAAACGAAATCAACGGCCCAACTCAATATCGGTAAGCTTTCCGAAAGAAATCAGCCATTCTCCAGTCATTCTGGATGGCACAAAGTAGTTTAAGGCAAAAAAAAATGACATCTTGAACGAGTCCTGAAAATTGTGCATGCAGCGTGCGCTCCTTTACGAGAGCCTGTTCTCGGCTTTATTTTCGAGATTTCGTGAAATTTTTCACTGATTTCGCCAAGCTGGAAGGCACGGTAGTGGAAAATGGCAAAATATATGTAAATTTTAAGGATTTCCAGTTAAATGTAAATTTTGAAGATTTTCATTTAAATGTAAATTTTAAGGATTTTCCTTTAAATGTAAATTTTAAGGATTTCCAGTTAAATGTAAATTTTGAAGATTTTCCTTTAAATGCAAATTTTAAGGATTTTCCTTTAAATGCAAATTTTAAGAATTTCCAGTTAAATGCAAATTTTCGGATTTTCCTTTAAATGCAAATTTTAAGAATTTTCAATTTCCCTTTAAATGCAAATTTCGCCGGTTTTCCTCAGTGATTTCACGAAATCTCCGAATTTCCGTAAAAATTTTCTTCTAAATTTTAAAAAAACTGGGCGGCACTCTATTGAATGACGATTAGTTTTTACACGGATTTCCCTCAGAAAAATCTCGAAAACGGTCGCATGAACGTAACCAAATTCCCCCCATCTAACCCGTCTCACCGACTTTGGACAAATTTCAGCTCGATAAACGCCAGCAAGATCGACTTTTCGAGCGGATTCCCCAATCCTGGGACGCACAACAGAAAATTAGTCATTGATTTCCGTGTGTAACTTTATGTTTTCCTTTGCCCCCCCCCCATTTTTGCCTAGCGCCCATTTCCGCATCATTTCCCAGCCTCTCCAAAGTGGATTTCTGCCAAAATCCACTTTTTCGGCGATCCTGGAGCTCACAAGAGATTTTCGAGCGAAATCCATCAAAGCTCGATGCGGTTTTGCTGCCACAAAACCCGAAGTCCCTCTTGCTCACTTTTGTGATGTTGGGCGCTTTCCCCGTCAACTGCCACCGCGCTAGTCTAAAATTATGGATGTCATTTTGCCCAATCTCAACGTTTCCTAGTCATTTTTTGCGATTCTGGATATAGGTAGCCGAGGTCGGGCGTTCGAGTCTCGGATAACCCGCGAAAATCAACAAATCTAAAAAATTCTTGAAATAATGGAGATCCTGGAAGGCACCCAAGCTATTGAGCAATTTAGTTTTTTCAATTTCGAAAAAAAATTTTATCACTCGAAGGGTCAGGGTTCGATCCCGGGCACGACCTCGGCTCAATTTTCGCTTTTTTTGAAAAATGCCCAGCTTTTGCTCAACTCCTTTGCTTAAGTATTATTGTTTTTTAAATGGGTCTATCTATGAAATACGTCTGTTTCCTCTTGACACCCGCTAGAATTTTCGGCTTTTCCCTCAGCTTTGCGCGATTTTTTTTTTGTTTTGCAAAAATTCCGGTATTTTTGTTTTGTTTTTTTTCTGTTATGGAACGCATTTATGCTGGTAAAGCGATTTGTTTTCAAATTTGCGTACATTTTTTTGCTTTTTTTGCCTTTCAAATAGTTTGCTAGTGCGTTAAAAAATCATAAAAATTTTTTGAATTTTTGGGTTTTTGAATTTCTTCAAAAATTTTTTTTGTCAAGAATAAACACATTTTTTTGGTGGTTTCTTTTTTGAGAAAATGCACTGAATTAAAGCTTTTTAATGGGAAATTAGATAAACAAAAAAAGAGAAGCGAAAAAAAAGTGCAACTGATCAATCGGCTTTCATTGGCTATCCACTGTTCGAGAATGAAAAAGCAATCAAAAAAGTGCAACTGATTATTGTTGTCATAGATTTCCTATGACAACAATAACAATTTAGACTTTCTCAATATAAGCTAAAAGCTGAAAGATTTTGCAAAAAAATCGCAACCGGACAAGCAGACGATTAGAAATTGGGGTAAAACGTTGCTTTTTAACGAGTCGATTTTTATCGAGCCAATTATCGAGTCGGTTTTTATCGAGCCAATTATCCAGCCGGTTTTTATCGAGCCAATTATCGAGCCGGTTTTTCTTCTGTTGCCGAGCCGACAGAAGAAAAATGTATTGGCTGATGATAGATGAGAAATGAGAATGATAGGCGATCAAAGATTGAAGGTTGAAGTGATTGGGATTGAGATTGGGGTTGGGATTGAGATTGGGATTGGGATTGGGATTGAGATTGGGATTGGGGTTGGGATTGGGATTGGGATTGAGGTTGAGATTGGGATTGAGATTGAGATTGAGATTGAGATTGGGAGCTTTCACAGAAGCTGGGATTTGGATTGAGATTGGGATTGGGATTGGGATTGGGGTTGGGATTGAGATTGAGATTGGGATTGGGATTGAGATTGAGATTGAGACTGCCGATGGGGTTGATTATTCGCGTCATTTCATTTCTTCATTTCTTTATAAAGTTGAGATGAATGCGGATTCTTGGATCCCTCCTAAAAAGTCTGAATTAAAAGATTGGAAAGCATACACACCCAATTCGAAAGACCAATTACGGCTTTGAAAGCTTTCACAGAAGCTCAACACTCAAATCCCACACTAGAGCTGATCGTCAGCTACATTTTCCGATCCCACATCGATAGGTTCTGATACCCACCCAATTCATTTTCTAAAGAAGAAAATGTTATTTACCGTATTTTCTCTAATAATAGTGCACCCTGGGCGTTTTCTAAATTGCTCGAAATCTCGAGGACCGCGTATCAGAACCTATCGATGTGGAGTTAGAAAATGTAGCTGACGATGAGATCTAGTGGGGGATTTGAGTGTTGAGCTTCTGTGAAAGCTTTGAAAGCCGTAAAATCGTCGCCAACTCGGCTCGCCGGGGTGCACTACTATTAGAGAAAATGCGGTATCAGGTTGGCGACATTGAAATTTCGTTTTCGTTTCTCTTGATAGATTTTAACACTGTGGAAACTATTGGGTTGATGCATAATTATCCGGACTTCTTTTATAAATGATTTTATTTAACAAAAAATAACATAAATAGTTAGAAAAATATGTTTAATTGATTATTCTGGAGCATATTCACCGCCTACATCAATAACTGATTGCCATTTGCTTGGAAGACGATCGATTCCACGAGCGAAGAATAAACGATCTTTGGAGGCAATCCACGCTTTAACATCGTCTATCAAGTCATCCAAATCGTTGTAGATCTTATTTGTTTGCCAATTTTTGAGCGATCGATTGACGTGGTAGTCCGTTGGGGCTTCTCCAGTTCTTTGAGATCGCGAAACGACTCTGCGGCAGACCATCCCTTTTCGAAGTGGTAGAGCATGATATGGCGAAGATGGATATGATTGTCGACACGCATTTTGTTCACTAAAGAATAACGAATATTTAAAAAAAAGAAATAGACAAAAAGCTTTCAAAACAAAAAAGATACAAGCACGCAAAAAGAAGTCCGGATAATTAATGCATCAACCCAATATTATCACCGCAATCTCTGCTGCTTTAAAGATGCTTATTACGCTTGCTTTATTATTGTTGCGCTTTATTGTGCTTTATTACGCTTTCTTTTCTTTATTTTCAGTTGAAGAATTTGAATTTTAATTTTAAAAAATCTTTTAGATAATTTTTAGATAATTTTTAGACGACATCAAATATCGATTTCGCATTTGTATGCTGTATTCTGTATTCTGTATGTTTGTATGCTGCCAAGCAAGAAAAAACAGCAACTCAATCGCATGAATCACTTTGTAACGTATTTGGGAAATTTATTCTCACTTTTCTTCATTTGTTCAATGTTAAAGCTGGTGCAAAAGATTTCGAAAGAGTGAAGGAAATCTAGAAGATCTGGAACCGCTCACAGGCTGTGGCAAATTTAAAGCAGATAATCGAAAGTGATTCGACAAAGACAAATTCATTGTGGATTTCCGATTTTGATTGAGATCTAGTACCAAAGTATCCCCGTACTACTTCTACAGCATTGCACTACTCTATAGTCAAAGTAACCCAAATTTTCCCTCAATTTCCTTCAATCTGGAGAGCACACTGACTAAAACGCTAAAAATTTAGACTCAAACTCTATTAGAGATAATCTTATAATACCTGTGGTTCTCTTGGCACAGTACAATAGCCCGTAGAGTCAAAATAAGCCAAATTTTCCTTCAACTTCCCTCAATCTGGAACGCACACTAGTAGAATTCACTGTGGATTTCCGTTTTTGATTCAAATCTATTAGCTTGGTAAATATGAAAGGTTATTTTTTACAAAAAATATTGCCCTGTCGTTACGAAGAACATTCCCTGTCTAGGATTTTTCTCAATAATATGCCAAAATGTGCTCATGTTTTTTTTTGCAAAAACATTTTTGTTTTGAACAATATTTGTATTGTTTCAGCTCGGCAAAGATGGATAACCAAAAATTTAAAATCAGGGCCGCCATTTTCTTTGAATTCAAGTTAAACAAGAAAGCTACGGAATGCCATCAGAACATTTGTACTGTTTTTGGAGAAGCTGCTCTTACTTACAAACAATGTTGTGTTTGGTACGATCGCTTCAAAACGGGAAACGAGTCATTGGAAGATGCACCACATGGAAAGCCGCCGATTACTTTGGACGATCAGCTGTTACTGAACGAGGTCGACTTGGATCCATCGCAAAAGTGTAGAAAATTAGCAGAAAAGTTCGGATGCACTCATGTTACCATTTACACGTTCTTGGGAAATCATATCGAAGCGGGAAATGGCTCCCCACGACCTCACTGATGCCCACAAAGTCACACGAGTCACCTTGAGCTCTGTTCTTCTACGTAAAGCTAGCCATCGTGACTTTTGGAAGTATTTTTTGACATCTGATGAGACTTGGCTTTCGTATGAAAATATTCAACTCTATGGACAGTGGCTGAGTTCGAAGCAGACCTCTCATTCTATCCCGAAGCCTCCGAAAAAGTTAGGCTTTTGTGTGGTGGAATGCTAAGGGGATTGGCTCATTTGGAAATATTAGATAAAGGAGACACTGTTGACGGAAGACTTTATGCAGAACAAATGGGTCGAGTCGATCCAGCATTGAGGAAAAAGAGGATCGATCCATCGAAGGTCAGATTTCTTCACGACAATGCTAGGCCTCACATTTCAAAGATCGTCCACGAACAAATCGACAAGTTGAGCTGGAAACTTCTTCCACACCCACCATACAGCCCTGATCTAGCCCCATCGGATTACCATCTCTTTTGATCAATGAAACAAGCAGTTTCTGGACAGCAGTTCAAACAAAAGCAGGACATCGAAAATTGGGTTGCCAACTATTTTGCCTCTAAAAATCTTCAATTTTACGAGGACGGTATTCGTGATTTGGGGCAACGTTGGAAAGAAGTTATTAATGCTTGTAGTGAATACATTTGATTTTGAAAGTGCTTAAATAAATTTTTCTGTTATGTTAAAAATGATCAAAAAAATAACCTTTCATATTTACCAAGCTAATAGTACCGAAGTATCCCCGTACTACTTCTACAGCATTACACTGCTCCATAGTCATAGTAGCCCAAATTTTTCCTTAATTTCCTTCAATCTGGAACGCACACTGTTCAAAATGCTAGAAATTTAAACTCAAACACTCTATTAGAGATAATCCTCTCTGTTCTGGTTCTTCTGGCACAGTACAATAGCCCGTAGAGTCAAAATAAGCCAAATTTTTCCCTTAATTTCCTTCAATCTGGAACGCACACTAG